TCAAGCTCAAGGTCACGATGCCGGACGACTTGGCTTGCGTAGGAGGTATGTCTACTTCGTATCTCTTTTGTGGTTCTCGACATGGAACCTCCATCTCGCTTCAAGTTTGTAGGGACTAACGAACATGCTAATAGCCTCCACCGGTGACGTCTGCACCGTCCGTTGCTTCAACGCCAACGCAAAGGGCCCCTTCGGTGGCTGCTTCGCCGTCCAGCAGACCGACATCACACCCAAGCAGAACACCCCCGGCAACATTCCCACCGCCCAGACCCTCAATGGTGTCCTGAAGCAGGTCCAGCAGAACGTTGTCGACCTCCCCGCCGCCGTCAAGTCGAACCAAGAGGCCAAGACTCAGGACGATCAGGGTGTGACCGCCATCAAGGAGCTCCTCGGCAACAATGCCACTCAGGAGGCTGCTGGTCCTGCCGGCTCCGGCGCCAACACTGGCAACAACAACAACAATAACAACAACAACGGAAATAACAACAACAACAACAACAACAACAACAATGGCAACGCCAACACCGGTAACAACAATGCTAATACTGGCAACACCAATGCCAACACGGGCAACAACAACGCCAACACCGGTAACAACAATGCTAATACTGGCAACACCAATGCCAACACGGGCAACAACAACGCCAACACCGGGAACAACGGAGGCAACGGACGTACCAGGGGCAAGAACAACAACGGCGGTGCCAACACCAATGCCCAGAACGGCGGCAATGCCCAGACGGCCGGCAACACCAACGGTAACGGCAACGCCAATGCCAATGCCAACGGGAACAACAACGCACTTCCGTTGGCAACTGTTGGAAAGGGCAACGGAAACCGCCAGAACCAACAGAACAGCAACAACAACAAGCGTGCCGATGCACCAGAGGCCATGCTCCGCACGCGCTGGGCCAGGAGAAACCTTCGCCGCCGCGCCGACTAATCGTGACGCAAGATGGGAGGGCTTGGGGGGGCCGAGGCCGGCAGCGAGCCGCGCGTTGGGCATTCCCTATCCCCTTGTTTGAGCTTCATGTTGTGTGAGCAGGCCTTTCTTGGAAGCTGTTTCTCATTCCTACGTCGATGGGTCGTTCCCCGTCAGAGACGGAAGAGGAGATGATATCTTAGTTGTTAGTTAGCGAAATTTTATATTGAGCCGTGTAAAGTTTATCAAGTGGTAGAAATTCGGTGGTTGTCTATTTCTTCGACACCATAATTATTCAGCTCCCTCGCCATGTCAATCCACCGTCTATCGCTTGTGAGCCCCATTGTTTCTCCGGAAGTTCAATTATCTGCTGTGTTTGAAAGACTTGAGTGCAATATGGTCATCAAATCTCGAGGACATGCTCGCAAGCAGCAAGATGGGAAACTCCATCATTCGTCTTGCTTATCCCCGGGCTCACTTACAGCTCATCTCATGCACCGTAATTGAGGCCAAAAAAGACAGGGATGGATCACAAGCGAGGAGGCGCGGTCTCATAGTCTGACAGACCGTCAGACATTGATAGGCTAAGGGAAAGGTACTTATGTAGACAGGAGGATTCCCCCTCCACTCCTCAAGATGCAGGTAGGAGGCTATAATCTGTCATTTTCCGGCACCAACTGTGACTTCACGCTCAATAATCTTGCTCTTTACGTCATAGTTCAAGGCGCGGCTCAATCTTCTTGATCAAGGCAGTCATAGACAAGGCAAACCCACACGAACAGCAGGGTGAGCTGCCGCCAACCAAAAGCTCACGTTATAACCATCCACATCACCAATTCCTCAAGCCGACTCCTCAATCTTTCACATCTTCATTTCCAAAAAAAATCCCTAAGCGTCGAAAAAGCCCAGCAACAATGACGGCCCCATTCCCCCAAGCCGCCTACAAAATCACAACCCCGCGGCTCATCATCCGCAGCGCCGTCGTTGACGATGCAGAGGCTCTCTACCGCCTCCTCTCGACGCCCGAGAATCACCCCTCAGGAGGCGCTCAGACGAACATCTCTCCCGATATCATACGTGGCCGCATCGAGAGGTGGGGGCCGGAGTATGCGTCTGGGAAGAAAGCTATTTTGATGATTACAATTCGGGAGACGGGCGAATTGATTGGATGTGGTGGGTTCAACTGTTTTGAGACTGCCGAGGGGGAGACGTGTGATGTTGCGCTGAAAAGGATGAGAGATGAAGGGTATCAAGAGGGAATTGAGGAGGCCCCGGGAGATAATATCACTGGGGAGGCTCCGCGTCGTCATACCACACCGTATCTTACCGACTTTGGGGTGTCCCTCGATCATCGTTACTGGGGCAAGGGGTACGGTAGGGAGGTCTTGTGTGGCCAAGTCGACTTTGCCGTCGAGGGACTCGGCTGCAGTATTGTACGCGTTGAGACTGAGCTTGAGAATAAGCCCTGGCGAGCGGTTATGAGATCGATGGAGTTGAGCGAGCTGGAGACGAAGGGCTCGGTCAGCTACGGAGAGAAGGAGGTCGGATGGGTTTACAAGATCGACCCGGCGACGTGGGGGGACGTTAGGGGGAGATTGGAGAAGAGCGGAAAGTGGCCATTGTGACTGGAGATATCTTAGCTGCTAGACATAGGCATTGTTGTATGCTCTCTTTAAGAGGCGGTCTTTGAGTTTCGACGTCAATCGTGTTCTGCCCGGCGGCGGGAAGACATGTTTCTCAGCGGAAAAGGTGGTGGATGTGGCGAAAGGGAGGAGGAGCTGAGCAGCTATATTACTATGTTTCTTCTACGTACCACCCAGTACGAATAGTAGTCCTTAACTAAAAAGGCATGGTCCTATACCCGATAACATGGCTATCAACAACCGGGAAATGGTCTATACACCAATTCGACTATGCTGCCCCAAGCTCATTCATGACTCCCTTGGCCCAAAATCATCAGCATCGTCCTTCTATCCACTATCGTATGCCTTTTATAGGCTGTTATCTTTCAGCTTCATCTCATCGGCTAATTCAGGATACGGCGGCAATGGAAACTCCGAATCGTCGTTATTCGTATCATCAAAGAACCTCTTAGCCACCCAAGGCATCGCAACAACTCTAGAGATTGTCGACACAACTGATCCCAGCAACCATCTCTGCCAGGCCGTGACCGGATGCGCGACTCCCGGAAATAACCACGGAACGCTCTGAGTCTCCTCGACATAGGGGCGGAACGCAGCCTCGTAGGTCTCGAATGCCCGAGAAGGATGCTCCCCAGGTTTGAGTTTGGTGAGCTCGCCGGCAAGCATGTACCCTCCGATGATGGCAAGCGTAGTCCCCATACCTGAGAGGGGTGTCGGCGCAAAGGCCGCGTCGCCCAGGCAGATGACACGAGAGCTGGACCACCTTTCCATCTTGATCTGCTTCAGATCCTGAAAGTAGTAATCCTCCGCCTGCATCATGGCGTCCATGATCCGGGGCGTCTGCCACCCAGCGTCCAGGAACTCCCGCCTCACAAGCTCCATCTGGAGCTTCTTGTCGCCTCGTGAGGCCTCCTGCCACGCCGTCTTCTGCGCGCCTTGGCAGGGCATGTGCGTGAACATGGCCCGTATGGTGCCGTGCGGGTCGGGTCTGGTGGTGATGATCCTCGATCCCAGGGCCTGGTAGATATTCCACCAGTCGTTGTCCTCTGGAAGACGAGGGATGGCGGCATAGGCTACGTACATGTTCTTGTCGATGACGGTGATGCTTTCCTGAGGAAAGACTTGTTTTCGGACCTTTGACCACTGGCCATCTGCTGCGACTAACAAGTCATACTCTTGCACGTCTCCGTTGCTCAGCTCGACTTTGACAGCGGTTTCGTCGTTGGATATGACTTTGGCCGCGGTAGTGCCGAAGAGATACTCGATGTTGGGATGGGTTTTCGTGGCTTCGTACAGGACTGCAGCCAGGTCCCCTCGAAGGATCTCGAACTCTGACGTAGGGCTTGCAGAAGAGCCGTCCTTGACGGGAAAGGGTGCGAAGGGCCGCCCCTTTGGATCGATGAACTGCGTTCCTTTCTCCGTTGTATTGAACCTCCCTAGTTGATCAATGAGGCCCATCTTCTTCAGGACGGTGATGGCGCTATGGTTGACATCGACATTATGGCCGTAAGTAGGAATCGACTTGCACTTCTCCACGACAGTGATGCGCGCGCCGGTCCTGGCCAGAAACCAAGCCAGCGTAGGGCCGGCAATACCTGCTCCGCTGATGAGAACACGCATGATGTTGTGAGATCCAAGAACCGACTTGACTCAGTGAAATCGATGAAGATGACCAGATGCTTTGATGTCTCTGATTTGGCAAACGCTCCTTTTAAGTAGTTTGACCTCTACTAATCCATATCCGTCCTAATGTGTCTAAGTCTCGAAATGGCTGCGCCTCTTGGTATACCACCTTTGGTAGAAAGTGTGACTCCAACAGTACATGACCACCATCTTGGAAGGGAGGGTTCTGGCGCCTCTAACGCGGCCAGATGTGCTCCCAATGTGCCTCGTGAGTTCTGCATGCTGAAACCACAGTCGGGAGAATCAAGCATTTGCCAAGACGTATCCTCCCGAGGGAGCTCCCGCGTGTAGCTGACGCTAGTTTTGGCGCCTGAATCCTGATGAAAGCTGTGCCGTGCTAACCACGGCAACACTATCCGCATTGAGCATCTTCGCGTCATCGTCTGGAATGCCATGCATTTCTATGCATTAGCTAGCAGCACAAGGCTGTCTTTGTTGGATTCGATTTCAAAAGTCGATCGGCTGGACTATGGGTCGATTCCCCGGAATGACCCCGAAGTGGGGGGTACTCTTCGGACTGCGGTCTTCGGGAGATCTGCTCGACTCCGCACCGGAGACAGGCCGGCACGGCTTTTGAGAAGTGATGGTGGAGCTCAAGCTCCGAGACCATCGCCGATTCAATATGATGCAGTTCTTTGAGACAGGTTGCATTTTAGGAGTAATTCATGATCTCACTGGATTTACTGTTGCTCCAACCTCCAAAACTGGTGCCACAATTATATCACGCAGTCCTCTTCGTCTTCAAGTCTCATTCACAAGTATACATAGCAGAATGGGCCTGCGACAGTGCTCATAGCGTCCCGGATCTTGAGGGGCTCTCCAACCCAACCATACTCTAGCAAATCATCCATGGTTGTGTTGGCGCCAGGAGGCTGATCCAAGAATGTGCTGGTCCCGCTGAGAGCAATGGCGCCATATTGACGCTCTTGAGGTGACAGCATCTGCCATATCCACCAAACTCGATCAATCATCGAATGTTGCAGGTAGAAAGCTGGATCTCCCGGGGAAGTGAAAACGTCTATTCATCACAGTTAGGATCGCCCGGCATGTATGGAACTCGGAAGTTAGGGCGGCTCACCTCTTCCAGGATCTCCTCCAAGTGAGTAATGACCACCGCCGTGGATGCCTAACCAAGAGTCTTGTCAGTGACAGTACTATCCGAATTGAAGTTGTACCCAAAAGCTTACCAATGCTGCCAGAGCCTGGCACACCCTGCATCTGCATCTGGAAGTAGTACACATTCTGAGGCTGAAGAATATTGGACAATCCATCGGTCACATTCGCGTACAAGAGGTTAACCGCGGTCGTCAGGTCACGCTTGAGGCAGCGGGGATTATATGTCAGGGACCCATTGGGATTGGCCTCAGAAACACCGCCGGGCAGGTCGAGAGCAGCGGGACCGAGATTGACAGTCGTATTCTTGAAGGGCCCAGAGGTCACGCAGCCTCCACCTGTACCGACAGGAAGTTCGAGTATTGGCAAGCCATTCTGGCCACCGAGAAGGATTGGCTCTCGGTCGGGGACGAATTCGCCATTTCCGGACATGGATGCCTCGCTTCCGTCGAAGATAGGGGAGGTCTCCATGCCCGTGTTGGCGGTCTTGGACCAATTCCAGTACTGTGATAGAAGTTCAACAAGAATACGTTCGAACTGTGCCATTCTCAAGGCCTAACTCAGCCTATGTGTACGGATGTATTAAACCACACAGTTTTGGCGTAAAGAGTCTGAGTCAATTGCCCGCTCTCTATTACCCAGCACCCACCGACAGATCCCCGTCCTGGCTGGAGTTTATGCAGCTAAACCAATAACAAATCAACGGTGGAATTCGATCTTGGTACGCACAGCAGACAGTAGTTCGCCGATCACTCCTGTCAGTCAGGGGACCATCGCCGACGAGACGTTTCAAGCTGCGGGGTCGCGCCCTGATACTTCTTACTTACGCAGAGAAAGTTTATCCCAGACTGGCAGTGTGATCGAATGTCTCTTATGATATGCACGACCGTGTCAGTAGGATTTGAAGGAAGGGCCAGCAGGTGAACACCGTGTGAATGAAACACCTAACCCGATGCACCGGAACTCGAGACGGGATGATTCTGGGCGTTGTATTGAGAGGCTGTTTAGCGGACGATAGTGCTCAGACTTTCCTGAACGCGGGCCCCTGAGCCCACCGGAAACTTGGCACTTCTGAATCTCCCTTCTATCAGATGCATCTTTCCGACTACAAAGTCTTTTCAGAGAGGCGAGAAGCCTCTGAGGATACTTTTAGACCGGCTCATTACTGGCAAGTAGACATGGATAAGTCACTTGGCTCTCAAGACGGCGCAAATTGGTGAACGCAAACTGCGGGTAAAGATTTCAAAAGGTTCAATTGGTTAAAAGTTTCCGCATAGTTTGGATCACAGTTTCGCGTTTCATGGCGTCGAAATTTCCAGATGTCCGGAATAGCTAAAGGAAAGTTGCAAGTATCGGGCTGCTAAGCGCCCGGGCCTATTTCTCGTGTTGACATTGCCGATTTTTCCAAGGGTCAATCACCCCGTTTCGCCGAATATCTCGCCGATCGGATACAAGCAAAAAGAGAGGATCCCCGTAACATCTTAGTGGTGGCTTTTCTCTTCATCCCGGCCATTTGCCCCTTTTACCACGTGGTTCTTCGTTTTCTCGTGTTTCTTATTAACACACGCAGCGAGAGTCGTATGGCGAATGTCAATTGCTAGCGACCTGGGGCGTCTTGCTGCTGGTTCTGTTCATTTTCTCTCTTTCTGATAGCGAATCCAGGTTCGTTCTGTACAATTTTGAGCCGTCATATTTGCATCTTTTCCGTCATTAGCGCAGCAACCATGAGCTCCGGCCTGATCCCGCGGGACGGGACGCGCGACGAGCAAGACCCCATGCTCGGTGTCAGATCATCGTCGGAGACTGACGTGGAGGACCGCCTGCTTCCCGACTCAGCCGACTACAGCGAGAAGAGCAACTACCGACGCCATGCGGGCCACAAGAAGACATTTCGATGGATCATGGTACTCACTTGCGTGTCCATCTTGACACTGATTCCCTTCATTTTTGCCCAATTCTTCAACGTGCAGACCAAGGGTCGGCCGGCAGAACCGGCTCATGATGAGGACAACCATGAAGAAAGCCCGCCTCCGCCGCCGCCGCCACCACCACCACCGGCGGACCCAGTGCCGGAACTAACGACGACGATAACGCCAACAACAACTTCGTCCCTTATCCCCACGCCAACACCGGAAGTGAAGTTGACGCCGGATCAGCAATTCAATCTGCAGACAGGTTTCGAGGTATCGAACGTGACGTCGATGCGGGAGTATGTGTTCAACATTACGCGGCAGCAGCACTCTCCCGATGGCTTTGAAAAGTCAATGATCCTCGTCAACGGACAGTCGCCCGGCCCTCTCATCGAGGCAAATACGGGAGATACCATCCGTGTTACGGTGCACAACCAGATGCTGAAGGAGAGTACCACGATTCACTGGCACGGCATCGACCAGAGGAAGTCGGTCTGGATGGACGGTGTTTTTGGCGTAAGCCAATGTGCCATTCCCGCCGGCGAAAGCTTCACCTACGAGTTCAATGTTACCGACCAGCGAGGCACGTTCTGGTGGCACGCTCATGTTTCAGTTCAAGTCACTGATGGACTATTTGGACCCTTGGTAAGTATTCTCTCACACCAACTCATGAGACACCGCTTGTGAAGTCTTGACCTGTGAGGTAGCTCGGCGATACTAACATACAATCTCTCAATGTAGATCATCCATGACCCAGATGAAAAGATCCCCCCTGTAGATGATGACAAGATCGTGATGGTCGGAGACCTCTTTCATGAGTATGGAGGCACTGTAAGTTTACTCGGCAACAGTTTCTCTCATGTTGTGCTTACAGCTATCTACTAGCTTCTCACTCAGTACCTAAGTGCCAATCCACCCTGGGCACCTAAGAAGCCTGGCAGAGAGCCTCCCCCTGACAATGTCATTATCAACGGCAAGAACACGTTCAACTGCTCCAGCATCGAAGGCCATGATGCAAACAAGGCCAAGTCAGGGGAGGACCACAGCGGCCACGACATGGAGAACATGGGGAGCCACAACACGCCTAGAGATGCCCCTCCCCCCAAGTGCACATGGGGTTCCCTCTTCAACACACGTGTCAAGAGCGGCTCAACGGCTCGTCTGCGTCTCATCAACCACGGCACGTCGACGCCAATCTTCGTAACGGTTGACGATCATCCTCTTCAAATCGTCGAGATCGACGGTGTCGAGGTCGCTCCCATTGCCACATCCCGCGTGTATATGAATCCTGGCCAGCGTTACTCCGTCCTGATTCACGCCAACCAGACTGCCGGAAACTATCTGATCCATGCCGACGCCGCGGTTCGCTGCTTCCACATGTCCCACAAGAACCACAAGGCGGGTATGATGCACGGCTCGCCTTTTGGAGCCACTGCGATCCTGTCGTATGACGAGACAGACCTCGGTGTACCGCCGATTGGCAAGGCGTGGGACCTGAATGCCAACTCGAACCTTGGTGTCGGCAAGGAGCCGTGGGGAGACAGGTGCGAGGACTTGCCGCACAACCTCCCGAAGCCCGTGAGAAGCAGGCCAGCCTACGACGTTGGCGACAGGAACTACCATTATTTCACGTTCAAGCAGGAGCGTGTCAATGACGTCGTTCGTACACATGTCAATGATGTAAGTTGAAAGAAGCTCCTGGCTGACCCGATGAAGAACAGCTTGCTGACAGCGACTAGACCCTGTATACACCTCTGACCGACGATGCTTCGCTGTGGAAGGTTATGCAGCAGGACATCACGCCGGAGAACCTGAACTCGCCTCAGCCGAAACTGGACTTTGGAAGGAATCAATTCGTCTTGGTGTCCCGGGATGATAAAGCTGCCCAAATTGTAGTCAACTCGGACGCTATGATGATTCATCCGTGGCATTTACAGTAAGTTTTCCTTGAGACCTTCAATCTTGAACTCACAACTGACCGTCTATCTAGTGGTACTTACTCGCATAACTTTCTCTACTCTTTGCCGACGTGCTAATCCGTAAATAGGCCAGAACTTCCAAGTCATCGGTTGGGGCAATGGCCTCTTCGGAGCCAGCAAGACTACATGGAACTTTGACAACCCAATGCGCCGCGACACGATTACAATTCCAGGATACTCACACCTCGTAATCCGCATAACAGCAGACAACCCGGGTGTTTGGGCCTTCCATTGCCATTACCTGTGGCACGCTGAAGGTTAGTCATCCACTTACTCTTTCAACGGCCCAGAACACGGACTAATCTTATACCACAGCTGGTATGTTCGTCTCCATCGCTCAGAGAATGGGCGAGCTCGCGAACATGTTGGGCACCTTGGACGCCAACGGCGATGCCGGTGCCATCAAGAAGAAGTTCTGCCCCATGGCCAAGGCACAATCCGGCGCTCCTCTCGCGCAGCCCGTTCAGACTGGGGCACCTAAACAGCCTCGGGGGCTTTGATGCATAAAGGCTAGATTGGATGTGACCGTAGCTGTTGATATAGAAGTAAATAATTGAGCATACATCCAGACATTGGATGCACCGGCTTCGATATACTTGCGTAGTCGCCGAAGTTTTGAAGGACATTTTCCAGCATAACGATGCCCTCACCATTCCAAGATAGCTTCACTCAACCGGCGCCTTCTTCGTAGGTCGTCGGCGCCGGCCTGATATGCAGAGCCGCATGATATTTACCATTTGTGACCAATCAGTAATCATTCCGACACTCATCAAAAACGTAATTCCAGAAGAGGAAGACAACTCAGAGTGAGCACTTTTCAATTTAACAGATTTGATGACAGTCGGTTAGCGAAAAGCTACCGGTAAAAGTCGACCTGGACTTTACCTGGTGGACTTGTGTTAAATTAACCAAGATCATGACAGAATAACCGCCACTAGTGAAGCTCGCATGTCGTTGGATCGATCGTGAAGCAAAGGACTCCCCCGCATCTAGAAATCACGTATGTCGATGGGACCTTTGCATTTACTACAGGCTGCAGCGCCCGTCCTACCATCCGGAGCTCTGCGGTCTTGTACCGAGCACCGACGTTCAGGTGTGACAATGGACCGGTTTCTGCGGGATACTGCATGGCAATTTCCCAACCGGCGGTGCCAACGTTATGCTAAACTTTCAGGGTTGATTAGCGCAAATCTTCAACATAGTCGGCAACGTCGGACGAGCATTAGTTCCTAGGAATAAGGTTGCCTGGCACTCTATTTGAGTATTGATGAACTGCCGCAAGTTGCGGAGTCTCTAGCCAATCAGAACAACAACGAACCCCTAGGTTACACTATCTCAAGCTTTCTTATCCCGGCCCTAAGGTCGGAAAGGGTAGGTGGCTAACGGATACACGTGCAGATGAACGATATTCCTGGGACTGGTCACTGCATGTCGGCTTCGCTTATTTGCGAGATCGCCAGGTACGAGAAGTTAACTCCTGCAGCCTGCAAGGCCTCAGGGGCTAGATCCCGCCGATATGGTGCCACGGCACCGTTCACTCGGCCCCTGACATGGGGAAGCAATGGGCCATGGGGCGTAGGTCACCTTGGTGTGAGTATATAGAACTGTCTGGTTGGCATCCTGATCCTCAGCGTCAAGATCTCACCCAAGCGCCAAGGACTCAACGCCAGATTGAGTTGACGATACCGCAGCAATGGCGAAGAATTCTCTCACCCTCCTCCTGGGCTCCCTCCTTGCGGGGGCCGCCTATGGTGCTGGGCTTCGCAAGACGTACATCGTCCAGATGAAGCATACCGCTGCCTCCGGCCTCCAGCGCAGAGATCTGTTCGACTCCTCCCTGGTCGCCGTTTCCGCCGATCCTGCCAACGTGCTCTACCACTACGAGAACACGATCAACGGATACGCCGCCAAGATCACAGACGGTCAAGCTGACGCTCTGAGAGACCGGGACGACGTCCTGTCCGTCGCTCTTGACAAGGCCTACCGCCTTCACACCACCAGGACGCCGAACTTTCTAGGCATCGACGACGCCTCGCTTCTTGGGCGCGGGCTCGACGTCAGCAGCTACCTGGACGAAAGAGATGACTATAACGGCACCAGCGCGGAGTCCAACCTTATCGTTGGCATCTTCGACACGGGCGTCTGGCCCGAGAACCCCAGTTACAAGGATGACGGCATGCCGCCCATCCCTGTCAAGTGGAAGGGCGAGTGTGAAGCCAGCGACGATTTCCCGGCCTCCAGCTGCAACAAGAAGCTCGTCGGTGCCAGAGCTTTCTACAAGGGCTACGTCGCCGCTGTCACCAACAATACAGGCTCCTTCAACTGGACCGGAGAGTACCAGTCCCCTAGAGACGATGATGGACACGGTTCGCACACTTCGTCCACCTCGGCCGGAGCCGCCGTGCCCAACGCCAGCCTCTTTGGCCAGGCCTCTGGTACCGCTCGCGGTATGGCTGAGTTCGCCCGTGTCGCCATGTACAAGGTCTGCTGGAAGGAGGGTTGCTTCAACTCTGACATACTCGCGGCCATGGATAAGGCCATTGAGGATGGCGTCAATGTCATGTCCCTTTCTCTCGGCCCCGATCAGCCCTCCTTCAGCGAGGACGATGGCTCAGCACTCGGTGCATTCGCCGCCGTCCAGAAGGGCATCTTTGTCGCCATGTCTGCCGGTAACTCTGGCCCGGGAGCAGGCACTGTAGTTAACCTCGTAAGCATCTTCCCACCCTTGACCCAATCTCCTTGTTCCATTGAAGCTCTGACACATTTGTAGGCCCCCTGGGCTCTGACCGTCGCTGCGAGCACGCTTGACCGTGACTTCCCTGCTCACGTCACCCTCGGCAACGGCAAGAACTACACCGGCTGCTCCCTATACAGTAACGGCTCCGTCACCGACATCACGCCTCTCAAGGTCGGCGAGGTCCTCCCCCTTGTTCACGCAAGCCAGGCCGGCAAGGGCAATGTCACCAACGCCAACTTATGCCTCGCAGACAGCCTCGACCCCACTAAGGTCGCCGGCAAGGTCGTCGTCTGCGTGCGCGGAAACAACGGCAGAACCGAAAAGGGCGGCGTTGTCAAGGCTGCTGGTGGTCGTGGCATGGTCCTCGTGAACGCGCCCGCCAACGGCGTCGAGCTGATTGCCGATGCGCACATCCTGCCCGCTCTGCACCTTACTGCCTCAGATGGAGCCGAGGTGGAGGCCTACGCAAAGACCGGCAACGGCACGGCTATTTTGGACTTTGAGGGTACTAGGCTCGGAGTCCCAGCTCCGCTTATGGCGGCTTTCAGCTCGCGCGGCCCGAACTACATTTTCCCGCAGCTCCTCAAGCCGGATGTCACGGTACGTAACGAACAGTATTCTGAAGCTGAAAGAGGCTGTGTAAGATTTTCAATAGACTAACATAACGACAGGGGCCTGGTGTTTCCATTCTTGCAGCCTGGGCCAGCACTGGACCTACCGGTCTTGATATTGATACCCGCAAGGTCGACCAGAACGTCATCTCGGGTACGAGCATGTCGTGCCCTCACCTGAGCGGCCTTGCAACTTGGATCATGGCCCGTCGTCCGGAATGGAGCCCGGCTGCCATCCGCTCAGCCATGATGACAACCGCCTACACCAATACCAAGGGCGCCAAGACCCCTCTCCTGGACTCCTCCGACAGCAAGGCCGCCACTCCTTTCCTCTACGGAAACGGCCACGTGGATCCCGTCGCCGCCCTGAACCCGGGTCTTGTCTACGACATTGCCCCCGCCGACTACCTCCCCTGGCTCTGCGCCGTCAACTCGACGGTCGCCTTCACGGCCGCCATCACCAGAAGCAACTTCACCTGCGCGTCCAACCAGACTTACAGCCTCTACGACCTCAACTACCCCTCCTTCTCTGCCCTGTACGATAGCGCCGCCGCCTCGGACGGATCCTACACCGCCACCTTCAAGCGCACCGTCACTAACGTCGGCGGTGCCGGCACGTACAAGGCTGACATCTCGCTCAACGACGCCGACTTGGTCAAGGCCTCTGTGACGCCCGAGACTCTCACCTTTGAGGCGGCCGGAGAGAAGAAGACGTTCGAGCTGACTGTCACGATGAGCTCCCCGCCCACCGCGGACGCCACTTCCTGGGGCAGACTCGTGTGGTCTGACGGAACCCACGTTGTGGGCAGCGCATTGTCGTTTGTGTGGGGCATTCCGGCTCCAGATGCCGCTTAATTCCTGTAGAACGTGTGAGACATCGTTGTCGTGCCGTTGCGGAACCCTAATCGAAACCTTTTAAGGTTCCATGCCTTAGTTTGTATGATTTCTTTAATCTTGCGGAAGCAGTGTTTTGGGGGATTGAGCTGTCGGCAGCTGAGTCGTCTTTTCAAGTTGCCTCTGGGCCTTTGGGAAAAGCGAGAAATTATTCGTGGGGCTTTGTAGAGCCCCATTCAGGCACAATGCCTGTAGCTAAACTCAATCCATTTTGTTAATTCGAAGCCGAAACTCTTTTGTTGTTGACGTGATCTGGTATTCCAGCTCCTTTCCCGTAGGTTGGCAATGGAATTCCACAAACTTGCCAGGCACACGACCCAAAATCCGTTTTTTGGCTAAATAAAGTGTGGCCGTGTTGCTTGGTTTGGTCAGCCCTAGATCATGTACGCCTTGGCGCTAGTGATATTCGAAGGATTAACTTTGGTATTATGAAGGCTGTCAACGGAGTGAAGGATTCGCGGGATCAGCTTGAACAAATGACGGATGGGCAAAAGGAACGAACCGTCAAGGGTAAGATGAACATTTCGACCGCCCGATACGAGCACCGACTTACACGCTAACTGTGCGTGGCTTGCAACCCCTGCATGGGCTTACTGGTGTTGCAATCGCAACCAATGGAAAGGCTCTGCCTTACTCACTTCACTCTCTTGATATCGTGACCAAGCTTTGCGAGAAAAAATCAAAAAGCGAGTTATTTAACACTAAACTAGGTACTTTTAGCTGGTGGCGCCAGAGGCTCTTTTCCGAGTCTCTAGTTTGAAATTGGATCTTTGTTCAAAACCCGCAAACACGGCGGTCTTATCCACTCATAATCACTCCGCTTTCCAATTAAGTTTTCTTGACACGGAAAATCGGAAAGGTTGTCTTCGTAAACTTCAGCAACCCATCCCGGGTCCCTGGCCCCAGTGTCCACCCCCGGTGCGGCCGTGCCGCAGCCCGGTGGTGACATGTCATGTTAATGACGATCGACCCCTTTGGACAACTCGGGGTGCCTGGACGATCTATATTTACTTTCCGAAGGACGACGTTCCCACGTTTTTGTGTTGTTTATCTGATTTTGTGTTCCCCCGACGGCATATTACTTTCTCTCTGAAAGCTGAAAGACATACCATATCACACATCAAACGAACCGGCCATGCACGTCTCACTCAGCCGCTCGCTGCAGCTGCTGACACTGTTCGCGGGCTTTAGCTCTGCGGCGACGATAACAACGACGCCCTCGACCTCCGTCGAAGTCGATCTTGCCTTTCCGCGCAACGGCAGCACGTACAAGCCCGTCTGGCCCTTCCCCTTCGTCTTCGCCGTCCGCAATGCCTCTAAGCTCTGGCCAGAGTCTGACGAAAACAACTTTTACAACTTTTGGGTGAAATGGGATCTCACGGGGTACACCGATATTAACGATGCGGACACGGGACAACTCTTCAGCTCGGGCGTCTGGCAGACAGAGGCAAAGAACAAGACAGCCGATACCTACACCATCATCGACGCATCCCGCAGGGACTTGGTCAACGCGACGCAACGGGAGTTCCGCCTGCGGTACACGGCGACCATGTTCAGCGCCTGCCCCAAGAACGCCACTGGCGAGGGTCCGTCGTCAAAAGTCTACGATGTCTCGTACAATGGTACCGCCTTCTTCACAACCGACCCCAACGGACAGATCCCGTCTCTCGTCGACACGACTGCGTGCCCCGACTTTGTCGGCAGTTTTGAAATCACGGGCAACAGTCACGACTACGGCGACATCTGCCCCGTGGTCTCGGACAAGGAGCCCGCATCTGAAGCCTGCGGGTTCAAGATGGACGCGGCTCTGGAGACGCAAGTCAAGGAGGCGATGCTCACGCGAGCCAATTGCCAGAACGGGACCTGGCCTGACCCCGAGGGCAAGCTCTCAGCGTTATCTTGCAATGCGGTCAAGACCAGTGATGCGGGTGCCAAGTTGCTCGGCGGCCTTGTCACCAAGTCCTCGGCGCTCGTGTTGATCTTGGCCTCAGCTTGGGCAATAGTCTGAGGGTCCGGCGCTGCCCCACACACACACTTCCACATACTATCTGGGCTGAAGTGCCGTCATCAAACGTGGCGCTTTTCAGCTTGGCAACAGCGTTGTTTTTAGCCAACCTTTGGCATTTTGAAAGTTAAAATTCTTGTTCTATATTGTACATATTGGAATGGCGGTTGGGCTTAGAGATACCATCCTAGACAGTGGGAGTTTGGAGTTGTTTACACGAGATGAGCCTTTCGGCAGTGGTTCTCATGTTCTTGCAATTCAGTGGAATACCTTATATTCATCTTCGTCATGCAAATATTCAAACAATGTTATTCTGTCAAAGAGTAGCTAGAACACATTACTCAAAGACTACGTTGAGCCCTAGTCCAATCAGTTTGAGGAAAGGCATGGTAAAAGCTTTGCACACTTCACCCCTCAAGTAGAGTGTCAACACGTGAGTTAAACAGACCTTGCGCAAAGTTATAAAGTCCAGGAACAACTTGTTCTTATCGATCGATTGATTGATAGTGGGATTTGTGACGTTGTCCGTAAGGCGATACGCTCATCTTGCTGACCACATACCTTAGCTTTAACAAACGTGTCAGTCCTTCCTCATTTTCGATCCTGCCGAATTCGGCTTGAAAGTTGCAGCAACAGCATAAGGTACCTAAATCACTCTAACGGTTTGATCGAAAGTACAATCCGACGCCGGCCTAAGTTGCACTAGGTCCTAAAGCCGCCGTAGCAACGCATATCAACTGGGTCTCTTAGATTTCATGTTAGACTTCAGATACAATGACATTCATCACTTATGCTACGCCATGTTTTACTCTGTGCACTGGTGAGTCCAAATAAATATCAGACCTAAAGTCATGACGTTACACGTACTGATCGAGTGCTTAATTGATGGGCTTCTGGACTTCTCCTAGGCCCGCTGTTCGGGCCGAGATTGCTTTCTTTACGTACTATGGCTCACTGCGAACCTAAAACCTTCAAAATACGACGAGTTGCGGTAAGATGCAATGAATTGTTACATTTGACTCTCAGGCCACCCAACGTAAGGCTGACAGCGCGATCAAAGTGACAAAGCCCATGTGCAACGAGCAAGTGCACTCAGTTCTTAATCTAGATATCGAACTTTTCTTTGACCAGTTCTTCGCTCAGCGCCCAGAGCCTATCAGCATGTCAAGTTGTGGTGTTGACGCAGGGTGGAAGCTCTCAGAGGCCAACTACAGTTAGGGGTAGAATGATGAATTACTGAAATCTGCTCCTCCCTCGACGTGTACTCCCTGCGCTGTATATATATCTGAGCTGCTCCTTTGTTGCTTGGACTCCTTACTACCTCTAACTAGCCCCTATCCGGGAGGGCTCTGACACAGCATACTCCTTGTTCCTCGCAAATCCAGCGCATTGCTCATCATCAAGCTTGCAGTCAGCCATGTAGAGACCCTTTGCTTCAAGGCCCGAAAGGTCCGGGCTCGGCAATTCGGTATCCACGGCAGAGAGGACCGAAGAGTTGGCACCTTGATCGGGTGTTTTGGCAGGAGCCTCGAAGCCAAGTTCCTTTACCCTCTTCAGCGCCTATTCAATTTCGTCCGGTTTGGCGTGACGGTTGATGTTGGTAGTGACTGCACCGGGGTGGATAGCATACGATCTGATGCCGTACTTGGCTTCCAGTTTTCTGGTAAGTGACACCGAGAAGAGAATATTGGCCGTCTTGGACTGCCCGTATGACAGGAAGCCAACGTAAGACTTGTCGGACCAATCTTGGCCCGTCAAGAAGCGGGCCTTTTGAAGATCAGGACGTTCTTCCTCGGGAAGCTCCGCGGGGATCTTGCTAAAGTTGATGTCCAAAAAGCGAATTGGCGAGAATTAATGTTCATAGGAGCTTACGTTGATGATCCTGGTAAGAGTGGAAGACGTCTCTGCTGCCTTGATGATTTTGGGCAGGATGAGGTTCGTGAAGAGGAAGTGGCCAACGTGATTGGTGGCAAATGTCATTTCGATGCCATCTTCGGACAGTTGAAGGTCCGGAAGGGCCATAACACCCGCGTTGTTGACAAGAATGTCAACGGTAGGGACACTCTTGTCTTCATTAAGCTTGGCAGCAGCAGCGCGTACGGAGGCTGTAGAAGACAGGTCCATAATCAGCGCATCATATTGAACGCCTGGATACGACGCTTTCAAAGTACTTATGGAGGTCTGCACCTTTTCAGGGGGTCGGCCCGTCAAAATGAGGCGCTGCTGACGTTGGGGTGAAAATGCAGCAGCAGTGACCAGACCAAGACCATCCGGCGAGACGCCGGTAACGATGATTGTCTTGCCGGTGAGGATTTCAGAATATGTCGCGGCAATCTCTGTGGCTGAGGTCAAAGCGTTGAGTCGGTTCTGGAAGACATGATGCCTGGCTGGTTGATCTCGAGAATGAAGTCGGTGAATGAGTTTGGACTTGAAGTGAAATTTGGTGTGAGAGCGAGGCAACTTGTCAATTAAATTGTTGGTAGAGGAAGGCCTTCTGTTGGAATATTGACGGCAGAAAAGGGTGGATTTGGAAGGTGGTCTGGGCCGTTGCAAACGGCCCTTCCACCTATTTACACCCAACGGAGGAATCGTGGGCTACGCCCACCAACTTCCTCCTTACACAGATATACGCAGTTCAATACCAAGATTATTGAGCTTCGTACCGGCCCACAGGCCCCTGCTGACGTGTATACCAACACCTTCCTCTTTTATAGTTCGAGAGTGATGCTTAGACACGATCGTTGAGGTCCAAGGTTGTACGGAATTCAGTCCATTGTGTCAGGCCCATCCCAGTACACTCGTTACAACGATTGTCACACTATGCCTATGAAACAATATGGTCTTACACAAGCATGACTAAGTTTTCCAAGGATATGCCAGTATAAAGGGTATTCCACTCACTATATAGATAGTCGGGATATTCCCATAGCCACTCGTTCTTCATACTCATCAATACATCCCATTGACCCCCTACCTGATAATCGCTGCCCAACAGCTTCCAAGAACTCACGCAAATCGGCCAGACACCAGATCACAAGGCATCGAGAAAGTCTGGCTATGAGAAAACCATCGCAACATGCCGCGAAGCCAAGACCAATGGCATAGGATACGCATGGATTGACACCTGCTGCATCGACAAGACGACCAGCGCTGAGCTTGTTGTTGTTGTTGTTGTTCTATTTAACGCCATGGCGGCAAGGGCGCAGCCGCCCTTGCGGCAGACCTCCCGAAGGGTATGTGGCGTGAAGGGTCGCAGGCTCTAGCTATATACTATATAGTACACGCCGTATCCTGACGTCCTCCAAATCTTGCTCGTGAGCTACTATGTGTTCTATCCATCCCTAGTTCCCACTGGTGCCCTAGTTCCGTTATAACCATCTGGTTTCTTAATAGAGGTAGTTTGTCGTAGCGCTGAGCTTGGCGAGGCTATCAACTCTATGTTCCGCTGGTATCGTGATGCTCAAGTCTGCTACGCCTTTCTCTCGGACTGGCCGGCTGCCGGCGATGGCGCCGATTCCACCGACGAGGCCTTGAAAAATTGCAGATGGTTCACCCGCGGCTGGTGTTTCAGGAACTTATTGCGCCCAAGGTTCTCCGATTCTACGACGAGAAGTGGATCTTCCGAGGTCATAGATCAGACTTCAGGGAGGCTATCTCAAGGATCACGCGGGTGGACGCAGACGTTCTAGGGGATTGCACACTCCTGGAGTCAAAGCCAGTGGCGCGCAGAATGTCTTGGGCATCGAGGCGGACTACGACGAGGATAGAGGATGTCGCCTACTGTCTCATTGGAATTTTCGACGTCAACATGCCGATGCTGTACGGCGAAGGCGACAGGGCGTTTTTGCGTCTGCAAGAGGAGATTATCCGGCGCTCTAACGACATTTCAATCTTCTGCCATGCACCGCTGCGACCTCACCCATCGACGTCGTTGATGGGTAAAGAAGACTTGCCGCCAGATCTCTCGGATCTCTATTTCTGCGACATGCTAGCCAAGTCTCCAGAAGCGTTTTCTGAGTCCAATAGCATCTCGCGAATTCGAGGGACATTGTCGGATTGGAAGCCCAATTCGGCCGCGAGTAAGGGCAGAGCATGGGCCACCTCGAGGGAGTACAATTAGACCTCGACGGTCCACCCAACCTCAGGTTGGAATCTCCCTTTTACTCCTTACGCAGAATCAATCAATACAGAGATATTGATACTTCGTCACCCACAGGACCCTACGGTTCGAACCAACATCCCTGTGATAGGGATGCCAACAGTATGCCCATACCCCTGTCTACCCCTTATCTCTACCCCTGAGATATCCACTGCTATACCTCTTTCGTGACAACAGTTGTGGTACAGCGGTGACTGGTGAGATGAGGATGAAAGATGGCACAAGCTACTGCCCAGCACGTTACAAGTAAGGTGCTGCTCAATGCTCGGATCTGCCAGGAACCTAAGAACATTTGTGGTTCCGTGCCATCCACGTGTATAATCGAGGCTTATCTCGTGTTGTAATCGTCACAGGGTAAAATTGACTTGTTCTTGCATCCTTCACCGGAGTTGACTTGCCGGATGAGTAGCTGCCTAGTAGCACCAGTACAGTAGTCTTCCCGACATCTTGGCCACAGTCCACGTGGAGTCCTCAGCTCCTTACACGCACCCCGTGCTCTTGAACACTGTAACTACTAAATTTCAACTTGCAATGTGCACTATTCCATTAACTCAAGCCCTCTGTCTTTGCGACAGCGGTTTTCGCCGCTTGCTGCAGAGCATCCCCAAGGTCTTTGGGCATACTGAGAAACGGTGAGTGACTGGCCGAGAGGCTAGCCGTAAAAGAGCTGGGGGAGAATTGAGAGGCCATCATGATCTGTAAATCGAGCGGTATGGCCTGGTCATTCTCAGCAAAGATGTAACCCATTTCAAATCCTTCGTTCCAAGGTTCAAAGCCGGATTTGTCCTGGAAGGTCTTGAACGGCTGAGGACGCAGAGCATCGACGGCCTTGGCGGCGAGAGCGGGCTCGACGTCGGCATAAAATACTGAGATCGGATCGAGAGGCGAGATAAAGCCGTCCTGCATGAGTAAGAGTGGTGAGCCACAATCTTTGTATTTCCTGAAGCCGAGAGCTAGCCCACCTTGACGTCCCACCAGGGCACTGAACCCGCTCCGTCGGATAGAGCCGATCCGGCACCAATAGCAAAAGAGGTCATGTACACGACCATCAGAACACCGCCCGTCTTGCTCTGCGCAACGCGATCCTTGTAGTTGAAGCCCTCTACTGCGTTCGCTGTAGGAACACCGCCATAGGAATGCGCAACCACGACGACCTCACGCCCGTTGTCGACAAGCTTCTGCAGCTCGGTGCGGACGGCTGTCGTGTCTTGCTCCAATCCCACGTTCGCATCGGTGCTACCCACGCCGGCCAGTGTGACAGTTTCAGTACTGAAGCCCCGGCCGTGGAGGTCGTCACGCAACAGGTCGAAAGACCATGGACGGTGCCAGGCGCCCGGCACTAGAAGAAAAGTTGGAGGCGTACGAGAACTCATTGCGATGATACTGGTTGCGATCTTGAGGAGTTGATTGGGAATTTGAGATTGAACAGGGTCCGACTAAACTTGGTGGTGAGTGTGAGTGAGAGTGAGAACTGAGATGAAAGAGCTCGTTCGGGTAAGGACCTTGATCAGGGGAACACCATGTTACTTATTTCATTGGGTCGGGAATTGGATTCGGAAGGTGTTCATCCCCTGTTTCTTTCTTCAACGCGCGGGATATGGATGAAAGGCCGACGATATTGGGGCGCATTTACGTCCAGATGGGCCCTATTTCGTGGGACTCGAGCTAGGGCACCTGGCAAGTCTTGGCTTGGTTGTGTTGGTTGGCGACTTGGTGTGGATATTGCACGACTCAAGCAAGCTATCTGTCACGAAAGAGGTATAGCAGTGAATATCTCAGGGGTAGAGATAAGGGGTAGACAGGGGTATGAGCATACAAAATGGGCTCCCTCGAGGGCTTCCCTTTTCCCCTTTTCCATAGTTGATTAGACCACAGTTGAGATCCCGATTTCCATGAGCTACTCTATATGCTGATTCGTGACACTATCCGTACAGTGACATTTCCAGGGCGGCCCAAAACATGCCATTTTTTTCACACTACAGCCAACTCTTAGGGACCCTGTCATAATCCTTTCGAGTCGAATTGGTGATACCTGACGAGTAAGACGAACGCCAGCCAGTCTTTTTGTGGACCGGTGGGTTGAGGTTCCAACGGATGGTGTAATAGGTAATCGGCGTTCCCAGGTTCTGCTCGGATCGTAGAGAAATCAATCTCGATTTTGTACCTGGCGGCCCCAGTTCCCGGGCGCAAGAACCAGGGCCAAGAGCTAGTTCTGTTGCATCTTCGTGTTATGAATCGAACCGACTTATTGGCCAGCATGGAACGGCAAGTCTCGGTTTCCGGCTGGCCACACATAATATGGTCATTGTCTGGCTCGGGCACCCCCAAAAAACTGTCTGAAAACCTAACTTGACAGATGTCTGTTCTTCCGTCTTCAACTCAAACACAGAAGTCTTCACGGAGCCGGAGGCAAGATGGCCTCTCTGCCAGTTCCGGATGGCATAGATCTCAATGAGTCCAGGGCGACCAGCATCATTGGTGCTCTCAGTTGCACGTGGGCACTAGCAACCATCGCCGTTGCGCTTCGGTTCCTCGCTCGACGAATACAATCCAATAAGCTTTGGCTGGAGGATTGGCTGATCACTGTTTCCTTGGTATGCAACAAAGGCCCACATTTGAGTTTCCAACTTCTATCTTACGAGTTACGACAAAGTGCACGCGGATCACACGCTTACAATTCGATCTTAGACCGCAGCAGCTGTGCACGTTTTCATAAGCATAGGGTACAGTAAGTCAACTCCACGAAGCTCGAAGTCCAGTTGAATTATCAAAAGCCCCAACCTGACTGCATGCTGATTCCGCCGTAGTGATCCCTCATGGTACCGGTAAACACATTTGGGTTGCGCCACCCTCAGCGACAAGAGCGTGGGCGATAGGTCTTTTCATATCAGAGGTTGCATACACCGTGACTTTATCAACAGTCAAGTGGTCGACATTGGCGCTCTACTGGCGAATTTTCAATGCCCGTAAGAGCATCAGATATTACATTTGGGCTATGGCCGGCATCGTCTTGGCTTGGTTCATTGCTGTCGTATGTTGAAAGACATCCATTCCAACTGCGGTCTCAATGTCTGGCGATACCTGGGCATGTCACTGACAAAGTTCGCAGATTCTCGTCACGATTTTCCAATGTCTCCCTGTCCATGCGTTCTGGGCCCGCTATGACACAGTGAATTCCTTGTCGTCTGATCAATACACCTGCGGCGTGGACGTCAAAATGTTCTTCAAGGGAAACTCTATACCCAACATTATAACAGACGCGCTGGTGGTGTTGCTGCCCATCCCCTACGTCTGGAAGCTACAACTGCACAAAGCCCAGAAGTTTGCCCTTGCGGGTATTTTTGCGCTTGGTACTTTGTAAGTTGAAGAGCAGTCTGTACCGTCTACAAGAGACGTAACCGCTGCTGACGAATACTACTAGTGTTACTGTAGTCTCCATGGCTCGGTTAAATGTGATTCTCTCGGTTGACCTCACGTCACCGGACATCACTTGGAACTTCACCGACACCATTATCTGGACCAATGTCGAAGCCAACACAGCTATCATTTGCGGTAGGTTCTTTCGGCTCAGTCAGGTCAGAACGTTGTAATGGGATTAAATAACTAATATATCACCTGTCAAAAACTAGCTTGTCTCCCATGCCTCAAACCAATTCTCAACCTCGCGCTCAACGGAAGACTGAAATCTTCGATTAAAGCGAGTAATCAATACTCTGGCGGACAATACATACTCAACGACCGTACGAAGCCCAGCACTGCAAATGGTTGCAACTACTTAGGAGGCTCTGGTACTGGGACCATGCGGAAAGGGCTTGGTGGCGGTGCCGAGGACGAGCGCCCTTTTACTCGACTGAGTGAACGGGACTCTGAGCCGAGTATCGATGTCGTTAATGACGACGGAGGCAGTGGGCATGGAAGTTTGAGCAAAGGGGGAGGAATTATAAACACTCACGGCAAGAGCGGGAATTCAGCTCCATAGGCGTCATCGCAGTCAGCTTCAATGCATAAGGTAGTAAGTAAAGATCTGCAGAGGAAGATGGTCTTCTGAGAGGAATGCTCCTATTTGTGATACTTGGGTGCCCAGTGAGTTTCTAGAACGTATGCCCGACGAGCTGCAGTTGCTCTGGGTACTTCAATGTCATGCCCATGTCCATTGGACATGGAAGCAGGGGATTGGTCATGATCCTTGCTCTCATGTGAACCCCAGTAGGAGGACCCAATCGAAGTTATCGAACAACAAAAATGGGGCGATAATGTTCCAGACTTCTTTGTTGGTTCTGCATGTATCTTTCCCCTCATTCCAACATTCCAAGCTTTGGACGTGACATCCCGAACAGGCTCTACAATTCACCGTTACCCACACCATGGCAGAAGAGCTTTCCGCTGAGGCAGTCGCTGCGGAAGCAACCGATGGAGTTCACCCGACGACTGAAAATGCCGAAAATGCTGCTGCACCAGTAGCACCGGCATCGCCGGCTGCCGCATCACGCCCCGCCTCGCCAGTGTCACTAGTTGCTGCTGCGCCGATTGTAGCTGAAGAAGACCCAGATCCATCCACTGATGGATAGGAGTCGGGCACCGATGGCAGCTCCAACGCCTCAACTTCACTATCATCGAGCGTTCGTGAATACGAATGGGAGAATAAGCGCCGCTATCACAAGTTCAAGCAAGGCCGTTACCTGTGTCCAAACGATGAGCCCGAGCAGGATCGGGAGGATATGAAGCACGCTCTAGTAGTTCACATCTGCGACGGTAATCTGCACAGCGCGCCTCTAAATAACCCGCAAAAGATTCTGGACATAGGCACCGGCACTGGCATCTGGGCGATCGATATTACGTGAAGAGGCTTCTCTTCTGGTTTCGGCATGAGCTGACTAGATATGAAAGTGGGCGACAACTATCCGGAAGCAGAAATCGACGGCATTGATTTGAGCCCTATCCAACCCGGTTTCGTGCCGCCGAATGTTAAGTTCCTGGTCGATGATGCTGAGGCGGACTGGCTGTACCCGGACAACTCGATTGATTTTATCCACCTGCGGCACATGGCGCCGTTCATCAAAGACTGGCCCAAGCTGTTGCGTCAAGCATATAATTGAGTTATCCACTCAAACTCAAAGACAAATTGTGGAACTTTACTTATAATAGCAGGGTATTAAAGCCGGGTGGCTGGATCGAGTTGCAAGACCTGAGATGGAGATTTGCTTGCGACGACGACACGATGGGTCCCGACTACGCTCCGACTAAGATGACGAACCTCATCGAAGAAGGTCTCGGCAAGTTCGGCTTTGAGCTCTACGCATCGGAGATCAACCCGGAACGTCTCAAGGCTGGTGGCTTCGAGACACAAGTCCACGATGTTAGGAAGGTGCCGTTGGGGAGGTGGCCCAGGGACGATAATTTGAAAACCATTGGAACGTATTCTCAGGCGGTTTTGTTTGACGGACTTCAAGCTATTACGATGGGACCTCTGACGAGAGGGCTGGGCTGGACTCCAGAAGAGGTCGAAGTGCTGCTGATGCAGGTGCGGAAAGACCTCAGGAACGTGGCTTTCCACACGTATGTTTACTATCATGCTTTATCTGGGCAAAAGCCGGTATAAGAGGCTTGAAATTTGGGAAGAGTCTTAGCGACGGGCCTATAGTTTAATCTACATATTCTTAGTAATTGCAAATACAATGCTGCATTGCATAAAGTCAATTCGAGAGTGATGGGAGTTTGGCTAAGAGCGCTGAAACTATCGACCATAACCACTGGACTAAGCGTTTACTATTGGCAAGACCGCAAACAGAAGCGATATATAATTGTTGGTATCACAGGCGTGATACATTTCCTCATGAGGGTGTATCTTCGGCAACAATCACGTCGATGTCCGTGATAATTGCTGTTGTTGTTCTTCTTCCTATTTACATTGTGGGCAGGGGCCGATCGAAGTAGGTGGAGACGGCCTGGGTGGTTGTCCCACCTTAACCGGCCGTGATGACTAAGCCGGTTGACCCACTTCGCCCAGGGCAGGCGCCAGCCAGCCCACGATACCTGCCCATTGCTCCTTATCAGCCTTGCCGTTCCGACAATAATTGATAGAGTATTGACAAAACATCACTATGAGTATGATCCAAGATATTGCTGACAGTTTCAACGATTTGGATGTGGTTTCGAATGGACGGCAAGATAGACAGTCCAACGTACTGAATCAATTACATGTCGACTCTTATGTCCTTCATGCAGAATCTTGAATGTTTGCTTCTATCACTACATCCAACCCCCTGCCTGATTAAAAGTAAACACGTTTTATATGTACTAAGTGATGTCAACTTTGACTAGAACACAGCAGCAGCTATTGGCTGATGAACTCCCCCACAAGGTAACATGGCGCATGTGAGGAAAAAGACCCAAAGCTGGGCCAGTTCACAAGGACTGCACATTCAACGCATAATGTCACGCTTCCGGCTGCCCTAAGTTTGTCGAGATACGATACTAAGTGTTGAAATGCGGATCACAAGTCGTTCCGATTGGAACAAACGTTGGATCGTTCAAATTCAATTTGATTCGCGTTTGCAAGTAGTTCGTCACTCCTTCGCACCACCGGAGTAGGTCTGGACCCGACTTCCCGGTCCAAGAGGGAATGGACCGGAGTTAAGTACTAATTTCGAACTTTGAAGATACCAAGTGCGGAGTTTGTGTAAATGCGTTGCTTCGCCGAATCGTAGTTTCTTGTGTACCTCGGATATTCCCATTTCAATGTGTTGTGCAGCGATTATCAGGTAGGGGGTCAATGGGATGTATTGATGAGTATGAAGAACGAGTGGCTATGGGAATATCCCGACTATCTATATAGTGAGTGGAATACCCTTTATACTGGCATATCCTTGGAAAACTTAGTCATGCTTGTGTAAGACCATATTGTTTCATAGGCATAGTGTGACAATCGTTGTAACGAGTGTACTGGGATGGGCCTGACAGAAGCTAACTGTTGGATCTCTGAGCAGTCGGCAGAAAAGATGGATATGGAAGGCGGTATGAGCGCTTACAAACGGCCCTTTCACTTACATACCACTTCTGGGAGATCGTGGGCTCTGCCCACAATCTCCTCCTTCCACCTCCGGACGCAGCAATAATAGACCATTATTGACACTTCGTTCCAACCGTACGGTTGCCCTGCTGACGTGTATACCAACACTAACCTCCTCGTTTTCGGCCCATGTATGCGAGAGGATCGCATATGCTGGCGCATGACTTGAAGCAAAAGCTTTCAGCTGAAGAGTCTCCGTATCGATGAGCCGGATGGACATTCTGCGTCGTGATACTGCTACTTTGAACCCTAGGAGGCGACTTAATTAAGATGTTGAGTTTGCCGTAGAAGCTCCCGCTGAGAAGCAGGTAGAGCCAGAAAAGCATGAGAATAACGTACGACGACTGTTGTCTATTTGGCATATCCGTAGGTGCCTGAGAGGATCCAGCTCCAGTCCTCAGCTGAGTGTTGTGAATCCTAGTCGTGCAGGTAGCATGCACTATGCACCAATAGCATCGCTCGTCACACTGCAACCAAGCCAATAGTCTCTTACCGTAATCGGCAAGATGGTGACAAATATCCCCTCTGCTCTTCAACAGATATTGGTTAGAGCTTGTTTCAACTTACAGTCGTTGGCATGTGTCGAACCATTTTACGGGGTTGACTTCAATTAGAAAAGATTGCGAACCTCAGTGAAAAGATCAAGTGCGACGAGTAATCTTGGATTAGATGCATTGGATGGTACTATTACTTTACTAAATGCAAGATGGGTATTGACTTTGAAGCTTCAAAGCTTCTGGGTTTGTAAAATGCGATGCATTAAACTCTGTGTTCAGCATCGCTCTGGTACTGCCTCTTATCCTCATCGTCTTGATGAGTGACCAAAGCCTCAGTCTTCTCGCTCACAGCAGCCGCAGGAGGGACCGCAGCGTCGTCACCATCAAAGATAACAGCCATTTGCTCCAATGTATGTCCGCGGGTCTCAGGGTAGGCGAAGAAGACGGTGATCCAAAGGAGAGCAAGCATCACAATGAAGACGATGTAGTACTTCCAGTGGATAGCCTCCAAAGCAATGGGGTTCACAAAGGTGTTGATGAAGATGGCGACGACGGTTGAGCACCAGGTGACGGTGAGACCACGGGATCGGAGGCTGAACTGCCAAATCTCGCAAGGGTAGGCAGTGAGGAAGGGAGTCCTGTTTAAGGTTAGTGATTGTTCTCTTGAATCAACTGCTAGATTATATGGAGACTTACATGGCAATGTCGTATCCAGCAAAGAAGATGAACAAGAATGGGATGACCGAGGATCCGATGGCAGACGACTGGGTCGTGGCAAAAGAACCGCTGAGGCCAGTAATGATGATGAAGCTCACCAACATGACGCTGGCAGAAGTCAAGAACAGGAAGCGGCGACCCAGCTTGTCGACGCTGGTGGCAGCAGCGATGGCCCACAGCAGGTTCCAGACGTTCAGGCAAGCCGAAATCAAGGTCTGGTTCGTAACCGATGTGACTCCAATCGAGTTCAGGATAACTACACATTCGTTAGCACGGTTTATTTTGTATTACCACCTATTGAAAGGTGTCGAAAGGATGGAATATCGTACGGGCTAGGCAGATGTTAGCTTTTGAGACAAGAAATACAACGTTTCCGATTAAGACTCACGGAGATAATATGACACCACGCCGTTACCAGCCCACTGGGCGTAGATACCGAGAGTAACAGAGATGAAGAGACGGTGACGGTTTCCTGGTGTCTTGATCATGTCGGCGTACGAAGCGCTGGCAGAAGCCTCCTTCTCTGCGGTGATGGTGGCCTGGATCTCCACAACCTGGTAGGTTACTAAGGGGTCGTTTCTGTTGCCACCTGCGTGATGCTTGGCCAGAATCTCGGTGGCCTCCTCAACGCGCCCAACACTAATCAGCCAACGAGGACTCTCGGGCGACATGAGGAAGCCAGGCAAGGCAACGAAGGGTAGGACGATCTGGAGGACGACGGGAATACGCCAGCACCAGTCCGAGGCAATGTTACGGCAGGCAAAAGTGACCCAGCCGCAGAGGGTACCGCCGAAATACCAACCGACCATGAACAGGGCGTTGGCAATGGATCGTTGCTTCGGGTGTGCGATTTCGTTGATCAAGAGAGGAGCCGAGTTTCCGAGCCACGAGGCAGCAATACCGATGAAAAGACGAGAGTAGGTGAATGTTACCTCGTTCTGAGCAGCCGTTTGCATTACGACACCGAGGACCAGGAACAAGTATCCGACGTAGACACCCGGCTTGCGACCCCAACGGTTGGAGCAGATGGCGGCGATGGGGAAGGCGATACCGTTTCCGAGCCAGTAGATTCCTGTGATCCAACCGAGATATGCGCCGGAGGGGTTGTGCGTAAAGGCGTTCCATCGAGGCAGGGCGAGGAGACCGCCCATAATGGATCCATCGTAACCGTTGGCAGAAGCTGGCGTAGTCAAAGTTAGTTACGACAGGCCACTCAACGTTGAACTGAGTCTACGCACAGAACAACACCATAGACAAGGTGATGAAGTTGAGCTTCCGCAAGTGGGCGTGCTTCCACCAAGGGAGGTCATCGCCGGGGATCACGGCCAAGTCTTCGACAGGTTTACCCATATTGGCGTTTGGTTTGCAAAGTCGGAGGAAAGGCTGGCAAAAGGAGAAGAGACAGGTCTTCGAATTCGTAAAGGAACTCTCAAAGATATTGTCGTCAAGTTGTCTGGACTCTTTAGAGCCTGTGAGCGCCGTGAAGCAGGGTCACATCACACAGTCCAGGGGTGGAAGAAGGCAAGGTCTATATACGATCGATACTCCCTTCACAAGTGACAACAGGGGAAACAAGTCGGAAGTTGGATTGCGCTTTGCGTACAAAAAAATACCGAAGAGGTGGAGCATGGCATCCCGATGCCCCGGTCGTCGCGTGTTCGTCCGGAACGCAGATTTGGGTCGGATGGGGGTTGGGGGGGGGGGGGGGGGGGCCAGAACTCTCCAGTGTCACGCCCCATGGAGAAAACGCTCCCAATGCAAGCTGTCGCGGGGGCCCATACGACCCACTTGACAAACATTGGGAAAAGCGGTTTACGAAGTAGTCGTAAGGTTGGTCTGGAGAAAGGAGGAAACGGGGGCGGAGAATTGAGTCAGTTCATGCTTTGATGTGACGGGAATAGTCAGAGTTGAGGTCTTCAAGAGTCATGAGACTAAGGAAACTATCACCGAGGCGGAGAAATATGTTCTTGGCTAATGTTGGCTTGTCATAGCTGGATATGTTTTAGACCAGACAATGCACCGTGCCTCACCCCACTAAGCCATGGCAGTTGAGACCGGCTTTCAGACCATTTCTTCTATTTCTCCGCCTTCGAAACCGTTTCCCCATCGTGACCAGATTGTCGGCGCGTCAGCTCACCATCCACGCGACTCTGAAGCAGTAAAGTGGATAATGAAGACCCAGAAAACTCACTGATTCAAGTGGAAATACGTCATATCCTTCGGAATGCGATTCTTTATGCCCGACATGTGGATCAGAACCCCGCGGTCGAGGGGAGACATAGAGGCCATGCTGGAGACTTGGGGCTCCCCGCGTTGGCTCCGGACTCTAGGAATAAGAGGACGCGCCCGTTGATCGGCTCGATTTCTCCCTTATTCAAATGCTGGTGCCTTAACTTTTCTTCTTCAGACGATTCTCAGATCTGGTTGTTGAAGTTCGCCTGTCTCTTCGCCGTCTGAACTGTTTCCAAAGACCAGCTTGCTTTCTGTCACACGTTTCACCATGGATGTCGAAGCACTTCTTAAACAGCTCACGCTAGAGGAGAAGATCTCTCTCACAGCTGGTAAGTTACCAATAACTGTTGCTCAGACTCAATTCTAACCAGACACAAGGCGTTGGCTGGTGGCACACGGCAACAGTCGAGCGCTTGGGAATCAAGCCTATTCGTCTCTCCGATGGTCCCAACGGCGTTCGCGGTACACATTTCTTCGACAGCACACCTTCCGCATGCCTACCATGCGGAACCGCCATCGGCGCAACATTCGATGTCGAACTCGTCCAAAGGCTCGGTCGGCTGCTGTCAGATGAAGCTCACGCAAAGGGGGCCCACGTCTTGCTCGGACCTACAATCAACACTCAGCGTGGCCCTCTCGGCGGACGTGGCTTCGAGTCATACTCCGAGGATCCGGTGCTGTCTGGCATCCTCGCCGGCAACTACGTCAACGGAGTTCAAGAGTCGGGCGTGTCAGCCACGCTGAAGCACTTCGTGTGCAACGATCTCGAAAGCGAGCGCATGGCCGTCAATGCCATCGTAACAGACCGCGCCATGCGCGAGATCTACTTACTGCCTTTCATGATCGCCATTGAGATGGGCAAGCCCCGCGCGATCATGACCGCCTACAATAAGGTCAACGGCACACATGCGGCGGAAAGCAAGCAGGTTCTGCAGGACATCCTGCGCGACGAGTGGAAGTGGGACGGACTGGTCATGAGCGACTGGTTCGGGACCTACAGCACATCCGAGGCTATCAAGGCCGGGCTCGATCTCGAGATGCCAGGCCCTAGCAGATGGCGCGCCGGAGCCCTCTCTCATGCTATCATGTCTAACAAGGTCAAGCGGTCAGAGCTCGACTCGGCGGTGCGGAACGTCTTGAAGCTGGTCAAGCAGGGCCTTGAGAACACCTCAATCCCGCCCAACGCCCCGGAGACTGAGGCGAACACACCAGAGCACATTGCTCTCCTGCGCGAAGCAGCCGCCAAGTCCCTGGTACTCCTGAAGAACGACAGGAGCATCCTGCCCTTTGACAAGAACAAGAGGATCGCCGTCATTGGGCCCAACGCAAACATCGCAACCTACTGCGGAGGCGGTAGTGCCGGACTGAGAGCGTACAACACCGTTACTCCCCTGGAGGGCGTCAAGTCACTCGCCAGTGATGTAGTCTTCTCACAAGGCGCCTACGGCCACCAGTCTCTTCCTCTCCTCGGCAAGGCCCTCGAGACACCAAACGGAAAGCAAAAGGGCTTCGTGCTCCGTATTTATAACGACCCCCCACCAAAGGACACCGCGAGCTCGGCCGACAGCCGGCAACCGCTAGAGGAGCGCGTCCTCGACGACGCCAACATCTGGTTCGTCGACTACGAGAACGCCGACCTCAACCCCATCTGGTGGGCCGAGACGGAGGGTACCCTGGTCCCCGAGCGATCGGGAGAGTGGGACTTTGGCCTGTCGGTCCACGGCACCGGCGAGCTCTTCATCGATGGCAAGCTTGTCGTCTCCAACGTCGAAAACCAGCGCCTCGGCAGCAGTTTCCTCGGCTGCGGAACGGTCGAGGAGACCGGCACCATGCACCTGGAAGCTGGACAAAGCTACCGCGTCCTGGTGCGCTTCGGCTGCTCGGCGACCAGCAAGGTCAAGGCCTCCGGCACCGTCGACTTTGGCCAGGGCGGCGTCCGCTTCAGCGGTTGCCCCAAGCTTGAGCCTGCCGTCGCAACCCAGGAGGCCGTGGAGGTCGCCAAGAGCGTTGACCAGGTCGTTGTGTGCACCGGTCTGAGTGGCGAGTGGGAGTCTGAAGGCTTTGACCGGACGACGATGGCTCTGCCCCCCGGTACCGACGAGCTTGTTGCGGCGGTGTTGGCGGCGAACCCCAACACGGCTGTGGTCGTTCAGAGCGGCACGCCGGTTTCCATGCCTTGGATTGACCAGGCCGGCGCTGTCTTGCATGCTTGGTTTGGCGGCAACGAGTCCGGTAACAGTATTGCGGACGTCCTCTTTGGAGAGGTTAATCCGGTAAGTTCTATCAACTTTCCTTTGCAAGCGTAAAGTTGCCCTGCTAACAAGCTACATGACAGGCCGGAAAGCTTCCCCTTACGATGCCGCGCCGAGTGCAAGACAACCCCGCAGCACTGAGCTTCCGCTCAGATAACGGCCGCTGCTTGTATAGCGAAGATGTCTACGTCGGCTACCGCTGGTACGACACGCTTGACATTGAGCCCTTGTTCCCCTTCGGACACGGTCTTTCATACACGACATTCAGTGTCTCTGATCTCGAGGTGTCCGATGCATCGGTCCACGCCAACGGCAACAACACAATCACGATCCAGGAGGCGGATAACCTCCTCGTCCGCGTCAAGGTCGCCAACACGGGCTCTCGTGCCGGTTCCGAAGTCGTTCAGGTCTACGTTACACCGGCGGCACGCACCCCTCTGACCAGCACAACTCGCGATACCATCACCCGTCCCAAGAAGGAGATGAAGGGCTTCGCAAAGGTCGCCCTGGAAGCCGGAGCCAGCGCCACGGCAGAGATCTCTCTGGATGTTCTGCGTGCGACGAGCTACTGGAGCGAGATGGAAGACTGCTGGCGTAGCGATGCCGGCTCGTACGGCATTCTTGTGGGAACCAGCAGTCGTGGAGCCTTCCTCGAGAAGACCGTCAAGGTGGAGAAGTCAAGGACATGGAGGGGATTGAGAGCTTAGAAGACTAGACTTAGACATGCATTCTGTACATAAATAGTTGGGACATTAGACATCATGTGTTGCAAAGAGGGTTAGATACTCCTCAGAACGCTTATTCTGCTCTTGAGAGCATTATGAAACCACACTTCAAAGCTGAACACGATTGATGATAATCAAAGCAATTGTCAAAGGACTCTGCTTTCTTGGAAGTCTAAACTTGAGACTTCTTCGCAGAACCTCACGTTAACTGCTTAAGCCGAGAACCTCCATGTGCTCTTTTGATTCCTGCCATCCCACTTTACGGATATAGTCTCAAATCCGTCGGCCTTTCGCCGTGATCACTCATCAACAGACCTCGGGCGTTGCCCGAGTCATCCCTGGTGGTAAAACATCTTCCGATCACGCGCAAAGCTGCCATCCCATGTCTAACCCCATTCGAGAGGGGAAAATCGGCCGGGGACCCCAGAATTTATTGGCCGGAGCCACAACGCGCCTCCATTGAGTTCCTTTGCCATGGGAATTAGCGTAGGGATCAAGTGACACTAAAAGGGAGCATGTCACCCCCCCCCCCCCTTCATCCCATTTCTCCGCATTCTTCACATTTCTCCCCCTCATTTTCCTCTCCACGTTTTCCAGAAATCCCGGCAGTATGGGCGCGGCACCACCATCCCTATCGGTCCGAAGTCCACCAGCATGCGCCGTCGCTCAAGCACTCAGGCTGCGTCCGTCAGCGTCTCGCCAACTGCGATTCGAAGGGCTATTAGCAAAACGCCAGATGAGACCAATTCCTCGTCGGCGGCAGCAGTGAGATCGAGCATCGCCAGCAGAGCATGCGACGCTTGTCGTGCCCGGAGGAGGAAATGTCACTTTGACGGGTCTTCGCCCCATGCTGAGGGCCCGTCTCCGACGCAGTGTCGCGATTGCTGCAGACTCGGCATACCATGCAGCTTCCTGGTGCCCACGAGGCCGCGGGGGCCTAAACGAAGGTATGAAGATCCGGGGTAGCAGGGGGTTTCGTTCTGTCTGTACTTTCTGCCCAGAGTCACTCACTTACTGGCTTGGCAGGAAACGGCTCCCATCAATGTCTGATAGGAGCGAGAGTGAGCTGCCCAATGAAGCGGAGGTTCATCATGTAGAGGCAGTCGAGCAGCAGTCTCAGCAAGCTCCCGAGCCTGCAGTGAGCATTGAGCCAGTCCTCGTCTTGCAAGACCAAACCCCTTCTTCGAGACCTTCACAGGTCAGGTCTCCGTATGACCCGTCTCATCCTATCCCTCATGGCCCATCTCCACGTGCGGCTGTTCCGGCCCAGACGGAATCACCCTCAATAGCCAGCGCGGGATTCCCAACAGATGAGTTGTGTTCAAGAGCACTTATACACATCCTTATGGCGGATTATCTCGACTTGGTCTATCCGTTGGTCCCCGTCGTTCATAGGCCCAGTTTCCGCCATGATCTGGCCACAAACCGCGACATCACCGACCCGGATTTCTTTGCTGTCCTAATGAGTTTGGCCGCGCTCACAGTCGGACTGTTGCCGTCGCGGTTCCGTGACTATAGGGCAGTTGACCCTGAAGCTGCGATGCGCTTCGAGAACAGAACTGCAATGATCAATTGCTGCGCGGAGATATGCACTCGACAGCGGACTGCAAACTACTGGGACCACATCAACCATCGGAAATGGGCAGTATGTTACGTCTTGTCCGTCGCCTGTTTCCAGACTGGCCAGGTTAACCGGAGCCGGATGTTTGATGTGGAGTATTTGCAAGTTTCACGACTGCTCGGGCTGCATCGCATTTCCGAATATGAGGGTCTCAATTGTATCGAGACTCAGTTGCGGAAGAAGGCCTTTTGGATGCTCTTTTATGGCTATGCGTAAGTCAAATCCTCATACCCGCTATATCTCCTGCCTCGATTCTGTCATTGGAGGCTGACAGATACTAGACATACCAGAGTTCAAGCAGGCCGCTGGGAGCGGCTGACATACTTCGGACCTGGTGAGCTACGCGAGGTCAACTACGAAGCTCTCATGCCCCTCGACATCGACGACGAACACATCTTTAGAGACAGGATCCTAGAACCCGTCTCTCCAATGGCATCGCAGGGCACACCATCCGCCCACACGCAGGAATCTCGAGCGACATTCACACTCACCAGCGGCTTCATCATTCACTCTCGAGTATTCCGTAAGGGTCTCCAGGAAGCCATAGCCACCTTGGGCTGCGAATGTGAACTCCGCCGCACCCCCGCCGCCCGTCTCGCGCGCATGCGCGATCTTCTCCAAGAGATGAGATACATGCTCGACGATGTCCCGGGTCCCATGCGGCAATGGGCTTCCACCGAGAGTACCGATGCGGCCCCCAGTACGCCGCGGTTCGACGAGGAAAGGGCTGCTGCTGTGTCGAGCTATGGTAGCCCGGCTGACTATAGCCGTGCTACGGAAGCCGGATCCTACTCACAGGTGATCCAGGGCCAAGCCGAGATCATGAGGGCTAATATCCACGTCACACACCTGTGGTTGCAGAGCTTGTTGCTGGAACAGATTGACGGTGTCACTCAAGAGGGCGCGATCGCCAACCCCTCAACGACTGCACGTGAGGAAGTGTCAGCGGCCCTGGAAGCGAACTGGGCTGAGCGTGAGGACATTTGTCGCCAGATGCTCCACTTGCTACATAGCATCCCATACGTTCACCTAGAGCCCAATGGCCTGTATTTGGTATGCTCAAAACTTGACCCCGTTATGAGAAGGCTTGCTAACGTACGATTTAGGCGTATAAGGTTCGCGATGTAGCTGTAACGCTTCTCAACTGCCCATTCGAAACCCATGAACGGCCCGCCCGTCGTGCGGTGGAATACATGCGGGACTTTACTCGCGCATTATCGCGGCTCGATCGAAGTGAAATTGTAAATACAAATAGTTTGAAAAGCTGGATCGACATAGATCGGGAGCCTGCGATTTGACAGGACGACCTCCAGCATTTCGCCGTTGATAAGTGAAACGTAGATCTCGCCAGGACATGCTCGAGACTTGTGCCTGTGGGATGAAGGGACATACGGCGCTGCGAATCACCAATCAGGCGTCTATGTCGACGGCTATCAAAGTCCTTCAATAATGCAATCATTACCAGACAAAACCCATGCTTCATAAAAGTGGATGTAAAGCTAAAGTGACGTTTCAAATAACTATATGGCCATGGAGATGCAGGACACGGAAAACCAATCAAGAAGACTGATTTCGGTCAACCGAAAGCAGCCCGGCGACCAGTGCCCTCCATACGGGCCGGTTGACCCACATCTCCGGCATTTTGGTAGGAGGGGTCCGGAGGGAAATGTTTCTTTGGAGGCCATGGCATTGAGCTTATACATGATGAGAGTCCATATTAGAACGCCGTCACAGAAGCGAATGAGAGGGTGTGCCAGTGGATTCATGGTGTCATCACAATCGGATCAACTGAGAAAGCACCAGACCTTCCTGCAAAACAAGTATCTACATTTCATCAGCGAAGATAATTTGCCTCATGATTCGGCATGCCAAGATCGGGAGAAACGGCTGATTCGTGTTCACAGGATGGTACTGGGTAGAGTAGTCAAAGGTCACATTCAAACATGCATCGCCAGTTGACAACTCTTCCTTCTAGCAAGTCCTCCCAACGTGCTGTGGTACATTGCGACTGCACAGACATCCACGCGACTAAAAAAGAGCTTCAAGAACTACCAGCAAGGTCCCAAGTAACCTGGTGTTCGGAAATCATCCTGAGGAACAACTGAGTCTTGAATTGAGTCAAAACGGGCAAAAATCTGAACCCGGAGAGGTTCGAACTCTCGACTTTGAAGAAGCATACTGCCGTGGTGATCACGAAGTATAAGCATCACACTCTAACCAACTGAGTTACGGGTCCTGGATGGCTGAGATCCGCCGGAATACATATCTATCAGGCGAGGTTCCATGTTTCCCTTGTGTTTGCTCAAGTTGCAGGGCGCCAAGATGGAAGCATGTTTGTCGTGCTTGGGGGGTTGCGTCGCAGCTTCGCTGGGAACAAAGACGTGAGGGGCTGCTCCAAACAGAATGGCACAAAGGCAACGAACAGGCTGTGGGTGCAATTGAAAGTCTGGGTTGAAAGTCTGGGAAGCACAAACTTTTGAAGGGGGATTTTTCATCTCCCCACGTTTTTTCCCGGAGAGACCAAGTGGGCACTGCCACCAATGAAATGTCTTGGTCTTAATCCCTGACCCTTCTGGCTTTGGCTGTCTGAATCGCCATGTCAAGCCACAATTTGAGAACCTAGGCTTCTTCACCCGTTGCTGGGCTGTGACTTCTGACCTGTTTGGACTTCATGACTTGGATCACGACGATTGTAGACTAAGAAAACTAAGTGTGGGAAGTAAGATCGATATCATGGTCTAGATATCTTTCATCATCGACAGCCGCTATTCAAAATACCAAGTAGGAATAAGTTTCGTGCTTAGAGACCAGCACTGAAAACAAAAATCAAGCCATCATACCGCCAACGCCTTACTAACTGAGCTGATCGCTCTATCACCCATGCTTTGCCATTATTCCCTACAACTTCCCCCTCCTCCTATCGTTACAAAGATCACTCCGTGTCCTTTCTCGACGGTCGGTAATCACTTTCCTGCCCTGCGAATGAGAAACGTGGCATGTATCTGGGTGGTGGAGAATTACCCGAATCCGTCGCCGTTGGCAGCTCGACTGGCGCAGCGGCGGGTGCAGCAGGGACCGCAGCAGGAGTCGTCGCCTCATTGCCCGGAGCTTCGACGACGACACTAGGAGCTATAGACGAAATGCGGTGGTCGCTGGGACCTAGGTCAGCGGAGACTGAAAATAGCGACAAGAGAAGAGAAGCTTACTAGTATGTCTGCATGCCGTTGACGGGATGGGAGAATCCGGTAGGTTGGGGGCTCAGTTGAGGGGAGAATGCTGTGGGAGTGGCATTGTCACGATAGGGACCGCTGAAGTTGCTGTAGTGACTGCTTCTCCATCCCTGAGTTGCTGGACTCTTGGGTTGCATCGAATAGTTGAGCTCCGTGACGGCGGGTTGGGATGGTGCCGGGGGAGGTGCCTGGTATGCGGTCGAGGTTCTCCGGTATGCGCGATTGATGCCGCCTCTTCGGCCGCACAGGTAGACCAACAGGCCTCCCAGGAGCAGGAAAGCTAAGGAGCCGATCACGATACCGGCTATTTGGCCGCCGCTTACACTGTGATGGTAGTTGTTGATGACCGCACCGTTGTCGGAAGAGCTGGAGCCGCCGTTGGTTGCCTTTGGAGCATCCGATTCAGTTGGGAAGGGTTCGCCCGGAAGAATCTGGGTGGTCAGTGGAAGGGCTGCTTCGAGCTGTTTGTCGAGGGTCTGAGTTGAGTTCTGAGACATGTGAGTATACTTGATTCTTTTGACAACCTTGGGCGGTTTCGTCTTACTTCGTTGATCACACCAATCATCTTCTCCTTATAGCATGACCCGGGGGCACCGCAGTAGTAGAAGATCGGAAGCGTGTCATTGACACGAAGTCTGTACCGTGGCATCTGATTCATGTTAGTGCCAACACTAGCTTCATCTCCATGTGCCATACTAACATCATTCGTGATGGCCTTGACCGACTGGTTTCCGCTGTAGAAGCCCTCGCGACCAATGTCGATGTACTCGTATGGTGTGCAAGGGAAGCCAAACTCGGCTCGGATAACCGAGTGAGCATCTGGGTAGAAGATCCATTCGATAGTATCGCCAACGTTGGCTTCCGTCTTTGCGGGCGAGAAGGCAAACCCAGACTTGCCATAGTTTAGCTAGTGTCAAGTAGTTCTTGATGATCTAGTCACCTACCGCTCCGACGGCAATAGTATGCGTCTGCGCAGCGGCGGCAGAAGCGCTTCCGGTCGCCGAGGCCAACGCTGGTGTCCCGGTAGCCGTGGAAGTAGATGTTGTAGAGGTGAGGAAAGGCGAGATTGTTATTGTCGGCAGCACCTGAGCATTCACGACGCCTGCCAAAACGGCAACTCCCAACGTGAAAGACCGCATCTTATCAGGAAACTGTGTTGTTCAATCACAGGCTTGAGGTTGGGACCACGCAATGGTAACGAGGAAGAAACCAAAAGAGAGGACAGCTCGAAGGAGGAGGGGAAATGTAACGTGTGAGGGACCCAAGGCAGTACTTATTGCGGCAAACATCCTCATGTACTCACCGGGACGGGCTGACGATGGGGCTGGGGCGGGGGACTCGGGCCCGATGGCTGAGACCATCAGACTGCATGCTGCTCGAGAACTCCGCCCAAAGCATGCATGAGAGACCCGTTGGCTTGGTGCCCACATGGCAGAGACTACCTTGCAGCTTTTGGTTTGACTGTCTTCTATGTTGGGCGCTGATAGCAAAGGAAAGTAGCGGATAACCATGCGGCCATGTGTCTTGAATCTTGGCCGCGCCCTCGACATATCCTTTATTGAGCATCGATCGACAAGTCGATCTTCGAAGCAAGGGAAGTTTCTCGCCGCGCCCTTCGCTCGTAGATGACCGGTTTGGAAGAAATCGGGAGGAAACAAAGGCTCGCAACAAAATTGAGAGGCTTGCCACTGTCAGGAAATGCGTGTGAAGGACCGAATATGGCGTAACCATGAGGTCAAACGTAACGTGCAATTTTCTTGGGGCACTTGAAGTCGTTTGGAGTAAGGTCAACACAGAAACGAATCAGTTGACCATATCCAGAGAAATGCTCAGAACTAGGATAGGTGATACCGGAGGAAAACAGGGCAATCGGCCAAGTCAGGTTGACTCAAGCAAAAATCCAGAAACGATCCTTCGCAAGAGACAGTTACCACTAGAAGGAAGGGAACATAGGACGAATTGCCGCGAGAGACCTCTTGAAGAACACGAAGCTCGTCTATCACAACATGGGCACTGGCGGTTCCATACATGTTTTCTTTCTTAGTCCAGATTTCAAATGCGCTCGACCGGCTCTCACCTGAACAATGTTTGGTGGCGCCTGTCCCACAGGCAGGGCCGTTTAGGGAAGCAAAACCACGCATGATTGTGGTCCCTCGCTGAGCTACTTGTCATGAGTCCGGACCAGCGGTCCATGTGGTAGGGCGCACTCAGCCGGACCAGATGAAGGAAGGTCCGAAACATTGCACCATGAATAGATATCTGGAAAGAGGGTGCTGGAGGGGCTGCCCTGCTTACCTTTATAACATAAACCTGCCCATCTCCCTTCACTGCGGATCCAACCCAATGCAGTGCCCATCTCAAAGATCACCAGCCGGACAGCTTTTCTGCGGTGATACAGCAAAAATTGCCTTACGATAGACCCGAGAAACAACTGACGTCCCGATTAAGACGAGTTGTGTCCGGACAATGTAGGCGCTAAGACATTGTCAGGGTCCTAGTGTTGCACTAGCGTTGAGCATCAGGCTCTGGGGAACAGATCCAGGGCTGAGAGTGAGACAATGTTCGGAAAAACAGCCGGCCATCCTCCCTTGGTTTCGGATTTCTGGGAACGGCTGCCGTCCACAATTACACGATGTCAAAAGTGAAAGCCACGAGCAGGATGGCAGTGCTAAGGTGCGGGACAACGGCACCGCACTCAAGGTCATAAGTGGCGGCTTGTTTTGTTTGAAATTGCTGACTGCATAGCTGAGCCATGGTATGGGGCCTAGTAGCAGACTCCAAGCTGGAAAACACACTTCTGACTTGGTTTGTACTCGAGAAATGGCGAGTGAGAGCATACCTGGATTGTTGCGTTGCGGTCATCTCACTATGAGAAACTCCGGGCTGACTGGCGATGGGCTCGGCAGGCTGAAGCATGTTTTCCCGTAGAGATTCCCCAGACTAATAGCCAGTGGCTGGTAGCAGAATGGGCACCGAAGCCATGCCTTAGTTTCTAGCTCCTTGACATGAAAGCTGTTGGAGGTAAAGCGAAAGGATTCCGCTTGGGCGAGAGCACAGCTACCGCACAGACCAGCTCACTGACGCGCAGCGGCTGACGGGATTCCGAGACTCTTTGGTACGCGCAACTTCGGTACATAGGGACCGGAGGAAGTAAGGTTCGAGATCAGCCGCATGCGCAGTGAATCTTCGGGATGATTTTCGCATTGAATGGCCAAGTGGGTGTTGCTGAATCATAGACGCTTACGCCAGACGTGGGCGATTAAGGCGGAAGTAGCGAATCGGCATGTTGATTGGAAGGCGTTCCATGGAGAACGCTGACGTCGCGAGAAGACAGCTAAGTGATATTGCCATCCTTGATCGGTGAGGCTCAAGAGATTGAGCGACTGGTTGAAATTAAATCAGGTCACCTGTGGAGAGCTATCGAGCGGAGGTCTTCGAGACCAGAAACTGTATACGCGGAGCAGTGTCTGGAAACAGACATATATCGACACCATCAGAATGAACGTGAACTATATCAGAAGATGAAGTGATTTGAGCCTATTGCGAGCAATGGCCAAGATCTGTGAGAATACCCAGGTTATGTTGAATCCTGGGGTCAGACTCTACAAGAAGAAGTTGGAAGTGTCTACACAGAAAGGTTGTTGATATTGTTTGCTGACTAACGCGCTGCGACCAGGGATCACCTTAGCGCGGAAGGAGACACCTCAAGCGGGCCCAAAGGTCTGGACAGGTCCACTTCCACCAAAGCTATTGGCCAATCACATCACAGTTTCAGAGCTTGACCTCTTCAGGGAAAAAAGTTCCAGCCTCGCGCCTGTGGACTGGACGACTGCGCCTCTGCCTCACGCGGCAATCTTCAACTCCATCGTCAATCGCCTTTTCTAGCCTGCGTTGCCCATCATCAACGATTAGCCTTATCACGCTACGCGCAATCGCAATCATGAACGGCGACGGCTACTCTCGCGGTAAGTCCATCCGTTGTCTGAAAGACCTAACTCTACTTGTGTTTCTGTGTCTAACAAACGCCTTATGGGGGAAAAGGCCGAGGAAAGGGATCTCGCGACTATCCGGTATGTATCCACAACCTTCTACGAGCTGCTTGCAACCACAGCTAATACATGATACAGAGAGACCGTGATGATAGACGCGGTGGTGATAGAGACAGACACCGAGACCGAAGACGTTCCCGTTCCCCCTACGACCGAAGCTCTAGACGTCGCGAGGACGAGGACAGTTACGCGACAAGTCGCAGCCATCGCGAGCGCGAGCGTGAGGACAGATACTCTGGGCGCGAGAGACGTGGTGGAGATCGAGAGTGGGATCGCGACCGCGGTTCCTCCAGACGCGACGCTAGAAGAGACGACGACGATCGCCCGCGGAGAGATCGCGACCCGTACGACGACAGACGCCGAGGCGGAAGAGACAGAAACGAGGATGCCGGGTTCGGCCGCCGCGAACAGCAACAACAACAACGCCAGCGTAGCGCGACGCCACCTCCCAAGAAGAGGGAGCCAACACCTGATCTGACAAACATCACATCAGTCTTGGAGCGCAAGCGACGTTTGACTCAGTGGGACATCAAACCCCCCGGCTATGAGAATGTCACTGCTGAACAAGCCAAGCTGTCAGGCATGTTCCCTCTGCCCGGTGCTCCTCGCCAGCAGCCCATGGATCCCAGCAAGCTCCAGGCCATCATGAACCAGCCCGGTGGCCAAGTCAACAGCGCCGCACTGAAGCCGAGCAACTCGCGCCAGGCAAAGCGTCTGCTCATCAACAACCTTCCCCCATCCACGACCGAAGAAACCCTCCAGAACTTCTTCAACTTGCAGCTGAACGGCCTCAACATTATCGAGAGCACCGACCCTTGCACTAGCTGTCAGGTTTCAAAGGACAGCTCCTTCGCCGTGGTTGAGTTCAGAAACGCTTCCGAAGCCACCGTAGCGCTGGCTCTCGATGGAACCTCGATGGAGGCCGACGATGTCACAAATGGCGCAGCGGGTAGCCAGGGCCTCGAGATCCGTCGTCCGAAGGATTACATTGTTCCCGCGGTGGTTGACGACGTCCCATACGAGCCGGGCGTTGTTTCCAACACGGTGATTGATACTCCAAACAAGATTAGCATCGTGAACATGCCCCCCTACCTTTCAGACGAACAAGTGTCGGAGCTTTTGGTGTCGTTTGGCGAGCTTAAGGCGTTTGTTCTTGTTCGTGACAGAAGCACAGAAGAATCTCGGGTAAGCTGAGTTCCGTTTGGTCATCTCAGAATCATACTAACTATTCATGCAGGGCATCGCATTCTGCGAGTACGTTGATCCAGCAGCCACGGACGTTGCCATTCAGGGTCTCAACGGCATGGACCTTGGAGACAAGAAGCTCAAGGTTCAGAAGGCCAGTGTCGGTGTGACTCAAGTTGCTGGAGTGGAAATGGGAGTCGCAGCCATGTCTATGCTGGCTGGAACGACTTCAACGGACTCTGAGGAAACCCGTGTTCTGCAACTTCTGAATATGGTCACTCCAGAGGAGTTAATGGATCCCGACGATTATGAGGGTAAGCGACACTTTCTAGTTTTGGTCTTATGCACATACTGACAACCTGTAGAAATCAAGGAGGATGTCCAGGAAGAGTGCGCCAAGTTTGGCAACGTCCTTGATATCAAGATTCCTCGTCCCGTGGGAGGCAGCAGACAATCTGCCGGTGTTGGCAAGATCTTTGTCAAGTTCGAGACCAAGGAGTCGTCCAAGAAAGCGCTCCAAGCACTTGCAGGACGCAAGTTTGCGGATCGCACTGTTGTTACCACATACTTCCCCGAGGTGAGAAGACCCCCAGTATGACATCGCGAAACACTTACTGACCCTGCTGTAGGAAAACTTCGAAGTCGGTGCCTGGTAACCGTTTTTATTCCGGCACAGGGATTGGGGGAGATAACATAATCAAAAAGACAAGGGCCGGCGGAAAAGGAACATTCAGACCGATCACATTCTGGTAGCCTTGTAACCACTGAACATGCTGTACCATAATTCCGCGATGCGGGCCGCGGACGACAGGGACGGGAGCATCCACTGAGTCGCAAAATTGCAGATGACTTGCGGCGGCGATGAGCCGGCGCGGTGGATAAAAAGTAGGGGTGCTTTCTAAAAACTTCTTGCTGAAAACCATGGTTCAAGGCGTCGGCTATACCTAGTACGTTGTACTAGCATCAATGAACCCTTTCTACGCGTTTAATAGGGGTTGAAGCTCAGAGGTCATCCTATCTTCATTTTAAGATGCCTGGCCTACCATTGTTCTTTTCACTTCGTCGCCAGAGTTGGAAGAGTTCATTTGTTCATGTGTTTTGATTTACTATCTATCCCAAGACTACGCGTCATTCCAGATTGAACCTGTGTCTGTGATTTTCTATTCCGCGTCACTTGAAGCGCAATGTGGACAAGAATCCATCGAAGAGTGGTAGACCTTTACAGCTTGTTAGCTTCCCATTCGTTGTTGTGAATGATTCAAAATGAGAGAGAAAGGGTGCAGAGTCAGAAGTCCTGTTCATTCATTAAGCCCGAAGACTTTAAAATAAGAGGTACCAGAAAAAAGTAATAATGGAGGATCATCATTTGATGCGTAGGGGGAAGATGAGGCATGAACGTGAGAGAGTCTTACCTGGGAGAAAGGATGTATGACGACGCCGCGAATCAGCAATCAGCGGCATTGCATCTGACTTGTTTGTTCGTCTCTCAGAGACGGGAGATGAAGTTGAGGGATCAGGAAGAAAAATCTCGAGCTCACGAAGCTTGAGGTAAGCAAAAGCATGCACGGACCAAGAAGAGGCTGCATAGCCCCATAACTCCGGCCCATAAGCGGGTCCTCCAAATTTTCCCAGACCAAGCCCAGACGGGACGGCGCAAATCCATGACTGCAGGCTCTGCAACCAGCCAGGCCCGGCAGGAGTAACGCTGTACCAGTGCAATCCAGCGGCTGCCCTAATTAAGCGAGGTTTTCCCGCCCGCACAATCCACCCCGTCCACGCCGAGCGACAGCCAGCTCAAACATATCGCATTTGATCGTGAACCTTTTTCCCTTCCCTTTTCAAATCCGACCAGCGACCGACCGACCGACTGACCCCCTCGACTCCAGCCGACAACACCACAAACCACCGTCAAAATGGGCCGTCTTCACTCCAAGGGAAAGGGTATCTCCGCCTCGGCGGTCCCCTACAGCCGCAACCCCCCTTCGTGGCTCAAGACCACCCCCGAGCAGGTCGTTGACCAGATCTGCAAGCTGGCCAAGAAGGGTGCTACCCCTTCCCAGATCGGTGTCATTCTCCGTGACTCCCACGGTGTTGCCCAGGTCCGCGTTGTCACCGGTAAGTTGGAATCGAAATATCCCAAATTCTCGGCAGGAGAATCAAAAAGAGAATTTTGCGACTGACTATTTTTCGCGATCAACAGGCAACCGCATTCTCCGCATCCTCAAGTCCTCCGGTACGATCTCCGTTAGATGAACACACCAAGCGGCGACTTCGATGTCGAAAGATTATCAAAACCGCTGCGAGGAGCAATCCTCTTTACCGCATTCAATGCGCCTCTGCTTGGTCTAGGCTGACAGAGAGATTATGATGAACAGGCCTCGCCCCCGATATCCCTGAGGACCTTTACATGCTCATCAAGAAGGTACGTCAATCGCATCTCGAGACGGTCGTCTCTATCTGATTTGGCGGAATCCCCGGGTGGATAATTAACCAATCGTGTGACAGGCTGTTGCCGTCCGCAAGCACCTTGAGCGCAACCGCAAGGACAAGGACTCCAAGTTCCGCCTCATTCTCATCGAGTCCCGTATCCACCGTCTCGCCCGCTACTACAAGACCGTCGGTGTCCTCCCCCCTACCTGGAGATACGAGTCCGCCACCGCCTCCACCATTGTCGCTTAAGCGCCTTTAAACCGCTATCACGAACAAATGGATGGGTCGTCGCACGACGCGGTGGAATCTGGTCATGGAGTTGGGGTATTAGGAAAGTGCATTTAGAGCTCTGATGCCAGCTCTCTAGGCCCGGTGGCCGCGCGGGGGTTTCACGCCGCCGAGGAGGAGTAAAAGTTTCCCTGCATGTCACTCAAAAGAAGTAGACATAAACCAAACAAAAATGAGGAAATTCTTCTACGGCCACGCCAGTGTCTATTGAGTGTTTTTTTACGGGCTGCTACGAAAAATCGAAAAGTTTATGAACCGTAGTATCATTCGTATCGTCATAACGTGAAGCATAATGCTCAGAGTGCTTATTGCAAAGACTTTTCTGCTTCCTGAACGCCTAGCTTAATGCCAACCAAATCAAGAGTCCATCGTCCCAAATGATTATGCCATCCAAGCCCAGATATCGCATTGAGACGAAATAGCAAACGAAAGCTCGCCCAGCAACTCAGGCAGAGGGCTCGTTTCTGCGACGAGACTCCTCAAGAAGTAAATTGCCTAAAACATGAAGAGGATTGGCAGGCCTGAAGGACCACATTGTCAGCCACCATGCCATGGGTTATAAACGTGAAATGGCAATCCTTACTGGTTCTTGCTGATAATCTTCATGCCCTCGAGCAGAGCAGCAGTGACGTGGTTATTGATGTACATGCGGGCACTGTCGCCATGCTCTACTGCGCGGTTGGGGATGTTCGTCGCATTCGTATCCGGATGAACTGAGCCAGCACGAGAGCTGGCCTCGCCATTGACATTACGGCTGGGAGTACCAGTTCGAGGAGCAGGGCTAGGAGCACTCGGGGCGACCTGCGGGATCGGAACGGGAGACTACAATATTGAGATTAGCGCAATGGTTTGATGTGGATGGATTTCCTGGAATCATACCGAAGCAGGTTCGCCAGCATCGGCCATAGGGACGTCAAGGCCAGCAGCATCGGGCATGGTCGTGGTAGGCGCAGGAGCAGCCGTAGAGTCTGCAGGTGCAGTGGCTTCCTGGGTTGTGGGCTCTGCTGGGTTGGACATCGTGAAAGACGGAAGATGGCTGAAGACAATTGGTCGATATTGTAATTACGCGCAGATTCCCAATCAGCAAGAGAGCAGGTAGGTGTCCAAGGCGAGATTCGTCGGCAGCTATAGACAGGCAATTGCGATTTGTTGATTACCGGGAGCTGTGAAGTTTGCGACGGCAGATGCAAGATGCACAAGGACGAAGCTTCCAAAGGATCAAGACACACTAAAGCGGTCTTGAAAGGTTGAAGTGAAGCGATTGAAGAAAGAAGTGTTGTTCTGGAGCTCAATCCGTATTTTGAGGGTCGGGGAAGTCATCAATTGATTGCGGGGGAAGTTGCGACAGTCGGGAGGCCCTGACGAAGGAAGCTGTTGTCGTGGGGCCGCAAGAATCAGAGCTCATTTACGCGGGGTCACCTGATCTCGCGTTCATTTGCGCTTTTCCCCCTGCGGCAGCCTGTTTCCTTCGCGTCTCCATTACACATGACGCCACCAAGGCAAACTCCAATGATCATCTTCGCAAAGTCCGCTGACGGAAACCAGAGCCATCTCTCTACAATGTCGGAGTTGGTCAATTCGCACTATGGATGCCTTTGTACAGCGGCTACCACGCCCGAGATCACAGCCTTCCTCGAGATCTCCCACGAGACCGCCGCTCGGCGAGGAGAAGCCTGCAAAGAAGCTCAAGGTCGAGATCAAGGACAGCGATTGTAATGATGACGATGATGAGAGCAAGTTTGAAGACGATGAGGCTGACACCTCTGGCCTGACCGTCAATGATGTTTCTGACGTAGACGACGAAGTCAAGCACTATCCTCGGCAGACTGACATCGAGAGCACTTTGCCACCCATCCAGTTGGACAAAGAAGCAATCGAGGAATACGAGTTGATGAGTTCTCAAGTCAGCGTTCCTGAAGATGAACCAGCAGCTGCGCCTAAGCAAAAATGGGTGAGGGGCAAGAGCTCCATCTACGTGGATGCTTTCAACCTCGCATTGGACACTGTCTTGGCAGATGAATCCCATTTATTTGACGCCAAGGAATGCAACATATTCGAGCAATGGAAGTCGCTGGGTTACGAGGCTCAGTACCTGTGAGTTTAGCCTACTCCCGGGCTGTCCCTTTTCTTGACTGATGCCTTCGGTAGTTATGTGCGCTTGTTCTTGCGTAAGACTTCCGCATGGCACCGTCAAGACCGGTTGGGGTACTATAGCGATGTTTCGGATCCTGAAGCCGCCATCGCGTCTCTGCAGAAAGTTAGAGATCTTCCTGAGCCAGACGCTCCCGCAAGCAGCAATCCTGTCGAAGGCGTTGATCTGGAAGAGTTTAGCTTAGGAGACACATTCACTTTTGCCGATGCTTCTGAGGAACACATAACGGCCATCGAGGAGGCAGCCTCGCTGCTAAGCCTAGACGAGCTGAAAGATCTCGCCAAAGAGGCCAAATTCCAAGGACGCAACAAAGCGGACTTGGTGAAAGCGCTATGCCGAACGGGCTATCAACAGACCGGTCTCTTCGCCCATGGGCTACAACGTTCTGGCAGCGGCGAGTCCCAGACTGCTCGAGGTCTGATGCGAGACCGCCACGACACTCCACCGCACCTCAGCAGACAGGACTCGAATCAGACACGACACTTTCTGGAGAAGATCAGGATCATTACGGGCCCTTGCATTAGACTATCGCCGCTAACGTACAAACTCTTCGAAAGGGTGCACTTAGTCTTCTATCGGTCGACAGAATGGACTGAGAAGTCTCTAACGGCTATCATTCTTGCTAGCATTGCACGCCGGAATTACCCAGAGTACATCGTCTGCCGAAGTACGAACATTTTCGCTTCCCGGAGACACGTTCTCGAGTTTGAGTCAGCAGTTCGCGTCGAGGCCGAGGTCGACCAGGTCCTGGAGTTCAATGGCTCTCCGGGTGAGGCAGGTCTTCGCAAGGTCGTAGATGTCTTCGATCGCGTCTACCCTCGGTGGAAAACACTTTTGAGTGAGGAGCAGGACAAGGAGAAGCGAGTATATGAAGAGGGCGAGGGCGCTTACTTGAGAAGATTTACGCCTGTCCATTCCTACACTCGCATTGTCCACAAGGCAGCATACGTGTTTGGAAAGCTGAAAGATCACGAACGTGAACATTCTATTCTCACCGAACTTCTCGAGCAGCACCTATTCCACCCTGCCAGGCGAGGCAGCTGGTACCAACGAAAAGCCCTCTTGGAAGAACACTACATGTATGCACTAGATGCCAACGCAGTGTCTACCGATCCAGAAGTCCAGAAGAAGCATTGGAAACGAATTGCTGCGACAACTTGCGAGACAGCGCTAGAGGACAATGAATGTCATTTGATCTACCATTACGATTTGCAGAAACGTCTCCTCAAGCTCGAAAAACAGCTCCGCATTCCACGACGACTTCAGCACGACTTCGGCCACGTTCGTCTCCAAAAGCCAATAGAGCATACTGTCGAAGGCATCCAGGTGATCAAAGAGGATCGCCAAGGCAGGAATGGCCGACAAGCAAGCACGAAGACGATTTGGGTTGACGAGCTAGAGGAAGGCGGCGAGTGTAGCGTTGAAGAGATGTGCCTAAGTTGGTACCGAAGCCAGGGCTACAAAGGATACCACGCCGAGGGAGGCATCGTACGCACCCTTTTCGCCTATCTCTTCTACGACATTCTGTTCCTTTACATCCCAAATGTGTTTCAGACAGCTTATCAGACATGCCCCTTGGACCTGCACACGGATTCGTTCTATCCGACGCGGCTGTCCGAGATTAATCACCGACTAGTCGAGATAGGCAACGGCGGTGCGGAAAGCATCATCCGCGAGGTCGATGCCAGAGAACGCGAACGAAGAACGTGTGTTATCGGCCTCAATTGGGACTACGACGTTGAGGATCTTGTGGAGCTGGTTGGGTGCTTCGATGGTAGCGCACTGGCCGCTCTCTGCAAGGTGATGGCACAGGAGTACCGACAGCGGGGCGGAGGCCTGCCAGACCTCATCCTCTGGCGGACTGAGCCGAAAAAGGAATGTATGTTCGCTGAGGTCAAAAGTGCCAATGACCGTCTCAGTGACACTCAGAGACTATGGATCCACGTTCTTACGGGTGCAGGTGTGAAGGTAATACTTTGCAACGCCGTGGCCAAGGAAGTCAAAGCTGTGGACTGAAGACGTCCTCTGAGTCCTCAAAGACCCCTACCTGCCGAAAGATATTTTGGTTCACTCTTATGGGTATCCTTTCGGGATATTGCGTGGTGTTACGGGAAGCGGAGATTGCTTTGAAAGCTCAGCGCTTCCCGATTCCGGGAGATAGGACAATATCCTCGTGCGTATTAGGTGCCAGTCCAGGAGCAAGGCACGCCGGCTTCAAGGTCAAGATTTCTTGAAATTGGAACTGTTCGTGGAGCGTATTTCTTATGCGCAGGATCAGCCGAGTTCATCTCGAGGGCGGGGAGCCGAAATACGGCATATGGCAATGCCAAAAATAGGATCTGATCTTCAGCGATCCGCAATCACTTTAAACCCATGGAAGCAAAGAAGGACGAGAGAAGACTATGAAACGGCCGGGTCGCCACTTAAAGCTGCACCTAAGCTCTGTTCAGATCACCGGTCAAGGAACCAAAGCACCTCGAACAACCAATCACTCATCTATGATTGGTAGTTCACGGTCCTGTTTCAATCTGATCATTTGACAAACTGTCGAATGCCTTGGCTCCCGTTTCAGCATTGCCAGGGTCTACAACTCGTGGCGCCGGGGGGAGGCTAAATCTGGTATCAGAATTCGAGACATCCAGTCAAAGGCAACAACCGGCAGACAGGGCTTGTTTTGGGTCGGAGATTTTCTGAATCACATGCAGCCAATCACGCAAAATCATCGAGAGTCGGGACTTTGGGAGATGACTTTGGGCGGACCCTTGCGTTGCACTGAGTCGTCGGAAGCAGGACAGGCAATGAAATCTCACGTTCTCACCGAGATTGGCAGACGCAGCACCGCAGGTTGGCCTCCCCAAGGCTTGCAGCAGTCTCGATCTCTGCCCCTCCTCGCGCTACTGATGCCGCATCTTTGGGGGTGGAGGTCGTCACACTCGCGGTTGGTCTGGCGTTTCGTTTTACTGCGTGCGTGGGCTAATGTGGTCCAGACATGCGTCCTAAACATGCTGCTAATGTACGGGACGACGACTCCGTACGTAGTGCCATTTCATGCCTCTATGATCTATCGACCTTCTTCACCGCCAGATGACAGAAGTCGATAGCAACCAACCAACATGGGATTCACTGTTCCTAGCAACGGAACATTACCGGCATCTTCCCTCGAGACAGGAAAAACCCATCCCGTCTTTCGTCTCTTCTCAATGCAGATCCACCCTTGCCCGTTTTCGAAGCAAAAGGCCGGAAGATTCCAGCTCTGTGGGAGCAACTTGACTTGTGACGGACCTCTTTGCGACGGGTGACTCTGCGTCAAGGGTCGAAAAACCAAAAGTTACAGACGCTTCGCCTGGCCCCTGCCCACCACAATCCCCACACCAGCACGCCGGCGCTTAACTCCTCGACCAATCCGCTGCCTCCCCGCCGACCGTTGGTGATGGTCCTGACGGGAACCGGGACACCGCGAAACCCCTGTCATTCCCGACGTCGGACCAATCAAGACCCCGGCTGTTCTGAGGACAGGCGCTTAGCAAAGTGAGGTGACTGGGGGCCCTCCACGGCTGCGCTCCGTACACGACCACCCACCCCCATGCAGTGCCCGGGATGCCGGGTCGTACCATGGCCGGATCCGGCAAGGCGCTTCAGGCCGCTTTTGCTGGTCCTTTACTCAACTTGTTTCTGAGTGGACGTTTCGCCTGCTTGGTACTTTTCTTTGGCTTGACGACACGCCCTTGACTGCGTCTGAGTTGTTGACTCTGTCCCATCGCGGGTTCCGAATCGCAGTATTCCTTGGATCTCAACCGCGAACCTGGAAGAGACGCTTTCTGGGACAGTCCGGGACAGACGCCAAATAAAAGAAAGAAAACAAAATCGCACACTCAACATGCACACCGCGGGGTGTGCATGTGCTCATCTGTATGAGTGCGAGGCAGTCATAGAGCTCGTCAACCGTGCCCTATCCCTCAAAGGGCGATGAAAAGGTTAAGCGGACCACGAAGGAGGGGAGGGGGCCGTAAGGAACGAGCATGGGGAGACATGGGTGCGCCTTTCTACACTTCAGTCATCACCGCATCGCCCATCACGGCTGCAACACCAAGCCACGACTAGCAGCGGGAGGAGGAAAATGACGCCCCGGCGGCAGCAACACCAGCAGCGGCGGCGGCAGGAGCAGCATCTATAGTGCTGTAATGTGATGCCCGCTCTCCGGCCGGGACTTGACGCATCACCGCCGAACGATCAACCCCCCATCCCAACCCCATCCAGCCTACCTTTTGCCGGGTGGTTGCCCCCCCTCCCCTCCGGTTCGATTGCACCGCTTTCCAAGGTTTTCCTCATATTGGACTACTGAAGATCGACGGCTATTACATCGATCCCTCATGGCATCCCCCTGCTTGGCGTGCTTTCCCATCTGATGGGGAGGGGTTATACAACTCGGCTTTCAAGAGAGTACACCAAAAACCAAAAGTGTGACGGGATGGGATGGGTATGATGAAGTGAAGGGGCAAGACAAGGCGGACGGGATGGCATGCCCCATCTCCTCAGCGGAAACCAAGGCGGGGGAAGAAGGGTACGGTGGCCAGCCAGCTGAAAGTGAAGACGGAGTACGGTCAGATGGTCAATTATGACGCCCAGTCACACACTTCAGACTCTACCTTATGTAGGATCTCTGGCTGAAAAACTGAGTAGACATCCCAGGAAGTGATCACGGCTCTGTACTTGGGATCATCATGCTTGGGATCAACACCGTGGATGCGAGGAACGGGAACGATATTTTTATCTCTAGAGATTAAGAGAATCTACCCGTCTCGTCGTCGACTCCACCCGGCCGGCCATCGCGGCCTCGTCTCCTTCTCCCCGCTAAAGCGCGGGGCCATAACAAACCCACGATGCTGGCCGCATCAAGGGCCGCGCTGCACGAGGGCGTCGGCCGTGCGACGATAAATAAATAAACACAGACACATACACATGATCCGTCACAAATGGTCTTGCGGTGAAGGAGTTGTCCTCGTACTCGTAGACACAGTCAAGTTGTAGACACAGTCAGGTTAAGGTATACACAGTATGCTGATATTAGGCTACCTGGCTCGCTGTGTAGTAGGTATCTTGCCCTCCCCATGAGCTCTCCTCCCATCGTCTCCGATAAATTCCAAGGCGCATTCAGCCTCATCCCCATTCAGATAATCAAGTCCGCCCACCCAAATAGTTCCTGGTATCGAACATGAGCATCGTAGAGACGCCAAAGAACTCCGTTTGGCCCGGTCCCAAGCGAGGACCGGTAGATGATTTGAAACAAAAGACCAACCAGTTCCCTTCTTTCTTTCGCAACATATTCCTTGCGATGAACCAAATCACTGGTTTCACCCTCATGTTTGCCGCCATATCATGGTGTGCGCCAGTTTGTGTGCGCTAAGTTACTTCCGTTAAGTCATATCGTTGTTGAGTCCCTCCGTGGGAAGAGCCTGCTTCATCACATGTCCTGCCTCTCTTTTTTGTGGCGCTAGGCCTAGGTCGTCAAATGGTGCTGTATTTTGCTGAAAGGTAACGTTGTTGAGGCGATGGTGATGGTAGGTAGAACAAAAAGAAAATAGATCGGGACATGTAGTGCCGATGTCGTGTCAGGTTGAAGTGGATTCGTTTGTTTTGTTTGGTCCAGATGCTCATTCCACCTTCCTCCTCTTTCCCTTTGGCGCGGGGTTCATCCTCGGCGTGTAAGTTACTGTCCGCGTGACCACCTCGCGGATGTGACGCACGCTAGTCCTCGAGGGCTTCTTTGAATCATTCAACCTCTTGGCCTTGAGTGCTGCGTCCCAATCAAATACCGAGTGGACCGATCTGGCGCTGAATGGTGACCTCGCGCTCATTGGCGAGTCCAAGTGCGATACTGCTGGAGAAGGCGGAATCTTGAGGCTGGGGAAAGAATTCGCACCGGTGGGAGGTGCTGACATTGGCAGATGTGTGAAAGGGCTTGGCGGGATGGCCGGCGCCGTAGCCGGAGCCTTATGCTCGTGCTCACACTTGCAAGAGATATCGGTCTGCTCGCTGGTGGCGGTAGAAGGCAATGAGTCGGGCGTGGACTCGGGAGTAGTCTCGCCAGAGGTTGATGGCTTGAACGTGGCTGGTGAGTTGAGAGACATGGCCTTGAGGAAATCCGTGTAGGCCGTTGGCGGGCTAATGGGTGTCTTGATGGGAAGGTCTTTGCATGACATGGGCCTGGCAGAGAGCGGAGTCGAAGCCGAGAACATATTTTCCGAGGGGAAAGTGCTGGTGACGGGCGTGGCCAGCTGGGCCAACTTGGGTCTGTTGACGGGCATGATGACTTGAGGCGGAAGGAGAGGCGGGAGAGAAGAGTAAGGTAGTAGCGAGTGTGTGAACGGGGAGAGATGCCCAGTCAACCAAATGACTCTGACGTGGTGAGAGAGGGGGGACTCAGACTGCCTACGAGCTGCAGAGACAAGTCGCCTGGGGTGAGAAGGGAGAGAGAAGATCGGTAGTTGCGAGGGTGGGTGGACGTTATATTATTTCGAAGAGAATGCGGTGGGCGCTTGTGTATGTATGCGGTCGTAGTGTAAGTGAGCCGGAAAGAGGACTGCAGTGCGAGGTCAAGCTCTGACGGCGGCAAGGAGAATCGAAGGTTTTAGGAAGCTGATGTGCTCCCGGAAGTCTGGTCTGGGGTTGCTGGGGGCTTGAACAGGTGGGCAATAACAAGCCAGTGCTATTCGCCAGGAATGGGTTTCGAGTTTGGGCGGGAAGACAAGCAGGCAGACAAAATGTCAGTCTTCCAGGTCGGCAGGCTGGACAAGGGAGGGGCAGAGTTGTGAGAGGGGTGAGAAGGGGGCGTCTGGTGACGAGATGCCGCGGACGAGGGGGAGGGGTGGATGGTTTGAAGAGAAACAAACAACAGAGGATGGAAAGCCTGCACCAAAAGGCTGCGGTAGCGCGTGAAGGATTCTGTGAGGTGAAGAGGAGTCGTGATGTGTTGGTGACAGCGGATACGGATGGTCCAACGAGAGGAAAGCAGTGGCGCGCGGCGGGAGCGTCGAGGAGAGCGGTAGACACGAACAAGAGCGTGAGAGCGTGGTGGTGGTGGTGGTGGGGAGGACGGGACAGCAATAGAGAGGAGCGGACGCGGGAGTCGAGAGACTGAGGTGACCGGGGTATCTCTAAAGCGGCAGGGAAGCAGCGGGTGGATGAGCTGGGATTGGTCGTGGAGCTTCAACAGACGACGGTCTGATTCGTTGCGCGGGCGCGTGTGGTGTTTGGTGTTCACTGCCTTAGTGCGTGCTGAGCCTGCTGCAGGAGACAGCGAAACAGAGAGACTGGACAGAGACGGAGAACGGGGCCTGCCAGGGCAGAGAAAGAGCCAAAGCGGACAAGGGGGTTGATGAACTGCTGCCGCAGCAATTAATTTGCCTCTATTGGCGTCCTTGTTTGGACGAACCGGCTCGTTGCACGCCAAAAGAAAGCGGGCAAATTTTTGTTCTGGTTGTGACTGACACAGCGGTTGGCTTTCGTCCCGTGCTTTGCTGCGGTGCCCGAAGCTGCGTTGGCTGTGATGGAATAAGGTAGGTAGACTGGCTCTTTTTGTTCCGGTTGTTTGCGTCTAAAGGCGACAAGCCAATGGGAGTGGCTTGGATCGAGGAAGCGGTTGGCGTTCGGCGGATGGCTGGGATCACCGTTTGTCCCGTCGCGCGATCGTGGATGCCTCGTGGCCTCTCGCCCGGTAAATGTGATGAATGTGTGATTATTGGACGAGTCTTGGTCCAAGGTATTAGTCGGGTGTCGGGTAGCAAAGTCGGCTAAGGCAGGCTCAGGTAGTGGCGTAGTGCAATGACGATGTTGCTTTGTACGGATGTCTCGTGGATTAGGATTGGCTGGCTAGCACAGGCTACCGGCACCTGTAAGTCGTAGTCGTCCAGTGAGTAATACGGAGTAGGTATCAAGCGTCGTCCCAAAAGCGGAGGCTACAAAGACTCGCAGCAGTGGGTGGAGGTGATGCGCCGTGTAAGTGGAGAGGGGATGCAAAGCCACCTCAGTCGATGAATGGTAGGAGAGGCAACAGAGACAGAATGCCGCAGAGAAGCAAAGAGAAGCGATGCGATCGTAGAGCCCGAGTAATTCAGATGCGAAGCTACCTGAGCTAGCAAAAGTCAAGAAGGCAGTGTGCGATGGTCCGGCGTGGAGAGGCCTCGATTTCTGGCCTGAAAGGCTAATGGAGAGTCGTGATTGGGTCTTGGAGGAGGCTCGCGGTGAGGTGTCGTGCAGTTGCGGGCTGTCCGTCGCTGGGTCCAACGGGGCTGCTTATGGGCGCTAGCAAAGAAGCACTGTAGCCAGTCAAAGACGTAGAATGGCAGTGGGAAAACAAGAGTCAGCCGGGGCAGCCGTCCGGAGGGTGTTCCGCGGTTGAGCTGGCTATTCTTAGTGCTGTGTGTCTACGAGTTGTGATTGGACGTTGGCCCGAGGGCGCTTTCTCACCTGTAAATCCTCACGTCGTCCACCAGATCTTGCAGATGAGTCTTGTACCGGGAAGATGTGTCGAGAACCGGCCCCGATGGTGATATGTGGCGAGGCGGAGCAGGAAGCTCGTTGGATGGACCGAAAGATTCGAAGCTAACAAAGACGGGACACAAGAAAAGACGTCTCGGTCCGATGACGAGGTAGCCGGGGGGCTTGCAAGAGGAAGCAAGAGGCAAAGATGAGAAAGAGACTTCGTCAAGCGTCGTCAGACCTCGTGATGACAGTGGGGCCGAGAAAAGGCGCCGGAGGTGATTGATGCCGCAATGAATGGTGGACGGGAGTGCCAGCTGAACAGGGGAAGCAGGATGCAAGTGGATGGATGCACCTGATGATCTGAGATGAGTGTGGTGGATGGGAGTTGCAAGAAAGAGTCAAGGTGAAGAAGATGCCCAGTAGAAGGAGCCTCGGTGTGGGAGGCAAGAGGTGGAGAGAGAGGAAGGGAGAATCTTGCAGTAAGGAAGGAAGGAAGGAAGGAAGGAAGGAAGGGCGTGGATCGAGTGTGAATGCGATTGCCTTGTTGGTTCTGGTGTCGGTGTCGGTGTTGATGTTGGTGCTGGGAGGAAGGAAAGCGCTTGGCTCTCGACTTCTTGATTTGGGCGGGGGCGGTTCGAGTGATGAGGAGGGAAGGAGCTGAATGATCACGAGCTTGACTCTTCACTTTTTTTTCCCCCAGCATCATTGCCGGATCGAGCCATCGTTTTATCAATCAATTCATCCATCAAATTTTTGTCTGGTCTGCCTCGCGATTCTTTACCAAGCGCCTGTATCCATTCGCGACCTGTTTGACATCGCCTTAGTCGCCCAGATTCACAAGAAACAAAAACAAAAAACCGAGAATTCGTTTTTCAAAATTCATTTCGTGCTTCACTCCGCGCGCGGCACCGTTCAGCGTCTCGACTCTCGACACTCCCTCGATCGATTTGAGCCTATCTTTCCATCTCTTCTCAAGCGCTCTCCATCAAAGGACCACCAGACGTCCTATTTCCAGCCACCTGGCCCGGCAACCAGAGTCTCGCCAGATGCCAGAGCGCGCGCCATATGATGCACATCGGCCATTGGACCTAGCTGCCAACACGTCGTTGGCCGTCAGCGACTCGGAGAATTGCATACCCATGCACACAATCTGCCCCCAAGCAGGGCATCAGCTATGAGGAGCGGGTACGTGGCCGGCCATCTCTTCTGCCTGCCTCCGATACACTTGGGAGGGGCTCTGCTCCGGCCCCAGTCCGTACCCGGCTCTAATACAGCGCGCGCCTCCAGCCAGTACGACGTTGGGCCGCGGCCCGGTCGTCGACCCTCACCACCACCGTCTCCGTGTCAAGACATCATGGGCCGGGACACCTCTCACAGCCTCCTAGAGCCCGATTCCGTCTGCCGACTCTGAACTCATTGTTTGTGGATGGTCTAGAATCATAACTTCTCGTGATAAGCGCCAACCCTGGGCTTGTTTTATTCGCTGGTTCAAAGGAGATCGAATCCTTCGCGCCTGTTTCCTGCAAGCTCCCTGGCATCTCATTTGCCAAATCCACACCAGCTCGCGCGCCGCAAACTCGTGGAGTCGGCTTTCTATCTCGCTGCCCATGCTTAGCATGCAGCCACACAATCTCGTCAACTGCTGCCATGAGGCACATTCAACTCGTGTTGGTCCACGCAAGCGGTCTGTGATGTTAGTGCGTCTATGGCGTCTTGTGAATCCTTCTGTTGGACGTCGATGGTAAACGCGACGTGGAGGATTCAAAGAGGTCGAATTCTGATCTTGAAGGACCAATTGCTAGCTGAGTTGTCGCTCCTGTGTGCCTTGGGTCGTCCATATGATGGCCTTCGACCTGAAGGATCGCGCTTAATATGCCATGCAATCGATCGAAAGAGACAGCTCACTTGCCTTGCAAGACTGTACAGACGCCCCTTGGGGATGGCGTTCATGCTCTGCTCTTGCCACGCCCTCGGCGTTGCTAGTAACCCGTCGACTTGCCGCGCGATACTCCAGGACCGAAGACTTCAAACAGTAGAGGCGTTGCTTAAACCAAGTTTCGTAGATCCTTCAAAAGCCTATGATTCCTCTGATGTCCACAAAGTCAGGTTGATCAAGGTACGTCCTTGCGAACTGGTCAGCAGAGGTCGCTACCTACCAGGTCGCGACGGTCATCAAACAGATCAGAGCAGCATTCGCGCCTCAGATGCAACGATAGGCACTACGGATTGGCTGGCCTTGTCTCTCGAGAGTACACGATGCCATCGTGAGCCGCCGACCTGTTTCACTAGTCGCGACCATTCATATCCGAGTAGCATAGCCTTCGACGTACTCGTTATCCTTCTGCGGAGGGGCATCCGCTGCTCACCGAGGAAGTCAAACCTGACAAGCCTGAAAAACAAAAAAGAGTTCACCACCGGTGTGGTTACATCTCTTGGTGCACTCGCTGGGAATCGAACTCGAACTCGGGGCCTGTCGTCGAGTAGGCTGTGGGCGTAACTGATTGTTGACCATGAACCACTCCACCACCTAGCCAGTTTGTCCTGACCCCCCGACCTAGAGGGGCGCCTGCTGGTGACAGGAATCGGATTGAGGGGGGGCATATACCTTTGTCCCGTCGTATATTCCAAATGAGTATTCTGGGCTTCCTTTCTAGCGTCAAAGTAGGTCGTCCACCGAGAAGGGGCAGCGTGGTGCACATAAGCGACCTCGCATCAGCCTAAGTTGGCCTTAATCGCTTCTTAAACTACGGCAATGCGCCTGAAACATGTCAGATACACTCCTGAGCTTGCCATCAAGGTGATTGCGTTGCTTATGTGCGAGATCTGGTGGATTCAACCGTCTGATCATGCGCCAGCTCTTAACTGCCTAGGCTTCTGAATCCTTTTCCTCTAGTTCGGAAGACACATTTGCCTTGTCGACCCTCGTAAATGGCGACGTAGATGTATGAATACCATTGTTTCACGGTGAACGGTTTCAATGATGTATAGACGCAATCCATCCTCGCCAACTTGTCTTGGAGCAATCGGCCACCGCAAGTCTTGAGCCTGGGGCACAGGGATCAGTCCATCCGGCAAGAGCGTAGAGAAGGTGTCAGTCCCATCAAATGAGTCTACTCTATACCTGCCTTCTTTCTGTTTCCTCTTGTAGTAGTTACATATCAGAATACGCTACGAAGTGTATCCAGAGCCAAGCTTTCCGGTAGATCAGTACAGGTAATGGTGAAGATTGAAGACTTCCCCGAGGGCTTCGTCCTGGAGGACAGATGGGATTGGGCTAGCCTTAGCGTAAAAATTTGCAGAGGATTTGATGCCTTGGTTTGAGAGTAATTTCCTTTGCCAGCCATACCCTTTTATAGGAATGGGAAACCTGGCATTGGTGATCGGCAAACTACCTCCGCCAGACCACCAGCCAGATGACCGTATCCGACGTGATTACTTGATACTTGGCGACTGACAGAATCTTCGTTTGGAACACGGCTGGGCACCGAAAGGGCCAGTCCGGCATTGCCTGGTCGCGAAACCCATATTTGCGTGAAGTTCTCGCGATACATCAGTCTCGCCAACGCCATCATATTTGTGGTTGTCAAACTGAAAACTGCCTTTGGAACCCTGATATCTGATCATGACTTGTAAGCTTCATTCAATAATGCTTTTCATAGCTATTTATACAAAAGCTACGAGATTGTACATAGTGATTGATTGAAAAAGGGGTATCCATGCAGTACTTTCGCCCTTTTCAATCCCCTTCATCATAGTCATCACATTTCCTTTCCGGCTAACATAGTTTCACTTACACTACTACACAACCATGGGTTCCCTCCAAAACATCCCCGCCGATGAAGTCTCGGCCGCCCACAACACCAACATCTAGAAGCTCGTCCTCCCAGCCAAAGGCCAAGCCCAGAACTCCACCTCCGGCATCGTATTCCACCACGTCCCCTTCACCGGCGGCCTCCTCTTCAACCTTCAAGGCTGATCCGGTCTCCCACCTGCCAAAGAACGAGGCCGTACACCATGATCAACTACTTCGATATTGTCCTGCCCAACCCCCGCCTCTCCCTCTAAAACCATCCTCGTCAACGTCTCGAAACGACCCGGCCCCTTTATCGCGCCCACCAAGTTCAACAGCCTACAAAACCAGCAACACCAACAACAGTAGTCCACCGTCCCGGCCACCTCCGTAGAGACCCAGCTCCCAGAAATCAAGATCATCACCCCCCCCTTATCAACCCTGCCTCGGGAGGTGAGATCCTCTCCCAGACGGGATTCGTTAACATCAGTCTCGATCTCATCTGCGCACAACACCCCGCCGCACGCCTCCTCGAAGCAGACGCCACGCCCATAGTCTGGGACCATGTTAGCGACACCCCTCGCGCTCTCTCGGCTGCGCGTTGTTGTGGCTGTGGGGGATGACCAGAGTGCTGATGTGTCTACAGGTCGAGATGAGTTGGTCAGGGTGACTGTGGTCCCCGGGCTTCCGTTGGATGATGTTGCCATCAAGTGGCCACTGAAGCCTGAGCTGGAGCTCACGCAGGCGTGAGATATTTTGTAGAGGACTGGGTTCAATGGGCGCGTTGATGCTGTTGGACTGAGGAAGCCGCTGTTTCCTGGCATCGATCAGGTGTTTTATATCTTTACCGTCGGGATCGAGTTTTACGCTGTTGGTGTGATGTATAGGAAGGTACCTGCATCGGTTCTCTTTGGGGTAGCGTGAGGTATAGGCTGCTACCTGAGGAGAGGTATGGAAAGAGTGATATGGAAGGTATGGGGCGCTCTCGAACCACAGCTGAGAGTAATGAAATGTTCAGCAGTCTGGCATACCTGATGGTTATATTCCATCCGATTTCTGGGCAGGGCGCCTACCTGACCTTGTATTCAAGTTGAGGTCGCTCTTACCTCAACCAAGCCCAATCGATCCCCATGGTCGAGCGGTATAACGCCCTGGTCCGTTAGTACAGAACTTGGTATGACTTCTCGAGAAGTCAACGGATGAAGTATTTCGTAAGGGTCCAGTTCGAATTACGAACTGGGCACCTGAGCTTTTGCTTTTTTGCCCCTTTTGACATCCACTAGATTAAGATGCTAGTAGCTTCCTTCTCTCGTCGCTACCTATGGTACTTCATATTAATTCAAACTAGTTGTGCACGTATTAGCAGGACAGCCCGTTGGCTTGGACGAAATGTAATATCGTATGTATTACTATGTCTATAGGATATGAAAGGAGTAACAGTTAGGCGTGGCCCATTGATTCTTTTAAAGTGGAAGGAGGTGGGTAGAAGGGCCGCTTGCCTAGCCCATTCCACCTCCCATACTAACCTTTCTACCGACTATCCAGTACTATAGTAAATACTATCAGCTATTACGCCAGCGGGAGTCCGGATCTTGGGATATTTCTAAAATCTTAAAAAAGGATAAACAAAAAACAAGAAAAAGCAAAAACAACAGGAGCTGACCAAAGGTTCGAATGCCGGAATCCTGAAGAGTACGGAGCATCACGCACTAGTCAGCACTTCACAACTTTCACCCCTCGGCCGCCAGGCCCGGTATTGGTTGTCAGAATAAGAAGGCACTAGACTTGCTATGAGGTATACGCTGGAGGTTTGCTGATGCCATCTGTGAAAGGCGCAAGACCATGTGACACATGTCTTTCCCGGGAGATCGACTACCCAGAGTATGTCCGCTATTATATTTTCGTTCTAGAGGTAGAGAAAGGCGGTTGCGTTTGCTTCCTATATTAATAGAAGGTGAGCGGCGTGAGATGCCTTCCTGAGGTGGGCTTGATGTGAGATGGCATCAAGGAGAAGACAGCACGCAATATCATCATCTCGAGATATAGCCCTCGATATCCTCCTGAGGGTAGAAAAGTTCTGAGCGCAAGCCAAATCAAGAAACAGGTACCGCACAATAGCCGTATCCTTCCTCCTCATATTCAACGTGGAATGATTAGGGGATGAAGGAGAGCTTAGGATATATTATAGAAACTTTTTCGAGATCGTCGAGGCCGTGAGGGGGTGGGGGGCGGTGGTCATAGTTAGAAGGTTAGAGAAGGTCTCCTAAAACATTATCAGACGTGGGAGATGATGGCTCAATGACTTTGGCTGACAATAAAAACAGACTCGGGTAAGATGATTACGCCGCCTTAAATAGATGTCTTCTAGAAACATTATAAGGGAGCAAAGACATCGAAAATCTCTTGCTAAATGCGATTAGAAATAGACTCATATGGCAATCTTTCTGTCGAGCACAGAAATGGCTTACGGATGCCCGTCCTTTTACACATGCAGATTCTGGTCAGGCTCTCACACTCGGAGACATGCTCGGCGTCAAGCTGCTGTCGATTATAGAGTGCATTACAAAAGCACGTAAGATCACTTTGTCTTTGACTACACTGCTCATCAGAGAGAGAAGAGCTTGAGGAGTGTGACCTGGACCGAAGTACTTGAACCCATGCCCGCCAGATACAGGTCAGTCAGTGCCCGCCCCTTTTGGTAAGAATTCTCATCCAGGTCTTTTGATCGTGACACAGCTAAAGTCCAACTTAGAAGACATTAAGCAGGCGGTTCATTTTGCATACTTGACAAGACCATGAGCGCAAAAAGAGAAGATGTTGAAGATATCCTCATCATCTCGCTGTAAAGTGCGTTTGATACTGCTAGATCAGCTGAATCATATAGACGCAAATAGCACAAAGAACTCCAGGCTAGATCCGTCATGCATCCCAATGCCCCCCCCCCTCTTAACCCCGGTGCTCCGCCGCCTACCCAGGTACTCAGACATGTGTATCCTGCCCAACCGTGGTTCATCATGCTCGTTAGAAATCATAGTTGCTAGTCACAAATATCATACTCGCAGCTCAACCGCAATCTTGTCATCCTTAGTCACGACTTCCTCCTCTCCCCCTTTACGTCTCCGGCCCAGCTCACTCTCGGCAATGGACCGAATCAACTGTATCGCCAGTTCGGTACCTCTGGAGACGGACGCCTCGGATGCGTCGGACGGTACGTGGAGGAACGTCACCTTGCGGTGCTTCTGCGCTTTCCACAGATGCGCCAAGCTGGAGAAGTAGATGAAGTCGCAGAGGTAGTGTCCAGCGTCTTCGGATATACGAAGGTCGGATCCCTCCTGCGCAAAAAAGTCAGTTCTCTTCCTCCACCCTCAACCTTACTCAGGAGCAACAGCAGTTCGTAACCCTGTGACAGAAACTTACCGGACTGTGATCCTTCCACCGCTCTAGCACATCAGCCAAATCAAACCCCGTCTCAATCTCCGACGGCATGCCGTACCACACCCAGTTCTCGCCCTCCTCCCTCCGCCTATCATCGTCCTCGAGCTTGTTCCCGTCCACGTCGGGGAAAGCGTACCCGTCGCGGTGACCACGGCGCTCAATCGAGTAGAATAGTCGCGGTCCCGCCATGCCGATGTGGACGGTCGCGTCGATGCGCGGGTGGGTTGCCGGATCCCATAGCTGAGGCACCAGGCGGCGGACGTTTTGGTAGTTTACGCGGATGGCTTCCGGGTGAACGAGGATCCGAACCGGCAGGAGGGGACGAGAGGAGGAGGTCGAGGTTGAAGAGTGGTGATCTTTTGGGTTCTTGGCACGGAGGGGCGGAAGGTATGCTGGGAGCGAGTGGGCGATTTCCCAGGAGGGGTTTACGGGGTATTGTGCTTTGAAAGGCTGCAGTAGAGCAATTGTTAGCTATGGAACAATACTTCTTTCGTGAAGGAGGATGTTTGTTCTCGTGGAGCCATGCGCGTCGCTCGTTGTTAGTTGCGAGATGACGGTCGGCACGCCGCGGCGGGCATGGCGGGGCAGGAAAGGAGGGGCAATCGGGGAGTGGAAAGGGAGCGGGTGGAGATGCGTAGAAAACGTACGCCGAAGCCGGTGACGAGCACAGTGAACTCGTCTTGCGAATCAATCTGCGACCCCATCGCGAATGAACGTGAGCTTCCGGCTGTAGGTGGGAATGAGGATGGTGTGAGAAAGGTAAGATACAGAAAAGAAATACGTCAACGAAGGCGAGGTGGCTTCCGGAACAAAACCACGCGATCGTTCTGGACGTGGGGGAAGGAGGGGGAAAGGGACGATCCAGTCTCGCGATTGTCTTTTGTACCCTCCACTCCTCCCCCATTCCTGCCGGGCGCTCCCCCTCCACTGCTCTGATGCGGGTGACATCCGCCCCGGCGCTGGATGCGCTGTGAGAGGGTGGTGGGGTCTCAGCACTAAGGCACCCGGTGCAGGAGCCGTATAGGGCCCGCGCTCGCCTGCAGCAACCTCAGCAAGGGCGATGCGGGGCACCTCACACCTCACCCGTGGGCGCCTTCAACTTTCACCGAGGTTTGCCTGCCTTTTCTAGACGACGAGCCAACCACCTGATATGTTTGTACCTCAGCAAATATCTCACTTCTTATCTGTGATTTCATATGACTTCATGGCCAGAGATTGGTACCCCACATAGGACATACACAGAATAGGTCGACACATGGAGGGAGATGAAAAACGTGGCATCCTCTCAGGTGTGCGGTCAGGCAACATGCGGTTGCAACGGCGTGTAAGACAAGATTTTGACTTCACAAGACGATCGGGGGGGGTTTTGCAATGTCGTGCCACGAGTAAGACCGCCTGGAGTACAAGTATAAAACATGATTGGTTGACGGCTAGACTGACACAGCTGAAAAAAAGGTAAACTCAGCGGTGAGGAGCTAGGATGGTTGGGCGAACATTGGATGTAGGCTGTAGCACAAGTCATGGTTGATTCGGATGGATAGTATCATCCAGAAACTTCATTATAGCCTGTTGGGCCTGGAGCGTAATGCTAATGGCCACTGCGATATACTGAAATCTCCCGTCTCCTGACAGGAGTCTGTCGTCGCTTTCCTATGCTGTAAAGGCAGCACCCTCTCCGGTGCGGGTATCAGCCAACTATCATCATATCCAGCTCGTGGTTGAATCAAATCATCAAAACCTTGACGAAAACAAGTAGAAGACGCATCATCTCGAGGCTGACCGCGGCTCGTCAAGAATCTTCAACCCTCCCGTATCATCGTATCCGACGCGCTCTTCGTCCACAGCCCTTCGCATCTCATCTCTAAGAACTGTCTTCTCACCTGTGACGGGATGCCATTCCCATCCTTCACGCATCCACATCCAGCGGAGACACGCCCGAAGCTCCTTGTCATCGGGTCGCACTCTCATCCACTCAGGTTGGAAATTGGGCGCTGCGCCTTTGCCGTTCCAGTCTTGGGCCCGCCCCAAAAGCTCGTCGCGACAGAGGATTCGCCAGCTGTCGAGGGCGTATTTGCCTTGCGTGAAATGGCCCATTTCCCACGCATCGTCGGCGTCTTCATTCGTCGGCAATTCAGGCGAGCCTTGTCCGGCATCGCCGTCGGGTCGAAGTACGCTTGCCTCAATATCTCTCTTATCGTAATTCTTCACTCTGTAAACAACCCCTCCTGTCGGAGGCTTCTCGAGCCAGGCTCGAGCATACCGCTGTATCGCTGCTGTCCGCACAACTGAAAGCCCCAGGTGACGAATCATACTCATAATGGTCGGTGTCGCTTCTGGGTCGGCCAAGGCCTCGGGTGTTGGGAAGCGTTCCTTGACCTTGTAAAACGTAGGGATGGCCAGCGTCCCAGCTGTCTTGACGAGGAAGGTCACTACCACAAGCAGCCAGAACGGCTCGTGTGCAAACTCCTCTTGAATGAGACCAAATTTCGGAGCCGAAAGTCGCGGAAAGGGGATCGTTGATACAAGACCAGCGCCGCGTTTCGATCTAGGAGACTGTTTGGCTGGTGAAGGCAGATTGAAGAAGGGCGATTTCACAGCCAGCTTCCGCGTCGGCGAGGGGCCGGAAAGACCTAGTGCTCCGACTTGATCCGGCTCAAGTCCTTGGGGGACAATAATTCGGACGAGTTCATCGGAGGCGGACTGCTGGGCGGGGATGGCCAGGATGGCGTCTCTACCCGAAGATCCCTGGCTGTCTGCGGGCCGCTGGCTTTTAAAGCGCCGGCGTCATCGTCATTCGCTCCGCTAGCCGCACAAGCGGCGTTCTGGGCCTCGCTGGTCGATTCCTTCGGGGTTTGTCCGGTGGTGTCATTCGGGGCCTCAGTCTCAAGAGACTGCTTGCGAGGCGTGATATTGGGCGTTGCGATTCCATTGCTGATGACGGCCGGGGTGCAAGCCCGAGCTGCGTCGGAAATGAACGGAGATGGAGATGAAGATGAAGATGGCTGTTCAGGCTGGATGCGTGGCGATTGTTCGGCCGCGGAAGGCGCGAAATAGTGAGATGTGGATGGTTTGGGAGCGACTCTGCGCCGCTTGACTCGTTGGTTGTTGGGTTGGGCATCTTCACCTTCGTCCTCCTCCTCATCGTCCCGTACGTGCTTGAAGACGCCTTCTCGCTTGATAATTCGCTCCCGTTTGATGACGGCAGGTTGAGGTTCAGCAACGATGCCTGATCGATGAACCCGCAGAAGCGTGGCTAGTTTTTTGATGGACTGGTCAGTCGCTGCCCAACCCTGACGCAGCTTGTCGGCGGCTAGCGTGGCTTCTTTAACCCGCGGGACGAAGGCCAGGAGATCTTGTGCATCGAGAGGGGATCTAGCCGGGCTCTGCTCCTTGATTGAGGCCGCACTCTCGAGCATCAGGTTCCAATCCTCGTACCCACTGAACAGGCCGAGATCGTAGACGGCCAGCTTCTCATCCCAGGGTGTGCCGGGTGCAGCAAGGACATCGAGCAAGAATGGCTTGTCAATTTCGGAGACGTCGAATCCGACGAAGACGTCGTCTGCTAGTGCATGCGCCATTGATGATGATGTGGGTGGACTGACGCGGGCGAATGAGCCGGATATCGTGGTACGAAGTTTGTATGTATGTACGTGTGAAAATGGATGTGGGTGGGTGGTGTTAGTGACGGATTGAGTGATGGAGTGAGAAGGAATGAGATTTTTTGTCGAGGTTGCGAGGAGGAGTATTTTGGGAAGGAAGTGAATTGTTCCGGAGAAAGGTCTGAGATAGAGGGCAGTGGACTAAAATTGAGGAAGAAGCACCTGAGGTTGACTTGAGAGTCCGGGCCGACGTTAATGGTGATCCCAAGGGGTTGGATTTCTTCAGTTGCCTTTGAAGTGAGGCCTGGGGGCCGTTGAGGACGCCATTGTGTGCTGTGGGCGGTCAATGGCATTCAGTTGCAGCGTCAAAGGACAAGACAATTGAAAGCAGCAGGTGCAGGGGAAGAAACACGGCAAAGCAGGTGCGAAGGAGGGGTGAGTATTCCCTCTGTCGTTGAGGAATACCTTAACAACGGCAACGGCGCTGATGAGGTGAAGTCGGGTCTGTTTTCAGGAGAGCGTTTCTAGTAGGCAGAACAAAACCCTGCTGGAGGTGTGGTTGTTTAGCCTCATGCGGATCCCCTGGCGAGCCAGGTCCCCTTTTTCCCTTTCAGCGTCATAGCCTGGCACCTTCGGAGGCTTGTTTGGCTTTTGACGCTGAGTCTAGGTAGGAAAATAGATACACGAACCGGCCGCTGGCTCATGGCGAACGGTTCATTGAAACAATTGGACCATCGATGAAAGAAACGGCATCTCATAAAACGGCGGCATTTGCGTGAAAGCCATGGACTTGGTGGCTTGATGACGCTGGTGTTGTCTTTATTCGTCAAAATCGCTGACCAACAACACCCGCCCTCATATACATAGCAACCTACTGTGTAGGTACCTTGGTGCTGGGCATGACATGAGGGGGAAGTTCCTGGCCTGTCACTGCTGCAGAGGGCCTTGATGATAAACCAGGTCGGCCCAGCTCATTGGAGATCGCCTACCTCAATCAGGCACGGATACATGGCACAGCCAAGGCGCCTGGCAATGCTAGCAGCAAGTGTCCAAGTTCCAAGTCCCCTTCTCGAACAGTTGGTTGTCCACAGGGGTGCCTCACCCAGAGCCTCCTCGTCTTCCCCAGATTATGCGATAGCAGAGATAACCTGGTTGGTAGGCTGCTATCGCATTGATCAAGTTACGCAATCTGGGACCCAGTCTTGTGACTTGTACAAAGGTCCACTCGTCGAACTTTTTCGCTGGAGTGACTGGTTTACTTGGAATGGGCGACGGCAATCCTCAGGAACCAGTGCATGAGAATCGTCTGCTCGAGCGTGTTCCATGGCGAGCGTAAATATTCGCATTGATTGTAATAAGTGTATGGCGTGCTCAAGCTCCGGTAGCTTCTCCAACGTTGCCCAGCGGTGCGGTGTCAAGGTGCGTCCTAGGAGTGGTGGTACTTAGGTAGCCCAAGGTGTCTGTTGCTTTGGACGAATGTAGGTACTTTGACTTCCCGTCCCTTCTATACTCGGGGAATGCAGAGGTGCCTCAAAATTGGGCAAGTTCAGTCGAGGCCGGCAACCATTCCCGCTGGAAACATCAAGACGTTAGCATCCGGCACCAGCACCAGCTTGACAGCATACCAACAAATGACATTCCTTCGCTTTTTGAGGTGCCTGACCACCATCAGGGTAGGTAGACAGACATATTGAGACGACAAAAGTGCGTGAGTTCCTCAAGACTTAGCCTAGTGACATCGAGGGTGGCAGTGACATGAGCCAGCCAAAGTCTATCCGGCGACTGTTGTTTTAGTGAGCGGAGACCGAGATAGGCGTTCGGGGCCGCGGGTGCGTCTTTCGCACTCTGCGTGTCTGCCCGGGTGCCACGTCTGCGGAAAGCCGAAGCGGGCTACAAAGTACGTACCCAGTAAGGTACTTACGGTGTGCGGTGGGCCGTTCCCCAGCGCAACTTCTCTGTGTGCAACTGCGGCCCTGCCGTGCCTGCTGCACTGTCCCAGTGCGAATGTGTCTTGGTGTCCAGTCCTTCCATGACGGGGAACGCATGATGAGTGGTCCACCGCGTGACGGCCTGTGGGGCCCGCCATGTCACGTGGACGCCTTCGCCCAATCCTTGCCTCCCGCCAGTCGGTCGCCTCATTTACTGCCTACTCCCCATTTTCGCTGTTCCTAAGAACTTCCAGATCCTATTCCAACATCCGTCCATCCCTCACCACACACCCCCCCAGCGCGTCCTTGTCCTTTTCACGAGCGTTCACCAACCCGAATCGAACACTCTCAGCGTCATCCGAGCATCGAGAGATGAGTAGTCGCGGCGGTAAATTAGCCCCAGAAGTCAACCGGTAAGTCCGAATTCTTCCAGTCGCGAATCTGCCTACCTGCTACGCTGGTATATCTCTGCATCTTTTCCCTGCCTTGGCCGCACACGACATCCGGCCGCCGGCCAAGGTCACCCCACGGCCCATGCCGACCACCTCCGTCCGGTCTCGCCTACTACCTGCCTTCCTCGATCTTATTCTGTGCCCCGATTGATACCTACCCTGGCCGGCGTGCTACTTGATGGGAGAGACATGGCTGACTGGTTGTCGTACAGAGCTCTGTTCGTGAAGAACTTGAGGTAAGCCTCACCAACCCTCCGACAATGACCCACGCGACGATCGACATCAATGACTGACCCCGACATAGCTACAACGTAACTCCAGAGGAGTTGTTCGACCTGTTCGGAAAATTCGGCCCAATTCGGTACGCCCCTCTCGTCGATGACAAACGCCGCCTTTCCTCGATATCAATACTGACCTCTGCCACAGACAGGTCCGCCAGGGCATTGCAAGCGGCACCAAGGGTACCGCCTTCGTCGTCTATGAAGACGTAATGGATGCGAAGCAAGCTTGCGACAAGCTCAATGGCTTCAACTTCCAGAACCGATATCTCATCGGTATGTTTCTGTCGATCATCTTCAACAATTGTGGATCCATACTAACTTGATGACTAGTTCTGTATCACCAGCCAGAGAAGATGCTCAAGTCAAAAGAGGACCTCGAGGCTCGCCAGGCTCGTTTAGCGCAGCTCAAGACACAGCACGGTATCGATTGACAATCCGACGGGTCTGCGGCACGCCTCCAGACACCTACCTCGTCTGCAGGCCCGTCTATTTCATCTAAACGAACCACTTCTCCGGATCAGAAGACGATCCTCAGAAAGGGCAAGCCGGCCATCACCGGGCGCGCACCCAGAACCGGTGTACGATTCGCCGACGGGGTGCTCCCCAACTCGCTCCGGGCCCAGACTTGCGCTTGAGGTGGTGGGTCGTTGTAAAACATGACCCGCCAAGACTTTCAAGCTTTGTTCTGGTCGGGGGTCTTTACGGTGCAGAGACACGCGCAGCTTTTCTTGTTCGCTGGTTTTGGCTTGGCAAACGCCCGAAAACTCACTCAACCTCTCCTGGAGAGTATCACGACCTGATATGAATCTTGTGCGATGGCAGGGGCGATTAGGGGACAGGAAACCGGATTGAGCCGTCCGTGGGTATTGTCAGTCAAAAAAACTCGACAGGTCCTCGGCGGTGTTGTTTTATATCATTTTTTTCCTTTGCTATTACTGATTTGGGATTTCGAGGGGGGCGTATCACCTTTGCTTGTGGATCACCATCCTTCGACACTCTTCACACACTACAAGTTGCTATCAGAGAATGCATGACAACCGAGGCACCGGCCTCGTGTTCCTCCCCCTTTTGTGTCCTAGGCTGCATAAGCTAACTTTCACTGGGGTCGAAGTGAATATCCAGGGTCCTATGTGCGTATGCTTTCCAACGTTGTGACCACCCATTCCATGAGTTGCCCAGCCTCGCTACTGGACATGTTGTCCTTGGCCGTAAGGCACTTTTCAACTACTTGCTTGTACAGCTTTCCGGTCTTGCTGCCCAGTCCCGGAACCAAGACTGGCAAAATAATCCTGTCCCTCCACTTCTCCGCCGAGTAGTGCGGCTTATAATACGTCTGCAGCACCTTCCACAGCCCAATCTCCAACAAGACCAGCCCGAGGCTGTACACGTCGTAGCCCTTGCAATACTGCTTCCTACAGAGGCCGGAGCCCAGCGATCGCGGGTCCCTATGGAGGTCGAGAATACTGGGGTTCCGCGGGTTGACGCTCATCTCGGCGTCGAAATCGGGGCGGGAGGCGTCGAAGCCGACGAGGTAGGGGGAACCGATGTCCGGGACGACGGCGGCGGAGACGGTGGTGGCGCGGGTTGCGGCGAGGGAGGCGGCCGAGGGGAAGAAGAGGATGTTTGCGCTGCAGAGGGACTTATGGAGCCAGTCTAGGGAGTGGAGAGACCAGAGGGCGCAGGCGAGTGTTGATGCGAGGGTTATGCGGTCGTCTAGGTCGGGCGTTTTGAGGTCTGGTGAGGAGATTAGGGTGTGCAGGGTTGAGTGGGATGTTGCCAGTTGTGGTTGTGGTTGTGACGGTGGTGGTGCTGCTGCGGTGGTAGTGACGGTGGTGGACTTTGTCTTGATCTTGATATTGGTGGCGGGTGGGGAGGACGTGGGTAAGGATGAGTGAGAGAACAAGCGACAGCGGTAGACGAGGCCGTAGCGTGCGTTGTTTGAGTCGTCGGTGTAGCCTATGCAGTCTATCGTGTGGAGGTCTGGGTGGTTTGAGGAGGCCGAGTGCATCATGCGGGCGAGGTCATCTAGGCGGCGGAGGTGGAGGAAGCGTTCGTCTGGGGAAGAGGGGTCGTATTCGACCCATTCTACGAGGACTGGGCCGTGGGTTGTGTGTGTTGCGTGGGTGCGGGTCGTGTTTGTCGTTGGTGATGTTAAAGAGAAGAGGTTCAGGGACGACGAGGAGGGGGAAGAGCCTGCTTTTGCGGTGGAGGAGTTGCGGCGTTTGGTGCCGGGGGTGGGAGATGTTGGTAACGGTGGCGAGAGCAGCGGCGTCGCCGTCGTTGGCGAGGAGGAGGAGGGGGCGAGATCGAGGTCCGTACGGGGGATCCGGAAGGCGAACGTCGGGCGGAAGGAGGCCTGGGGTTCGGCGTCGAGGTTGATGCGTAGCTTTTTGAGGTTGGCGGAGGCGGTGAGCTGCGGGTACGAGTCTGCGGAGGAGGACTCGAGGAGGGCGAGCTGGGCTACGTCGCGGCGGGCCGAGTCGAGGAGGGAGTGGCGCCAGGAGCGGTGGAGGGAGGGGAGGAGGCGCGGTGGGAAGAGTTGTTCTAGGCCGTCGTTGAAGTCTTGGTGTTTTTGGTGTTAGTGTACTGATATTAGGTGTGTGTGTGTGTGTGTGTGTGGAAGTTTGGAAGGGGGGTTCACATTTCAAGTCTGTCAAGAGAGTTGTGAACTTTTCCTTGTCTATCACACAATCATCAGCGACCTGGCAGCATACACATGTCATGAGACTGATTGAGAGAAACATACCAGCAATAACCCATTTAGCCCTCCTCGAAATCTCCCTCCTCCAATCCCTCTTCTTCCCCTCCCCTCCCTTCTCACCACCACCAACACCACCATCACCATTACCCAACTTGCCGCCCTCACCACCACCATCCTCCACAAACCCATACCTCTCCCTCAACCTCCCAAAGTCCGTAACAGTAGCATGCAACTCCCTCATAATCCCCTCCGCCAACCCCGCCATCCGCGGATCCCCCGCCTCGCGACTGAACCCGTTCAAATGCGCCTCCAACCGGCCCTCGCCCTCGGCGACGCCCCACCCGCGGCCCCAGACGACGAGGCGCATCTCCTCGATGCGGACTTTGCAGAGCAGCCGCTGCGAGTCGGCGTCGAGGTTGGCGGCGGCGGAGAAGTAGCCGTAGGCTTTGACGCAGCCGTCAAAGAGCTGGCCTAGGAAACCTACTACGCCTATTGCTGTGCCTATTGCTTCGGCCATTGTTGGCGGTGGGGAGCAATGTGACGAGTATTTGGTTTTCTTTGAGTTTTCTCTCGGGGTTCTGCAATACTCTAATAGGGAATGTTTTTCTCCTTTTCCCTTAGGGTTCTGCTTTTTTTTCGTTTGCTCGACGAGCTGATCTTTTCTGACTTTATCTCACGACCATTGGCTGTCTGAAGTAACTTAGTTATCGACTCTCAGAAAGGGGCCTTTCCGAGTTCCTATATGTATTGGTTGTTAAGCCGAATCGTCGTGATATGTTCGAAAACGGTAACGGTCAATGTTGGAGAGATGGAGAGATGGAGAGGAGGGGTTGAAGTGAGGTTACACCGCTTTCTTCAACAATGACATTTAACGTGGAAGATCATCAGAGTCCTCAACTCATGGGAATGAAACGAACAAATGCGAGATAGACGAGCGAGTCCAAGTTTCAGTTATCCCAGAAAAGGCTTAGGAAAAATGAAATTTAAAGTGGTTATGTAATCATATTCGGATAGTTGAAAGGAACAAGTAAGCGACAGGAACAATGATGCCAGTCCTCGATAATCCTGCATACGATTACCAGAGGGGTCGTTGAAGACCTGCATATGATCCACATCAAATCTCACCCAATCGCAAAGAGTCTACCCGACGGTTGTGTTCCCCTCACTCGCGGGACGGATGATAGCCACCTTTGATGCAAGTCACTTCGACCGAGGAGCCAATTCCAGCCCTTTCTTCGTCCTTAGTGCCGGAGCTTGGCGGACCGCCTTCGACTAGGATTAGGGGTCATATTCCACAGCAGGTGAAGTTGCCGCTAACAGACAGTAGCAGACTCGAGATGAAAACGTGTATGAACTTGAATATATCTTCTCCATTTCATAAGCGCGCTGCTTAAACTGTCCTTTTCCCACTATTGAATCCTTTCTGTGTCTACCCATCATATATGCGGCGATGGGATCCCGTAGACCCAACGCCCAAAAAAATGCAACTGCAGTGCGGGAACAAGGTTGCAAGCCTTTTGAATGCCGTTCGTAATGCCAAGAAAGCGACTAGATGATTTCGATCGTCTTTTGTCTTTCTTTTCCCCAAAGGTATGATCAGCCCTTCCGAAACTGGGCTTTATGTTTTCCTCCTCAGGTGTTCTTCTCCTAGTAAACCTTCTTCTTCTCGTCGATGGAGAACTGTCCAGGTCCGGCGTTGACGAGCAGGAGGAGACCACCGACGATAGAGAGGATCTGGAAGAAGTCGTACTTGGCGAAGTCCTTGTGGGGGTGGTGCTCGTGGAGCTGCAAATCATTAGTACACAAAGGTCATGCAGTAAAGAGGACTACTGGAAAAGCTTACAGTCCAGAAGTTGTTCACAAGGATGTTGAAGATGCTAAGAATCAGGACCAGGAGAGTGGCGCTGAACTTGGCCTTGAAGCCAACAACAACCATGACGCAGGCAACGAAGCCAACCAGGGAGGTAATGATGCGCCAGACGGACCAGGAGCCGCTGAAGACGAAGCCGACGAAGAGGAAGATGAGCAGAACACGGCCAGCAAGCTGGAAGTACATCTTGCGGTCCTTCTCGTCAAGCTGGGGCAGACCAGCAAAAGCCTTGGTCTTGCGAACCCACGAATCGGAGAGGACCATGAGGAGACCACCAATGACGGACAGGTTGCGGAGGAAGAAGTTAAGGTCGAAGATCAGGCCGTATCCCAGAGCCTGCGTGACGACGACGCCCATAAGGCCGGCGACTGCGTAGTCGGAGTACTTGCGGATAATGACGAGGGTGGAGCATGCGACCATGGCCAGAACATTGACAATGAGGAATAGGTGGGTGATGCCCGAGGGAACTGTGCAGGGTTAGCATCCAATTCACTGGCGCAGGTGTTGTAGAACCGCGGACGTACTGTGGCGGTAGTCGTGAAGGTACAGGAGCTGGTCGCTCCATTGCGTAATGATTCTGAGAGCATCCTCGAGGAAGGTAACGACGATCAGGAAGCGGCCAATGGCGGGCAGGTAACTATCAAGCAATGTTAGCCGACAGGAGGCTCACGCGATGGCGAGCTATCCGACAGCTCCCTGTCAAGATGCCGAGGGTCCGACTCACGGCTTGAGGGGCTCGCTGAGGGTGTCCAACATGTCCTCAATCTTGCTTGTCTGTTGACGGATCATGTCCAGGGGGCTGGACTCGGAGCTGTCGCCACTGGGGCCGCCAAAGGAGGCCGAGGGGCCACCGGCACCCAAGCCGTAAGAAGGGCCTCTCTGTTGAGCCATCGTGGGAAGCGGGAGATCGACGGAGGGAGTGAGGTCGTAGGAGAGGTGGACGTGGCTGTTGCACAAGAAGGTACAGACAGACCAGCTGTTCGATCTGGCGACTTTATTTCTTTCGAGTCGTCGTTATGGTCGTCGGGAGTGACGGAGTTTTCTGGTGGAGAGCCGGGGGGTCTTGAACCGTGAGGTGAAAAAAAGAGGGTTAACCGTAGTTGAGATCCGAGGGCTGGCCTTGACCTTGATGTTTCGGCAAAGGTAATTGGGGGTGGGAGGGTTTGCGACGAAGGAGAAAGACAGAGAGGTAGAGGAAAGGATTGACGTTGGCGCTCCGGAAGAGGTTGTCGTGGCAGGGCCGTAAACTGTGGAGGGTCTTGGTTTGGTGTGTCGAAAAAGAAGGGGAGCGACTTTTGAGTGTCGAAGGGAACGAAATGGAGTGCTCGGAGGGCAAGCTGGCCTGAATGGCGTGGATGACTTCAGATTTGGTACAATGTGTCCTTTCGAGCCTCCCGCGATGGCTGCTCAGTGCTCAGAGGTCCGAGGTACCCACTTTTTAGACAGGACACCCAGAACACCCAGAACGGGTAGGTCGCTGGGATGTACCTGCACCTCTCCTCGGTACATGGATCTTTGCCGTGGCCACCCGCCCCCGCGCAGGTACTCAAGAGGGGGGGAAGTACCGGCCACACACACCTCACACACAATTGGAACCATAAGGTGGTTAGCACACCCGACACCTCGCTTGTCTCCGTCTCCAGCGGCACCAGCAGTAAACCTCCACTGTATTTGCACCTTATTAACAGCCACCTCACCTTCAAGCTTCAATGTGCCCGCCCACGAGTTTACGGTTCGAGGTACGTATCCGCAGGCGGTGGACTGCAACCATCCGTTTGAGCCACTGAGATCTTGCCGCTTGCCCCTTCTAAACTCCTGCGTGTGGGCGTTTGGCCCCTGCGCGGCTTTTGTCCCTGGATTCGGCACGAACGCCTAATTCTTTTTTTTGTTTTTCCCTCTTTTCTCAGAGTACCCGGCAAGCCTGGGTAGCTCCAGCTTCAACCCGCTTTTGGCCTCCGTGTGTTTTACATTGGTTGCGAACGTGGACTCCGTTCATGGTGAATACGAACCACAAGAAAACCCTACCTTCAGTTGCCGCAGAGGGTGGCTAGCTATCTGAGCTACATTAAAGTCTGAGGAGCTCTTTTCAAGTGAGCGAATTGGACGTGGTGAGTTGTCAACTTTCACCTTGCTTGAAGCTCTAAGCTTCTTCTGTCTGATTGGCAGGCCCTCCCTTGCCTCACTTGCAACCTTCCTTTACTGGTTGGCGGCTTCTTGCGGGGAGCTGGGCTGTTATCAACGGACACAACTCAAGGGAGGTGCATTTTTCACTCGTTGCCCTCTTCATGTTCGCGCCAGTGTCTATATCCTCGTGAACATTCGAACGGCAATCGAGTCGGAGGTTCGTCGGATCTTTCGGTTAGAAGAGGGCGCGCTTCATAATGGCATAGTGAAGCGAGTCATTCGAGCATGAATCTTAACCCACGCCCGGGCTTCGTTCCTCACCAGAACACATGACTTGATCATTTCATAAGTGAGAGATGACGGGCAGAAGATAATGCGAGGTATTTACTCACGTGTCGAGGTGTTCTAAGAGGGAGGGGAACCAAATGACGCGGGATATCATTCAGCTCACTCATCTCTGGCGAGCGAGTGCCATTTGCAAAAGCTTGCTAAATTTGAATGAAAGTCCAAATCACAAGATCCTCCAGCAAACCTCAACCTCTCTCATTCACCGCCGGCTTTCTCCCCCAAACAGAATACCTGTAATCTCGGTCAGTGATTTACCACGCAGCTTCAGAACTGTCAAACCCACACTGAAAAGTAGGCATGAATATTCCGATCATTAATATCCTTCCGTACATCGACAAGGAACACGAGAACCGCCTCCCTCGACCACCCGTGGATCCGCGTAAACGGCGCCATAATGAAGCTCTCCATGCCGGCCGTCAGGTTCTCATTTTGCCAGACGCCAAGCTCCTTGTACTTGTGGTGCCGCGGCCAGGAGTTGGTCGGCCACTTGTACCTCTCCAAGACGACGTCACGGAACCCGATCTCGACCATTATGTCCTTGAGCTCCGGTATGTCCTGGTACGGACGGCCCAGCTTCCCCATTGCTTCACCCAGGAGTTTCAGGGATTGGGTGAAGGCGTGATCATCGGTAAGGGTCCCGTTATCTGAGGTCGGGATCAGGTCCATCTCGTTCAGCTCGAGGTAGCCGCCAGGTGCGAGATTGCTGGAGATGTTAGTTGACATACATCCCCTGTGATGACCCTCTTGGATTGGTTGATGTCGGCTTACTCGTAACAATTTTGCAGGTATTTCCTCCAGTCTGCGAGGCTTGATGTCATCAGGCGGCTATGGATATAGTCAAACGGTCTCGAAAAGGTCCATGGCCCTTCGATATCGTCAATCTCGAACTTCACATTCGGAGGTACGCTGAGATAGTCAGTCTCACAGTCTCAATGCCGTATAACAACATGAGGTAAGTAAAGGGAGTGCTCACAACTCCGGCTGGGCAGCTGAAAGATCAATGCCAAGGACCTACAATGGGTCAGTCGCTGTTTTTCTTCGGGACGCTGAAGACTGACTTCAGCTTCGGGATGCTCATCGCCGAACTCGATAGCCCATAACCCGGTTCCCGTACCGACATCCAAAACTCGATTCACCGAAAAATCTGGGTCATTTGGCGGTGCGGTTCCCAGACGGTTGTCAAAGGTAAGGAGCCATAAGTTGTGCTGCAAGTCTACTTGCGTGAGAGGTGTCTCTGGAGGCTTCGCAGTGAAGAACACTCACCTAGTCCATCGTTTTCCCTCTCATCGTTGGGGTAGCTATATTCTACGTCTGTCAGTAGCTCGAACATCATACGGAGCCTCGATGGTGTAAAAATTCTTACTTCCATCTTTGTACCGATGATAGGTCCTGCCGTTCTCCTTTCTATAGTCGAGGATAGAGGCGCTTACACTCGTCGTTGACGACGCAGTACCCTACGTAGTCTTTTATTAGCTGGCCCGGCTGGATTTAATAACGAAGGTAGTGCCGAATATTCGTACTCCGTAAGCTGAGTGGCATCGTCAACCGTCTACGAGTTCTTATATCAGTATACGCTCTGAACAACAACAGAGTCCGGTCATATTACCTCCTCCTCAGCGAGCACCGCCTCGTTCTCGGCGTTGTCATGAGGCGACTGAGGCTGGGCAGGACTCGATGACGCAGCACTCCTTCTAGGTGAAGGCATGACAACGATTCTGTGAAGGTTTCAGGTTTGCTTTCCGCTCACTCAGGCGGTCTTCATGCCCCAAGAATAAAGTTTCATCTATTTAGTAAATGCAATTAACAAAAAACAGAAAGATTTCGTTTCTTCTACTACCCCTCTTTATTTCACCTTATGACTATTCGTATCAATGCGACAGCAAGAAGTCGGTGACCAACAAGTCGTAAGCGACAGCGAATTCTTGCCCCCGGATGCCACTGTCGCAGCGTCCGAGTCCATGACTCGAGACCCTGTCCTTGGGCGTTCCTACCAATCCGCGCGAGGAACGATACGAACGAAGGGGGTTTCCTTCAGACGGATCAGCGAAAATAGACAGATGCTGGTGCTAGATTTACGACCAACTGCCGGTGTACCTCACATGTCTGCGTGTTCTAGAAGAGAAAATGCGACCGGATTGGACATCAGTCGATGGGGGGAAGACATTACTATATTCTTAAGATTGCCCGGATATGGAAATGATATTCAATTGGAGGAGTAGAAGAGTAAGGCTATTTATTGCTAGATATCGGAAGCTGTGCCTCAAGAAACCCTGACTCTTGGAGCCACTCCGGCCCCCGACGTTATAGTGGATCTCTACCGAGAGACATCCGTTCCGGAGCGACGTCTTTCGGGATGTCTGGATCTAACCTTGAAGCTCATCGGCATGCACAATACCGTCCTCGCGGCGCGCTCCACCGACCTTGCCATGCGTGACGCTCCACATGAGCCTGTAGCTATGGAACTTGGACGGTTGAGTCGTGTCCTCTGGATGGTGGCCCTTGCCTGCGTGAACCACGACCTTGAGACTCGGGAGGGTCTCCACTGGGATAACTTCACCAGGCACCTGTCCCGAAATTTGGTCAGCAACGAGACAAGACTTACAGTGTTTCGTGGGATAGCAGGACTTACAGCAACAACAACCCATTTCAGATGTTGCTCGAGATACTTCTCAACATGGTCTGGTTCAAGGGATGTCAGGTCTGACCACGCGTTGTTGCGGCTCACGGCGCGGAACAACAGCTCCAAGGTGATGGGAACCTGCGCCTTGGCCTTGACTCCCTTCTTCTGCTGGTTCTGGCAGTTCTGGCAGTCCACCCCATTGGTGTTGCCAGCAGTCCAGTAATCGGTCGAGAAGGTGTGGATGCTACCAATGTGGCTGGGTGATGCCCTGTATTGGGAAGGCTCGCTGGGGATATCTCCTTTGACGAAGAAGTGTACCGCGTAGCTTCGTCCATTCAGGGCGAACCTTGACAAAGAGCACTTAGCAAATGCTCACCCACGAGGAAGGGCTCAACAGCTTACCGGTCATACTGAATGTTGATCAGATAGTCATTCGCCTTTCCGCCCAGGTCAGGGTTCGCTCCGAGTTGCTTCCGAAGACTGCCGTATTTCTCGTTGATGGCCTTTTGCAAATCGGCAATGGGCTTTTGAAGATCGTCGTACGTATAACCATAGCTCGTGATGTCCTTCACCATGTTTGAAGTAACGGAAGTGCCGTTCGTATCAGAGTGGAATGGGTGCAGAGGACCGTCTGCTGTTTCATCAAGTGTCGGAGACCCTCCATCCAACCAATGTTCTGGATGAAAGATCTGGAAGATTGCCAGGTGTCGGTCGATATTGCAATGATGGAGCCAGAAGATGGGATCAAACGCAGCGACCGTGAGGTCAGCCATGTGGCCCAGACCGGTATTGACGTCTGCTCCACCAGTGAAGATGTGGATGGCATTATGGATGAACTCTAGAGACAACCAACCGGTAGCAGTCGGTGGTTTGAGGTCATCGTTACCGTATTCCGTTGTAGCGAAGGTGGCATAGTTCGGGAAGGTTTCCTTAGTCAAGAGGCGATAAACCTGATCCTGTAGAGAGCCTATCATCTTAGGATCGAGGTTTACAGCTTGTGAAAGTTTCTCCACCTTGATCCAATCGGGTATTTCGAGGGCATTAGCAACAAGGCCGTTGCTCTCAATGCCCAAAGCTTCGTCGGGTGCTGGATTGCCGTTTGTTTTGATTCCATAACGGCTGGTTCCAGAGCAGCCAGAGAACTATGTAGATGGAGTCAGTTGATCCTTCAACCATGAGTTCGAGTCTAGTAAAGTATTTAATGACTTACCGGATCATCCCCCTGAATTGCCCAGATTCCAAATGCTGGATCGCCCATTGCAATCGGTGTCCCCTTGAATTTGCTGATTGCTGCAGTTGTGAACTTATACAAGGGATTTTGTACCGTCTGCAGAGGACTCTCGGTGCCAACGATCGTGATTTCGGGCTGGGACACGATCTCGGGCACTCCACATGTTCCCAGGTATTCCTGAGGCGCAGCCCAGTCCCAGTAAGGCAGTCGCCATTGCTGGACCTCGAAGGCCCACGCATCTCGCAGGACGCTGTCCGCAATGTTCGGCAGGATTTGATCTGTCATGATCCCGACGAGCAACTGCTCGAAAAGAGCAAGGTATGCCCGATGCCAGATGGGAAAAGTGAGTGCTCCGTGAGGGCAGTAGAATTGCGGAGTAGAGTTAATGGGGAACGGATTGTCCTTGTTGGGAGCAGCGTCGGTATCCCATGACTGAGCTGGCAGACCGTGAATTCCAGCGACCTGATAATAGGACAACTTATCGGATGGATCCATGGACTGAAAGAATTGCAAAGCCCGGATGAAAAGCGACACTTTAATAGCGTTCTTAGGGTTGTTGCGCCAGGCCGTGATCTCCTCTCGCTGGGGGATTTGCTGGCCCGACTAGTCGGCACAGGGAGACCGGTGATGGCGTACGTTCCGGATGTCATGATGGTCGAAATTGGGTTAAAAGTTGTCTTGAAGTTATGATTTGAAGGCGGAACTCGAAGAAAAAGATGAGGATGTGGAGGTCCAATGCCCAAGACGTATAACACCGGATAAGAAAGGCATATGTATACCCTCGCCCTGAACTCAAGTCCTGCTCGAGCATCAACGTTTCTTGTTACCACTCACGATGTTACATTCGTCACCTGAGATAGTCCTCTTCTGCTGAGGTACAATCATCGTCAACTCACCGCTCCCATGTGCTAACATGAGAGACACACGTCGACGACTCAAACGTATGACATCTGTGCCCTTTTTATGGCAAATGTGATAAGAAAAGAATAGTGAGATCTTCGTAGTAATGTATCTGATAGGAGTTGATCGCCAGTCAAGTTCACGGCTGAAGTGATGAGGAACGAGTCTCGCCGGCTTTGGAAGAGTCAGGGTGCCTAGACGATGTGGCCTCGCATAGGCGTCGTGAAATGAGAAATGAGTGGCGGTCAGTATCCACTCCTTGACCCTGCTCTCGGCTATTGGAGACTGGGAATCTACTGACAATAAACAGCCTTTGCCTCCTCAATCTGCCTCCCTGCCTCATTGATATTCTCTATCTCGGATGGGTTGTGTGTTCTGGCCGTGCACAGGCGAACGAAGGGATTCAGGACTTGATTGAGAGTGAGTGAGTTCAACACGATAAAGTGAATTTTGCAAGCTTGCCACAGGAAGGAAGTGTGTATCAACACACTAAAGGAGTTTTTAATCCCACTTGCCGATACTTCCAATTGCCGGCCGGAAAGGTGAAGGGGACGACGGGCTAACGTAGATGCAGGTCCTTTGCTGCCAGAGAAGTGAGACGGGTCTCACTTTCAGCTCAGCCACGCGTGGAAGAAACGTGCGATGTCCAAGAAAATAAGGGTAATTCCAACATATGGAAGATCAAGATAACAAGCAGCTATCCCTCAAGCTCGAAGCTCTATTGGGATACGGGGCGGGCCGCTCTGTCGCATGCGTTGCGTTGCGGCGGGGTACCGGCAGCGGCTGAAGCAAGCCAAGCATTGATGGCGCGCAGACCGCCTCTCTAAATGAGGCCTAATTGGTGGTAGACAGCATCGACGACTGTATCGTGAGAGTCTTGAGCGTTCATAGTTTCAGCCGTTGGCTGTTTGGGCTGAGATGTTCACTGAATGCATGTAGACTGTTGATCGTACTCCACGATATGTCGTTTTTTTATAGCGTTCTTTTGGTTGTGATGAGATCAAGTCCAAAATTTTAGGCGAAAGCCATGGATTTGCGTTGAGGAGATTGCTCCCCCATGAATCAAGCAGATCCATAGCTTGAATCTAGTCATGATATATTGACAGCCTACTGTCCAGTTTTTGGTGCAGAGTCTTTGACGGCGCGTCATACCTGGCAACGTGAAGTGGGGCGTTCATAAGGTAGGATAAAGCTCTGACAGGAATACTTACAATGGGAACGAGCTTCCCTAGCCTATAACAATCTCCCAACCGGCTGGTGTTGCTGGCGCAGAGTAATGGAATTCATAATTTGCTCTGAGACCCAGCAATGAGAATGACCACGATCAGTGACATTAGACTTCAGACCTCCCGCGTATGTGGTCTTTCTCTGCCCTAAGATGGCTCTCTTCGTGTCCTTAGTACTCTGTGACTTTCGGAGTATTCTATCTTGTAGATGAGAAAAGTAGGTAGGCAAGGAAAAAAGAGGTGGTGGTATTGTATTACTCAAGGCATTTATCGACCTTTAGCCCTCTTCTGCACTGTACTCATTCCGGATTTTACAATGGGGCTACAAGTTCCCTCCTAGAGCGAAATCAGCAAGGTTGACAAACATGACGCGTTTGACCTTGACATACCTCCAGTAAGCCTCTATTTATTCTTGATCTTACTACATAACTGCAATAAGGACTTAAAACTCTTGCAATATCGTGCCAATCTTATGCTTGGCCGCCAGCTCGAGAATGACCTTGCCCAGAGACAAGTCCATGATACCAATACCGACACTCTTATACACAATCAACCCCTTCTCAAGCCACTCCCTCAGCACCCCCGCCTCACCCTCATCCGCCTTGCGGAGCGTATCAGTAAACTCTCCGACCTCGATAATCTTCTCAGCGGGGACCTTGGCCTCCACCAGCTCGCCGGCCTCCAAGAAACAGGCCTCGCGGCTGTCCACAAAGATGACGCCGTCCTTCTTGGCCTCGCCATCCGCAGAAGTAAAAGTTCCGAGGGGTGTGTCGATGACGGCACGCAGAAAGTCAGGGTCAAGCTCCTTCATATTGAGCTTGTATGACCCAATGGCCGAGATATACCGGGTCTTGGCCGAGCCGCGTTCCGAGGTCAACCACTCGGCCGGGAATATGCGTTGTGTGGACGGCGTAGTGCAGAAGATCACGTCGCTCTCCTCGACAGCGGTGCGCAGCTCGGAGTTGCCTGGCGCGCTGTCTGGCGTGGCCTCGATTACAGTGAAAGTGACTGAGTCGGTGTTGCCCACGCCGCTGGCCTTGCTCATGGCCTGGAGCCGTTCAATGAGCTTCGCCGGGCGCTCCTTTGAGCGGTTCACGATGGTGATGGTCTTAATGTCCTTGCCGCGGAGGACGAGAGCGAGTCGGAGATGCCACTGCGCCTGCTTTCCTGCGCCAAAGACGACGATATTGGCCGTCGCCTTGCGGTACCTGTACAGCAAAATAGAGCCGAGCGAGGTCCGGAACGCCGTCAGCTCCTCGGCATTGATGATTCCCACGGCCTTGCCGGTGCCGTCGCAGATTGTGAGGACGCATCGGAGGTCAGATACCGCGGAGTTCGGCGGTGGGAGACCCACGACCTTGACTGACATGCCGCCTTCCATCGTGGCCGGCATGAAGAGGCCGGTGGTGCCGTCGGGCCTGACGACGGCGGCGCGGTGGGGCTGATACTGCGCTTCGGCGCCGACGGAGTAGGAGAGGAAGGCGTCGGTGAGGACGTCTGACATGAGGGCTACGTCTTCCGGGCCGAAGCCCTGGAAGAGTTGCTTCACGTTGTTGTCTGACAAGACTGTGAAGGCCATGGTGATTAGAGATTCGTCGCTATCAATGAGTGGTAAAGTTCAATGTTAGAGATTTGAGATATATGCCGATTCGTCTTCCTGTATGAAAGAAAGAAACAAAAAGTCTTGTTTGAAGTGGTACGAGTTTCGGTGCGCACGGAAGTAAGCCGGTGACGGTCCGATAGTTTTGTACTGTGGGGATCCCGATCGGTCCCCTGTCCCCGTGGCCCGATCTCGGACGCCTCGCCTCGGCGTGGCCTCCCTTCGGGATGACCTGTCGGTTCGAATGGATGAGCCGTTTCTGCCCGTCATTCGCAGCATCGTATTTCAATGCGAAAAATCCGCGAAAATAAACCTCATCGGACAAACCTTCCGACATATTCGCTCCCTCATCTTTGCATCTCGAGAATAGTCATCTAGGCGATTCTGGTGTCTTGCTGTTAGGCTCTCAGTCATGCAGGCTTCCTAATTAGGCAAAAGCCACAGAAGTGCACCTGAATAATACAGCGCCACCAGTTACACAGTAACGGTTTTGATCGGGACGTCTTTTGCGTAACAGAAGTGGGAGACGCCAAGCCTATAAAATAAGTCGAGCGCTTCGCAGAAGAGCGGCAGACACATCGCGATATGTAGGACATCGTCATAGTCAGGCCATGTTATATCTCATCAAATCAAGCTGGCTTCAAGCCGCACTTGCGTCGCCGTGCCGGCAGGTGGGGGTATGATTCGGAGCCGACTTGCGCCAGGGCCGATGCGAGATGGGCGATCATCGGTCTAGGTAAGGTAGGCTGACACTGTCATCTTGCATCGTGTCGGTTATCGTAGACCCCCTCGCTCGCACGTCACTTGCGAATTCCTGCCCAAAAGAAGAAAGAAAGAGCCCTTCGGCAAGATAGTGCCTGGTTGTGTGTGAGAACTTCAGCATGCTGACTGCGTTTATGCCGGCAGCCGTCAAGTAGTATTGTGAAGCGCTGGCTTCGCCATTGAAGCCACCTGGTATTTTGGTACTCTATCGAATAGGTCAGGCGTCCTCCATGATTAACGTGAGGTAGACATTTACCGCGAATTCGGTGTCGTTCGCTTCAGCTGCTTACATTTCTCGTCGCCGTACCACATTGTGACTTCGGGTCAGGAATGGTTCTTCGGCGTCAAGTACCTTATGTTGAACAGGGCAGAACTTCATACAAGAGCACTGAACACTGATGTGAGTAGTTCGGCCGACTTTGAGAGTTCCGTGGCAGATGAAACGAATCTACCGGTGTTGAGCCCAATGATCGGGCCACTCACTGCCCATCCAACTCTCCCACACCCTCACGTCCCTAGGCGAGGGGGAACAATACGCGACCACCCACCATCGCGCAAAGTGTCAGCAATGGTCGTCTTTGCCTAATATTCCGCCGATAGCACGGAGTTATAGCTGCCCTCCACCGGTTCGGATGAAATAAAAATGTCAGCAGATCAGCGTTCGTCACATCCGCCGTCCGCCATCCGATGACATCTGACTGTACAATCACACCGGAGAAGGCATCAGAAGCCGGCGCCGTAACAGTAAACAAAAAGCAGCCGTGCCCTCGCCGTCGTCCGGCGGCGCAGCAAAAAGAAACGACGGAGTTCCAGAGACCAGAGGACTCGGAAAAGTCGGGGGACCGCGAGGTCTTCGGCAGGTTTTTGGCCCCCAACCCCGCCAAAATCTCCAAAGAGAATACCCGCCTCTTGTGTCACGGTGCCATGTTTTGCAAGTTCATCCCCGCCCGTTGCGGACTTGAGGCGGGCCAAGACGCGGACAATAGACAAAGAGCGAAAACGGGCGAGTAGCAGGGATACCGCTTCTCGGGGTCCGGGACAACACCATATGCCCGCTCATCTGCCCGTTCGAACCAGAGAGCATCGACGTGCATAGGCGGGACTGCGCGTGGTGTAGCTTCTGAGACAATCTCTGCACTCTTGGAACAACGGAAACGCCACTGTGGTGCAACGTCCAAGGTCGAAGCACGGCAACGTCGTGCGTATCCGTACCGCTGTGTGTCAAGAGAGAGAAAAAAAACCCTGTCAGTGCTTCAAAAAGTTCTTGGATAGTTGAACTAACATCTTAGACTGACTTCATACCCATTACCCCGGCAAACGCTGCCGGTCCAGACCCCCGTGCCAAGATGAACCCGGTGGCCCACAGTCCATATACTCCAGTAACTCAACTTGAGCCCCAGTGCCCCAGAATTCTCAGTGTCATAGAGTTTACGAGTCTCGGAGCCGAACTGCCTTCTCCAGAAGGAGACGACTTGTCATGACACTCATCGTAAAATCATGGGGGCAACACGATGCGGGGAGGATCAGGCATACCCGTACCTCACCCGCCCCTCCCTGCAACACGTCGAATGCCGACAGGTTTCCGGGCGGGAACGACATGGCGCTCCAAGCCTCAAGCCTCTACGACTCCTCCTCTTCAAGAGAGCGGACGAATAGCAAGTTCCGACGAGTAATGTTGGCTTCCTAGTGGTAGATTGTAGATGGGCCTAGTCGATCACCCATGCCGGGGAACTATGACGCGCGTCGGGCCGTAGTCGCTGGCGCTGATATTAGCCTGCCTCGCATTCGTGTGAGTGTGTAGCGAAGCTGGTCCTCTCTCGTACTGACAGACGCGGAGGTTGTCCATTCATCATTGTCCATCGTGCGTCTCGTTGCATTTATGCAAGACGGTGTCTTGACGGCTCCGCGTGGGGAGGGGAAAGGGAAAAAGAAAGGACCTGCGCCTTGTTTGGAGTTTTGCCTGCCGATGGCCTGGCCTGCGGGTACCATGCGTTGCCAATGACCGGTGAGTGTGTAGCGAAGCTGGTCCTCTCTCGTACTGACAGACGCGGAGGTTGTCCATTCATCATTGTCCATCGTGCGTCTCGTTGCATTTATGCAAGACGGTGTCTTGACGGCTCCGCGTGGGGAGGGGAAAGGGAAAAAGAAAGGACCTGCGCCTTGTTTGGAGTTTTGCCTGCCGATGGCCTGGCCTGCGGGTACCATGCGTTGCCAATGACCGGTGAGTGTATAGTAAACATTGTGACGTTGTAATCTGTAGGGATCTGAGGGCTATACTGTCATGTCGGACTCCTATACTTGAAGTTTATGTCGACGAAGACGGCCCGAGTGGCATATAAGAATTCTCCAGTGCCCTCCATGTCTGAGACTCTGATAAGACTCCATCACCACACTCGACTCCTCTTCTCTCAGAAACCATACAAAGTTTCAGTGCCAGGAACTGGGTCATTCTCAACTGTTCACATGCCGACTTATCTTTTCCTCTAAACCCTCAACCCAAAAACAAAACAACCAAGATGTTGTCAGGAATACAGACCGGGAGCACAAGGCTCTCGCCTCTTATTCTATGGCCTCTGGTAGCAATTTCAATGGTAAGTCGTCATCTCCTCAAGCATACGAGTCTCATGATCCGTTCTCTCCCACATCCGTATAGTTGAAGGAGTTCCTAAAACCCCTCTAGGTCGTCATTGGCCTCCTCCTTCAAATCATCTACAATGTAGCATTCCACCCTCTCTGCAAGTACCCAGGCCCCAAGCTATGGGCCGCCACTCGCATCCCCTACGCCTTGGTGGGCGCCCGCGGCCAAACGCACAAGGAAATCCTCGCCCTTCACCAATACTACGACGCCGAAATCATCCGCGTCTCGCCTAATGAGCTCTCCTTCCAGCACCCGGACGCCATGAAGGAGATCATGGGTCACCGCAAGGGCAAGGCCGAGGAGAACGCCAAAGACCCGGACTTTATCGACAAGAACCACATGGATATCCTCTCGGCCAACCGTGAGGACCACTCCCGCTACCGCCGCATCCTGTCCAACGGCTTCTCCGCCAAGAGCATGCAGGAGCAGCAGCCCATCATCAAGAGCTACATTGACCTTCTCATCGAGCAGCTCCACGGCATCTGCAGCAAGGGCCCTGTTGACGTCGTTGCGTGGTACAACTACACCACCTTTGACATTATTGGCGACCTCGCTTTTGGACAGTCCTTTGGGTGCCTCGACAAGTCTGACTACCACCCCTGGGTCAAGGTGATCTTCCAGAACATCAAAATGATTTGCATAGTCAACATTACCAGAAGCTTCAAGGTCCTTGAACCTGTCCTCAAAGCCTTCATCCCCAAGGAAGTCATGAAGAAGGGCATGTCTCACAGGCTGTTCGTTCGTGAAAAGGTTGATCAGAGAATATCTCTCGGCACGCCGCGACCTGACTTTGCGGAAACCATGCTCAAGAAGGGAGCTCAGGTAAGAAACCGTCCTATACTTGTCTACTCTACGGCCACACCCACTATATGAGGCAGAACCCCCTGTCTTGACGAATTCTCGAATACTGACAAGGCGTCCACAGCCAATGAACCTGCCGGAAATGTACGAAAACGCAAACGTCCTCATCGTCGCCGGATCCGAGACAACTGCGACAGCCCTCTCAGGCTGCACCTACCTCCTCCTGACCAACCCGGACAAGCTGGCCAAACTCCAGAAAGAGATCAGGACCTCGTTCCAGAACGAGGATGAGATTGATCTCCTCAGCACCGCCAAGCTCGAGTACCTCCACGCCGTCCTCGAAGAGACCCTGCGATCGTACCCTCCCGTCCCCGTCGCTCTGCCGCGTATCACGCCGCCTGCCGGACAAGAGATTCTCGGGCAATGGATCCCTGGAAACGTGCGATCTCATCCCCCACTTCCCATATTTTCACCTTCGCTAACGTAATAACCTTCAGACCACAATCGGCGTCGCCCACTGGGCCCTCTACCACAACGACAAGATCTTCTCCAAGCCCTTCGAGTTCCACCCGGAGCGCTGGCTCGGCGACCCGGCCTTCGCCGACGACCACCTCGAAGCCCTCAAGCCCTTCCACACCGGGCCCCGTAACTGCCTGGGCATGAACCTCGCCTACGCCGAGATGACGATGATCCTCGCCAAGGTTATCTGGAACTTTGATCTGCAGCTGGCCGCGCAGAGTCAGGGCTGGATCGACCACGACGTCTACATCTTCTACAACAAGCCGCCATTGATGGTGCACCTTACGCCGGCGGTTAAGGCTTCGGAGTAAGTTTGGCGGAGGGAGATTATTGGCAAGAGCGCGGTTTTATGTTGAGAATTTGAGAAGCCTTCATTTCTTTTTAACTAAGTTTGTGATGGGTCATGGCATCGTTTTTGCTTCATGGGTAATTCTTGGATCGAATCATCGGATATAGATCGACACAAATACACTACTACCAGCATGTCCAAGTCATATTTTGCATGTTGCAGGTGACCGAAGCATCTTAAGGACCTGTCATTGTGCCTGCGTTTGTTTCTCTCCAGTTAGTCAAAGCATGAAAGAGGCGGGTCAATGACTTATAGGTCACAAAAAGTGTCCTATGGCCCTTCAAGAGAGTGAGGAGCCCGAGCTATAGACTCGGTGCTTTGTCAAGGCAAACATTCGTCTGGCCCAGAGCGAACATGAAGGGGAGTCACGGCCTGTGGGAGAAAATGTCATTATCTCTAAGACTCTCGGACAGAGGTACCGGAGTCTTAGCCTATTAAATGATGCTCTAGATCGGGACTACTAGCGGCGCAGCCGCATTGTGACAGATACCACCCTTCTCGAATGCGACGTTCGGGACAAGGTTTTGATCCTGGTGGTGCTGACTGAAGGGAGAGAGCCTCTTGTGTACCTTAGTGCAGTGCGTCCGTGTAGCCGCACACAACCCTCTCTATCAAGCGTAAGCAGTCTTCGTTGACGTATTCGTTTACGAATCACATGAGCAAGATACGTGGATATTAAAGATAGGTACACTATTTATTGAAAACTATTAGAGCTATATTTTCAAACAAGATGTATTCCTTTTAGTCTTTTTATTGAGTAAAGACAGTCGTTATTTAAGTAGTCGTAAATAAATATCCTTAATATAAAAAGCCATAAAAGATATGGTTCTAGCTATCGAACATCAAATAGAAGTCATCTTACTCTGAGAGAATTCAACATCAGATATGGATTCACTTAGTGAACTTCATGTGTCTAGTTCAGACGTAAGTGTTAAATCAAAAGTAATACAAACACAGCTATGTCGTTGACACCGGAAGGCAAGGCATGGTTGATACTCGCATACTCACAGACACACATCACTAGTAGTAGAAAAGCAAAGCCAGGTTCGGACTTGGTGAGTGACGGAGGGAAGTGAGGGGGGTATCTTTCATAAGATTCATCGACTCGTCAAAAAAAAAAACAGCCCAAAACAAGACCGAACACTATTAGCTACTACTACTTCATTTCCACAATCTTGACCGAAACCTTCTTATCCGGCTTGGTCCCATCCTTGCGCTTCTTGCCAACATTCGCCAACCGGCCCATGACGTCCGCGGGGTCGATGCCAACTGCCGCGCCGGGGGCTACGTGGACGGTCAGATCAATGCTCGCCCTCTTCTTCTCGGGGTCCGACGTCTGCGTAGCTTCGAATCTGTGTGGTTTCTGTCAGTATTGCTTCCACGAATGAGCCGGTTGCTCTCGACATCTCCTAGATTCGAATCACTCAGAGAGACCGAAAAGCACATACCTCAAAGTCGACTTGAGCTCTTCGACACTAGTAGGCCACGCCGGCGCGAGATCAACCATGACAGCCGCCACGGCGCCAAGATACTCTGCCCAAAACACGCTCTCCAGCTTCGCCTCCGCGACGAGACCCCTCAGGTTCCCGTACAGCTGCGCATCAATCGGGCCCAAGTTCGACCCCCACCTCGCGCACACCGTCAGACCCAACACCGCTCTCGCAAGGTGCGTCAGCCCAGGCGCGCTGGGATCCCGCGTAACAGCCTCATGCAACGCATACGAGGCGTTCGCATCGTCGTCCTCGCCCTGGTGAATCCAAACCTGCCTCGCAAAAAGCGGTCCCAGACCCAGCGAGAACACCGTCGGCGTCCGCGAGACGTCCACATTCTTCGGCACGGCGCCGTACAGCGTCCGCAGAATCGCCTGCGCGACAGCCAAGTCCCCGCCGCTTCCTGCGCCCCCGCTCTCCTCGTGACCCTGGATGGGAAAGCCGGCGAGCGCCTCGAGCGGGTTACTCTCCCGCACGCTCTTGGGCAGCTTCATTAGCAGCGCGCCGTCGCGGTTGGAGCCGCCGCAGAAGGTGACGGTGCGCAGGTGCGGGACGGTGCGGATAAAGGCCTCGACGACCTCGATGATGGCGGGGAATTGCTGCCGCCTGCGCTTCGACATTCCGTAGATCTTACCCTCGTGTTCGCGGTTGACGCGCCGCATCTTGTCCGTCTGCTTGAAGAAGTCGCCCGTCACGGTGTAGGTGCCCACCGAGGGGATCGGGTACGGCTGGATCGGGTCGTTGTGCTGGAGCATGCAGCCGTAGCCGCGGAAACCACCGCCGCAGAGGTAGGCGTCGATGCCGCCGGGTACCACGGTGCTGCCGTTCGTGGTGGTGGCTGAGGAGGAGTGGGCGGCCTCGTGGTCCGCCTTTGCCTGCGCGAGCGCGGGGAACTTGGCGCACAGCTTCGCAAAGGCGCCCTGCATGCTTGCGTTAAGCTTCTCCTTCTCCTGCGTGCGAACTTCCTCCGACTGCCCCTCGAGGATGCGAATGAGCCTTGCGGCGCCAAACGGCATGCTCTCGCCCGCCTTGGCGGCGGCGACCTCGTAGTCCGGCAGCCGGGTGTCGACCCAGGTCATCTGCACGGAGCCCCCGCCGAGGTCAAGGAATAGCCCGCCGCGCGCGACGTCAACGAAGGCAGATCGCGAGCCCATGACGGCGCCAAAGAGGGTCTCGACCTCGGGGGCGAGAACGTGGACGCCAATGTCGGCGGCCTCGCGGATGGCGGTCAGCATGTCGCGGGCGTTTGCGGCGCGGCGCATGGCTTCTGTGGCGAGGACGGAGAAGTGGGCGGGCGGGACGCCATAGGAGACGGCGATGCGGCGGAAGCGGGCTAGGGTCTTTGCGACTTGGGTGATTGTCTCGGGAGGGAAGGTGAGGGGTTCGGAGGTGGCGGTGGAGGCGGAGTTGAGGGCATCGAAGAGGGAGATGCCGGCGCGTTCGCGGTAGATGGGCCGGAGGAGGCGGGTTTGGGGCGGGGTGAGGTCCGAGATGGAGAAGCGGATGCCGTTGCTGTTTGGTGGGGCCGGGGGCTCGGGTCAGTATTTGGGACCGGTCTATTGTTCTTTTAAAGGTGCATTATGTTTAGGGGGGGGGGGGGGGGGGGGGGGGAGACGGCGGGAACTAAAGACATGGTCCGGCTGGCGTTGTCCGCCGTCACGGTGCCGAGTAGAAAGAGAAGTGTACTCTTTGAGGATTGAGGCTCAAAAGCATAGGCGTAGACAGACAGGCAGACAGGCTTTCCCCAGGTTTAGCCTCTCGGCGAGGCAATCCTGGAGGGCAATCCGGACAAAAAAGCAGAAAAAGAAATTCTTGACGTGAACGAGTTTGTACGGATAGATGCACCGAAGACGGAGAAAAAAAGCTTAGGTACTGACCTGCCCATATCAACAATCGCATATAGGTGATTGGAGCCTGCGGGGTCCCATCTTGACAGCAGCTCCTCAAAGTTGTCAAGCGTGATGATGTCAGCGTTGGTAGCCATGGCGACAGCGGGAGGCGCGAAGCCGAAGTTTCTGGTCGGAGGGGAGGGGGGAGCTGGGGCCGAAAAAAGGGTAGAGGTAGGTGAGGTAAGGTAGTGAGAGAAAAGAGAGCGGATGGTTGGGTGGTATCTCGTGCTCAAAGTAGGCGCTGTGCAGAGGGATTTCCGCGGATGTCGGCAACCGACATTTGCCTCGTTACTTTTTTCTCTCGGTACGAAACGTGCGTGTGTGTGTCTGTATCTGAAAGGATTCGTTTCGCTCTTTTTTCTTTGGTTTCCTGTCTGTGGGGGTGGGAGAGAAGTGCCGGGGCAGGATGGATTATATACGCAAAAAGTACCAAAAGACGGGAACGGCTGGCTGAGTGACGGAAGGCGAGACACGGAGAGACAGAGAAGAGAGATGGAAGTGGTTCAGTGTATCCGTAGGTTCGTGGCCTGCTGGAATTCGGGGAGAGTGAGTTGAGGTGCGAGTGAGTGAGTGAGTAATAAGAGTGAGGATGAGAGTGAGAGAGAGGACGGGAAGAGGAGAGAGAGAGGCGCATGTGAGGGGGGAACGTCGACGGGGAAGGCAGCGATGGATGTGTACTTTACGAAAACGGAGCGTGTTGCACGTGTGGATTTTATTGCCATGGGCAGCGGCACATTTCTCTCACTTCCCGTCTCTTGTTCAGTGAGGTGAGTGGCATTCGTTTGGAATTTGGAGCCCCGGAAACCTGGAAAACCTCAGCTGCGAGTCTGACCAAAAGATGCAGCCCGTGTCTCTGGGCTAACCTACTGTGTAGTAATGTGTAATATCATACCTGGTCCGTATCATGCAGCTCACGACAGCTACTTACAGTGCTACCTACCTACTTTACTTTGAGGCGGCCACGTGAAGATGAGCAACGCAAGGGGAAGATCCAGAAAGCAACTTCACTCACTCTACCTTCACAGAAGCAACAAGAAAAAAAGCCCGCAAGGATCCAGAGAAACCCTCCCCCCCCTTTGGAGCAACTAATACACAGTAGTAGAAACCATTTCGCCCCATTTTCACCCCTCATCTTTCTTCCCTGGGCCCCACCTGCCTCATCCATCTCACGACATATCCTCAACAAGGTTTATGAAATACGAACCAACAACCAACGCAACTCAAACGAGGTCATCTTTCTCGAATGGCCCAACTCATGCTTCTTCATCATGATACCTCAGACATCTAGAACGGTCCTGCCTAGAGCCGAGAGCGTGAGGCGGGCCGCGTAGTCGCGTGACGGCGGGGTACAACTGACTGGACTGAAGAGAACTGACATGACGGGCCTGGGAGGGGCCTGGGCTACACAAGAAGACGCACCCTCCGCTGCAGTTGGATGCATCGCTTCATGCGGGTCAGCAGCCGTGGTCGCCGCTTGCCTGCCTTTCCTTGCCTTGCCCTTCACCTGTCAGTCATTGACGGCTCGCCTGACGAACTTTGAACGAGGGGTAGCTGGGAGTGTAGCGGGGGCCTCCTCGCGGATAATTGGCACGGGGCGGCTTTTGTCTGCTCTGCTTCTGACCATTCTTGAATGGTTACACAAGCATTGCCGTGCCCCCTTCACACTGGTCGATGGGCGAGCAGACAAACCAATAATTTTTGACTGGGCAACCTGGGCTCTGAGAAACATTCACTCTTTTCTCTCATTACCAGAGCCTGATCTTCAAATCCTCTCGCCCCGAGTGAACTCAAGCAGAGAACTTGCATTGGCCGTGCCTTTTTCAACCTCACCGTACCATGCAATCATCGGCACAAGAGGCACGAGCATTTGACCGAAGTGAGGGGTCGAAAAACCCGGACCCGGGGCGACTTGTCGTTTGCAGTTGGATGGACCGGGACGGGGACATCGAGATGGCTCGGCCAAGGCCGGGTTAAAGAAGTCTGGGTACACCTTACCATGTAGGTCACCGCACCAAAGGTAGGCAAGATCAAGAATAATCCGGTAACAATGAGATGAAAGAATAGTGGGGGTTTTTAAGGGAAGAAATATCAAATCGCCTACCAAGTATTCCAACGAGAGATTGACGATGAGCTATATATTCATCTCATATAGTGCAGCGAAATCAAACGGCGGCGCTCTTGAGGCGTAAAGTAGAACTTCAACGTGTACCCAGACTTCTAGCCCGGGCTTGCTAGGCATGCACAAATCAACCCAAGACGACATCTGACATGAGACTGATATTACATCCCTTGCATTGCAGATGGGGTACATGACGGAAGCGCCCGTAGACCACCACTACCCGTAAGCATTCAACCATCGTTGTCTAGATACTCGCAAACTGCCGCTACATTGTTTGCAACAGCCCTCATCTCCATTGGTCCTCTTCCAACCCCCGCCAAAACACACATATCATTGATTCTTTTCCCTCCCCCCACCCCTTATCTGTCAGGACATCATGGCCACACCGTCGCCCTCATAACGTACGCGTTCTCGTGCCGGCCGTACAGCGTGGTAAACTCGTCCTTCCACGAAATCGTCTCCCCAGGCGCCAGCGGCACGCCCATGGGACCCTGCCCGAAAGCATACGACCGCCGCAGCGCCAAGTTCCACGCGAAGCTGCTCGCGCTGACGCCCGCCACCATGCCGGCGCGCAGCATGATCTCGTAGTCGACCAGCCCGCGCTGGTCCCACGTCAGCGCATCTAGGAGCGCCTGCTCCTCGTCGTCCAAGATATCTGTCTTGGTGACGACTGTGACGTTGAAGTCCTTGGCGCGGTTGACAAACGCCGTGATGTTGGTCTCGGTGGCGCCCGAGGCCAGGAATGCGACGCCCGATTCCGACTCGGAGAGGTAGTGTAGGTAGTTGGCCGCCTGCGTCGTGTAGTCAGGGAACCGCTCGTTGACGTCCTCTTCGGTGCGCAAGTGGACGCCCACGAAGCTTGACGGGTGGTGTCGCGTCCGCGGGTCGAGGTTGAGCCGGAAGCGGGATTCAAGGGTGAAGAGCGCCGAGGCCGCGAGGCGCCGGGCGTCCGGGCGGATGCGGAGCATGCGTCCGAAGGAAGAGGCTATGGGCGCCTTGTCCCGCGCCGTAGGCCACGTCCACAGGGTGTGCTTGAGGTGGGTGCGGAAGGGATATACCCTTTCTGCAAGGGGCGACTTCTCGTCGATGAAGTTGTGGAATTGCTTGCCCCAGTCCGACGGCTCGGCCAGGACGGTGCCGTTGACCCAGTTGCTGTTCGTGTCGGGGATGCTGAACTGGAGGGCTTCGAAGACCTCGGGCACGTCGTACAAGTCGTTCATCGATCCGTGTACTCTCATCTGCGGACAGTACGTTCGGAGCACGTGGTTAAGGTGGGCTGCGTCGAAGTAGTAGTCGAGAGGCACGGCGGGCCGTCCGTTGATGTTCTTGAGATCGTCCTCTGAGCGAGGTATGATCTCGGGCAGGATCAACTCCGCTGGCCACCGGTAAGTACGAAAAGATCATGCATAGTTCCGAGTTCTATCTCAAGGGACATGACTTACCTCCTGCCTCGATCGCAAAGCGAATGCAATGCAAGTGGGCATTCCGCACTTCACCAATGCCTCCTGGCGCCGCATCGCAGCCCATCAGCAAACCTTTTGTCCATTTCTTGCTGGCACACAGGCCCTCGATGGCCGCGCCATCAAATCGTCCATCGATCTCGTGCTCGAGGAAATCTTTGATGAACAGCTCCCTTTGATTACGGAATTTGCGGGTGATTGTCTGTACATGCTGCCGAGAGATTCCCAGGTACCATACCGACCAGAGAATAAGGAGCATCGGCCCCACGAGCTTCATGAGCTGGGATAAGGAGGTTGAGCCGAGCATGATGGGCTGAATGATGCAGTTCGAACTGCTGCCGTGATGGGAAAAGTTGAGGGAACCATCTCGCTGATTAGGAGGCGACTCTCAAAGGAAAGACGCCCAGCCAGCTATTGAGGGCGAAACGAGTGGAATGGAAAGCTTCGCGCCTGGCTGAAGGAGCCAGAAATGTGGCGTTTCTCAGTCGTTCTCGGAATGGCATGGCGTAGATCGACAGCTATTAAAGGGATGGGATTGGCGATAGCGCGCTCGACAGGCTGCTAGTCCAGAATGCCATCTTCCTGACGTTCTTCAACAGTCTCTCATTGCCCTTGGATTCTTTGGCCCTTCCAGATCGTCATGGTCCTTTGTACGAAGTTGGACAGCCGAGGACTCTGGAACTTTTTGACATCCTCATCGTGCGATGGAATTCAGAGTCTCACGGCATTCGCTGGCGGCGCCCGCTAACAGGCACATGCGACGAGAAACGCTATTTTGCTGTGGCGGCAGTGAGGTCTGTAGTCGAGTTTAAGTGAATAATGGCTGCCGCCTGGCCAATTTTGAGGCTGAGATAGACTGGTCCGCGAACTTTGTAGCTTGGATTCCTACTGCCGCTGACCTCAAGTGTTGCCCCTTGTTGATTCAGCTCACAACCAGAAATCACCACCTAGTCTTGAGGGTCCCTGGGACAGCCTGGCGATACAGCCGTACCTGTTTCATAATCACGGGCACCGAGGCCTGAATCCGGATGGCAGTTAGTAGTCAAGACATGGTCCAGGCACAGCCCGTTGTGCAGTGGTAGCCAAGCTCACACTGATGGGTTCCATCTGATCACGTCGTTGAACAATCGCAACGCTGGCGACGTCGGCCTAGACCAGGGGATTTGGCGCACCGCAACACAACATCCTCGGGTTCATGCTGCTTTGGATCTCGCAGCGGACAGCCGAACCGGTGCCACGCAGAGTGCCAAGACTGTCTTGTAGACCATGATCTGATTGGGCCAGCGCGGCTTCCAAGGATCTCTAGGCTTTGACGTTGCACAGAAGCCGTTGACGGTTGTTCAGTTCCCTCTGGGGTGGCCGTTTCGTTTGATTCGGACGGTTTGATCGTCTGGACGGGAACGACTTTAGCCTGACCTTTTCTGTGCATGCCGTGGTGCACCACACACTGCACACAGAACTCGGATGAAAGTCAAGACTGTGAGCCACGGTGAACTTGAATGAGGCTGAAGGTACGTGAGCTCATCGTGTCCCGTCGATGAGTGCATGTATCCCCAGACATAGGACGAGAGAGAAAACATGGACACTGCATGAAAAGCCCGCCGTTCTTGCAATAATGCACCTCTGCGGATCCTAAAGCGTTCAACTGCAGCGTCGCAGTAGACTCGCTGATCCCCGGGGCGGGCCTCCAGTCATTTCTCCGGCCAAAGATTGGTGGTCCATGGTTCTGAGTTCTTGAGGGGTGCAGAGAGCCCATGATACTTGGCGCACTAGAAGAAGCCCTGCTTGCAATTGACCATGCCCATAGGTAGGATAAGAGTGCTGGATAGTATCGACTACCTATCGACCAGGCCAGAGATACCGGTAAGGATACCTTTGACGCCCCCAGGAACCTTACCTAGACAGGCTCACCGCATCGCAACTCCATCGTCGTGCAGACCTAGGCAGGCATTCGGAGCTGGCGAACGCGCCATGTTGTGCTTCGATTGGCCCGAGGGCCATGTGTAGCGATTGCAAGCTGTGCGGGCAGAGGTAGAGCAGCACAGTACAACGAAAACACAACACAACGCGACGCAGCGTTCGTTGATGCTATTCGTGTGTTTCGCGCCAGCCGCGGGACCTGTTCGTATCGTCTGTCAGTGGACACCCCCTACCCAGCATCATACATGGATTCAGGTTGAGGAGACTTGGGAGAGAGCCTTTCTCCCAGCCTCTGGTTCCAATCCGGCGCCGTTGTAAGAGTGTGTGCAAAGCTGGTGTTAGTCTCGGCCAGGATTCTGTTGCCTGAGGTATCGGTATCGTCGTTATTGCAGCTTGGACATTGGTGAAAAGTCATGGAATGAAAAGTCTTTCTCGAGTAGCTTCCAGCTAATTAATTGCCTCCTGCCACCAAGGAGCCAGGACCGAAGACGTAGAATATTAGAGATCGGACCCCTTATTCATGATTCAAGCAACGGGTCAAAAGTTGGCGGTAGTTGTTGGCCCTTGAAAAGTTGTAATTAGGTAGCATGGAAGTGAGCAAAGTTAGGAACTCTCTCGTCTGTTCGCTCCTTCCCGCACAGCCGCTTTCTGCTCGGTGATCCTGGCATCGCATCTTCATGCACTTTGTGGTGCTACAGGTCCAGACTCTAGGACTTCAGCTGGCAGTTTCCATTTTCATGGATGATGGAGCAAGGAAAGACCGATCGGGGGGAGGAACAGACGGGGAGGTGCCTTCTCTTTCCAAGTGGTGGTGGACCAAGAGGCAAGTGCCAAGAACACATCGAGCAGGTCCAGCAGATGATGCCCTGGTGGGTCCATCTGTCCAATGAAAAGCCAGACATGCGCTAGATGTATCCACTTTGGCGACTGACATGCTCCACTTAACGCGAAAAGACGCGCTAAGTCGCGTCCACAACGCGTCTCTCCACACCTCACATGGGAGTTCACATCCATCTGGACCACCGTCAGCCATCGGATGTCTGAAAATATTTTTTTCTCTCCCACTGTTCCCAGTCGTCAAAGTTCCCACAGCTCTCGCACGGATCGCACTCAAATCAGTTTCATCCGTCGTCTCTTTTTCCTTGGAACACTCCACGCACTCCTCCCCCCCGCCGATGCGCTCTCAACTTGGGTTGGACGGACGTCACCGCCCACATTTTGTGAAGCCAATGAATCGCTTCCCGCCCGTCACACTCACCTTGACTTTCACCGGGCACCTCCAACGCTTCACCTCGTGCTCACCTACTCAAACTCCTAATTACCGGTTCAACTAAGGTAGACCGTCCATCTCGAACATTGCTTCAACAAGACGTACAGGCCGGGCGTTCGCTCACCCATCCAACCCTCGTTACGTCTGACACTTTGCTCCGTCATCGGTGCCACTTTTGACTCAACCCGCACTTTCATGAAGACGGTCTCTCATTCATTTGCCATCGTCCAGT